CCCTGAAGAGCCCGAACCCTCTGAGCCCCGGGCCGTGTCGGGCTCCTCCCCAGCTCCTCCGGCGGCCACCCTGCAGCTGTGAGCCGCTCCCAGGCTGGTGGGGGGACAGAGGATGAGCCTCTCTGCTGCCCACCGGGCCGGGGCCTCCACGAGCCCCCGGAGCGGCTGCCGACCGAACCGGCCCCTGGCTTTGGGTGCTAAGACCCCACGTGCACAGGTTCCAAGATGCGGCGCCGCGAGCCAGTGTGCGGTCGCCGCTGACAGGTTCCACAGCCCTGTCCATCCCCGTTCTGGCAGGGCCTTCCCAGAAATCCGTGGTCAGTGCAGAGCCGGGCAAAAGCAGTGTATGGTTCATGTGGAACATCCCATGGTAACTAACGAGGAGTGCAAGAGGAACGTCTGTTTCACAGACCCCAAACAATAAGCCTGCTTTTGCCCGACGCTGTATCATCGTCTCCACATCCACCCAGAGCTCGGGCTCCGGGGAGCGCGGGGCAGGCAGGGGCCCCGGGCCGGCGCACGGCGCGGCCTGCTTTCTGACCCGCGGCTCGTGTCGCAGCCACGCCAGTGTGGCGGAGCCTGTCCTTCACGGGCCTTCCCGGACCCTCCCCATCCTGGGGCGGTGCACACAGGCAGCACCAGCTGCAAGGGCCCCTGCCGCCCCTCCCCTGGCCCCTCTGCTGGAGCCCTGCCCCAGCTACACAGCAGGTCCGGGGGGCGGCCTCCGTCCCCTGCGCAGCGGCTGCCCCCCTCAGTGTCCAGGGCCTGGCCCAGAGCAGGGAAAGACCAAATACCAGAGTTCTAACACATCTGGGGCTTTCCCGCCTGCTGAAGAGGGGTTTGCTCCTGGGTCCCTCCCCCGCCCCGAGACCCCTCAGCCCGTGCCTGCCCTCCCTGCCTTGCCAGCCCAGGCCGGTGGGCAAGAGCTCCCCGCACTTGCTGGGTGAGGAGGCCGGCCCACGGCGCATGCCCGGACCTCCTCGGGCCGCGTGCCTTCCTGCCTGCCTCGCTGTGAGCCACCCCTCCAGGTCCCTGTCCGGGCCCCGCGCTCTGGCCTGGCCTGCCCCCTCTTTGGCTTGGAGCCCCACACTTGTGGGTCCAAATCCTGGCTCTTCCCAGCAGCTGTGTGACCTGGGACCCAGGGCTTCAAGGGTGTGCAACCTTCGCACTCGCCAGGACCCCGCCCTCAGAAGGGCCCGCCTCTGGTTGTACCCTGCTGCTGCCTTGGAATTCTTCACTTCTGAACAAGGGCTCCTCGCTTTGATTCCACACTGGGTCCCACAGGCCATGTCGTTGACCCTGCTGGGACAAGTTGCTTGACTTCGCTGAGCCTCAGTTCCTCTGCCTGCGGGAGGGCCCTCTTCTGGGGCTGCCATGGGGCCCCGAAGGTTAGTGGGTGAGAAGGTGCTTTGGCAGCTGTGAAGGGCTGTGCCCTGGGGGATACTCATTTCTCCAGGGGGAGAGGGCGCCTTGAGAAAGAGCCAGTAGCTTTCAGGGACAGGTGGATTGAGTAGAGGTTGGAGGGCTCACAGGGCCCAGGAGCAAGTCTGCAGATCCCTGGGGCGGCTCTCCGGGGCGGTTTTGCCCTTGCCCCGCTTCACTGCCCCAAAGGGCTGGTGGCTAGCCTCCAGCCTGCCTTCCCAGGGTGCGCTCTGGGCAGGGCATGGCCTCTTGGGCAGGCCTGGGGACCACGTCTGCCCACAGCCTCAGCAACTACGGGGACGAACGCACTCCGCTTGCCTGCCCCAGGGCCAGGGATACCCCTGCTGTGGACCCAGCTCACGTCCGCCACTTCATTTGGGGTGACCCTGTTGTCCAGGGAAAGGACAATGCTGGTTTCTGACTCTGAGAAGCCGTGGCCAGACACCAGGCCCGGGTGGTGTTAGGTCTCGGGGAACAGAGAGAGAGGCTGCTCTCCAAGGAACTCAGAGATGGGGACAAGGGTGGTGGCCCAGGCTGGTCACCATGCAAGGCCGGGGCCTCCCCAGCAGCTCCAGTAGCCTCTGCTTGGAAGCTGCCACGGTCCCACACAGGTCACCTGTCCTGTAACTATAGACTTCTGTCCCCAACTCCCAACTTGAGCCCAGAGCCCAGGCAGACTTTCCTGTCACCTTTCCATAGGTCTCGGCCAGCCCGGTGCGCATCTGCCAGCCTCAGGGCCACGCAGCTAAGGCAGGCGCAGCCGCCGCCGCCTGTGCTGTGGCCTGCCCGAGGCCCCTGCAGGCAACGTTGAGGACGGGCAGACGGCCGGCTGCCGACTCCACGCTGCCACTGCCTGCCTCCCCCTGCACCCGACCCCTCCACGCCCTGCCCCTTGGGGGCCACCCCGGAGGACGCTAGTGGCCTGGCGCAGAGGGTGGCCGTAGGAGCAGGTGCCGGAAGTAGCAAGACCAGGCCTTGGGCCTGGTGAGGCGGGGGAGGCAGGGGAGGGCCCCCTAGGGTGGGGCCTGGGGTCAGACGTGGCACCGACGAAGACTGGCGCACTGGAGGGAGGGCGGGCCGGCCAGTGCGCGCCTGACTGCACCGGGCTCTGGGGCTGGGCCTGGCTGGAGACGGCGGCTTGCGGTCAGTCGGGCGGTCCCGGTGGCGCAGCCCTGGCGGATCCCGAGCCCTACGCACCCGCTCCTCGCCAGGCACGGATGCCTCTTGCAGGGCCACTTTGAGCATGGGGTCAAAGGCCTGCAAGGTGGAGACGGTGCCAGCCATTGTCTGGGGCACGTCGGGAGGCTAAATGTGAGCACAGGGCAGGGGAGAGGACTGCAATGGGGTCCGCACAGCGGGTAGCCACGTAGGCCCAACCGCAGCCCCCGACCCCGGTGGGCGGCAGGCCAGCAGGCTCTGGAGGCCCGAGATTTCGAGTCCCACCAGGACCTCTGGAGACGGCAAGGGCCTGCCAGCCCCTTGCAGCCTGTTTGGCCAGATCCATGTCTCAGGATCACGTGGTCCGTGCCCCAGTGCCCGTACCACACCCCACCTCCACCACCGGGGGGCCTGGGCTCGGCCCGCTGTCACTGAGTAAGGCCACCCAGCTGTGCCCCAGTCGTGCCCCACCCCCAGCTCACAGCTCCTTCTGCCCGCCCCCCACGGTGCACCCCCTCTCCAAGGCCTGAGCCTTAATTACCGGCACCTGGAAAACAGGCTCATGCTCTGTCCCCCTCCAGAGAGGGCTCGCCCACACGAAAGGCTGAAAAGGCGCTTGGGGGTGTATGTGGACTCCGTGGCTTGGGGTGGGAGGTGGGCTCTCCCTCTGGCTGTAACCCCAGGGAGGAAACCAGCATGTGTTGAACAACTACTACAGGCCAGGACCTGGGCCAGGCCCGACCAAGTCAGCAGCTTGTTTGATCCTCACCTCAGCCCCGGAAGGGAGAGCTCATTATCCTCCTCTGCCAGATGGGGTGCTGAGGTCCAGCGCCAAAGGGTGCCCTACCTGGGCCAGTCAATAAGTGACAGAGCCGGAGCAGTGCCACTGCCCCAGTGGACGGTCCATCAGGGAGACCAGAGGGCGTGAGCGGCTCACGTGCCTGTCGGAACCCAGCCTGTTCTGACCCAGAGCCCCGCCTGCACAAGTGCCAGGCAAGGCAGCAGCTTGCTCTCTGTGTCTGGGGAGGTGGCCTGAGACAGCAGCAGGCAGGAGGTCCCCGCCGCGGGGCCGGCACCCCCAGAGGCGGGGCGGCTCCCAGGAGCTGCCCGCACATGGTGGGCGGGTTAGGGTTTGTGGAGACGCACGGAACAGCGGGCCAGGAGGAGCCAGCCGGGAGCCTCTCCTCTCTGTGGGTAGTCACAGCTCCTCCTGCCACGGCGAAAACAGTGGCCTTGAGGAGGCTCGCAGCCCCCGCCACAGCCAGCCTGCAGAACCAGAGGCACGCTCACGGGCACACAGGAGGGGACGTCCGGTGTCCTCCTCCCCCTGCTCCGCCCACCCCTCACAAGCGGAAGTTCAAAGGGAAGGCTCCGTGAATTTGGTCTAAGTAGCATCAGGGACTCCTGGCCACGGGGGGTATGTACTCATTTAGTCATCAGCCCTCTGCATCCCCGGACTCCTGCCAGAGACCTGAAGGCAGCTCATAGGGGTCAGACACCACAGATGGACGGATAGACTGTGTAAGCGGCCAGGCTCCCCGGGGGAGCCGAGGGAGGCAGGAAGGCTCTCAGGCTAGAAAAGAATGAGGGGCCTGCTGGCCCTTCGCTCCCTAGCAGCCCGGAGAAGAGGGAAGCCCACGCAGGCACGGTTCCCACAAGATCAAAGCACGCCAGATGCTCGGAAGAAACCCAGATTGAAAGGCTCAGCGGGCCGGGAGCTGGGCTCCTCGGTGTGCGGGCCACCTGCGCCCCGGTGACCCGGCGCTGCCAGCCCCATCTGCAGGCCTGGGGAGGATCACTGTCACCACACGACAGGTTCCCTGACCTCAGTTATGCCCCAGCCACTCCAGCCCCTTTGAATTTGCAAAAGAGAAAAAAAACAGCCCTAGACAAGCTTCAAGTGGACAAAAACCAGACGCCTTTGGCGAACTGCTCAGTGAGAACAGATGTTGGGCCGAGCGCCTCATTGGGGTGATGCATGGTGTGCGGCTCAGAACCCCCCGCCACGGGGCCCTGTGGCCAGGGCCGCCGGCCGCTCCCTGCTGAGATGAGTCTGGGAGCCCCAGTGAGCGCCAGCCAGAGCTTGGCGTCTGAGCCAGCGGGGCCAGGGTTCAGAAAGCTGGCTGGGGCAGCACCAGCCCCCAGTAGTGGCGGTGGCCCTGTCGACAGTCACCTTTACGTGAGTGCAGCCCCCTGCCACATGCAAACGCTGTCCCTGTTCATCCTCCAGCCACCGCACGGAGACAGTGCCACACTCCCATGTCACAGACGGGAGCACGAGGCTCAGAGAAACCCCACAGCCAGAGGGTGTCAGAGCCGGAGCTCGAACTCAGGCCTTCTCTCTCAGCAGGTGCCCCCACGGGAAAGGAGGTGGCCCCTGTCTCAGGAGACTGAGCGTCTCTGTCTCTTTCCCTCCCCAGAGACGTGTGCAGTAAATAACGGAGGCTGTGACCGGACGTGCAAGGACACGGCCACTGGCGTGCGGTGCAGCTGCCCAGTGGGATTCACACTGCAGCCCGACGGGAAGACGTGCAAAGGTCAGCGCAGAGCCCCGGGCACGCGCCCACCTCCATTCCGGGAGCCTGGTCGGGGCAGGAGGGGCGGGCGTGGGGCCGTGGGGCAACCAGGGCCCGGGAGCTCAGCGGCCACCTCTGCAGCTGTGGGAGAGGCCGAGAAGAGGGAGGCCCCACACCAGCGCCCCCCCGCGGGACTCCAGGGAGCACGGGTTCCACCGCCTATCTCTGCGTTCCTGGGCCACAAAACGGGGTTCTCACAGCAAAGAGCTGAGCTGTAGGTTGGGTGACAGGGGCCTCCACTGAGGGCCTTCCTGGCCCTGTGACTCATGGGGCTCCCAAGGGGGCGGGGCGGGGCACATCTCGTCACCCCCACCTCAGCTGCGGCAGCGTGGCGCGGGGTGGCTCGGGAGGTGCCCTTGGGTCCGCTTATACCAGGACGGGGCTGCCTGCTGATCCCGTTAGAAAAACAAGGGCGCTCTGTGTCCTGGCCGTTGGAGGAGTGGCTTTGGGGGTGAGGGGTAAGCTGAAGAACGGAAGGACCTCCACTTGCAGTTAGACATTGAGGAAGGGGCGCGTCTGAGCGAGGTCCCTGGCTCCTGAAGGAATGCAGCCACCATGGAAATGACAGAGTGGGCTGCCTCTTCCCACCTGTTCCCTGACCCACCCAGAGTTACCGAGGGCAGGGGGTGCTCGGCACAGTCAGGGTCCATGGGGAAAGCAGGAAGTGGGGGGGCTGGGAAGCGAGAGCTGGCTGACAAGCTCTGGAGACTGAAAGGACTGTGGGGCGCATGAGGGACAGCTGCAGGGACAGCAGGGTGTCAGGCCCACACACCAAGGCCCCTGGAGGAATGAGGTGCCACCCCTCGGGCGCCCCCTGCTGGGCCCTTTGAGTTCTGCTGGCCGCCCTCCCGCAGCACCTGGCCAGGCAGCAGGCAGCAGGCAGCGGCTGGAGGGCAGCGGGGAGGGGCTGTCCTGTGAAGGAAGACATTCACGAAGCGGGGAGGGGGGGTTAAATAGTCTGAGGCGGGCTTTTTTTAAGCCTGTAAAAACAGCCAGCCTATGACCTCCTCCCTAGCCAGTTTGCTGGGAAGAACCTAGTGATTATTGACAGAAATGACTGTTCTTCGCCCGTTTATTTGAAAATGAACCTCTTCCATAGCCCCCACTCAGCCTGCTCAGAGGACAGTGCTCTCCTGGCGGGCGGGCGGGCAGGCGATGCCTGAGGCCTCGCCACGCGGGCTTCGTGCTCATAGGACAGCCGAGGGCCTGCCACAGCCCCAGCTGTGCCACAGCGGGCTATCCACTGGCCCTTAGATCCAGGGCAGGAGAGTAGAATCAGGCACTTTGGCCCCTCCGAGGTGTGGCACTGACCCAGGGCCAGACGGGCGGGCTCAGCCCCATTCCTGAGGGGAGGCCGGAACCCACCTGTCTGGGTCGAAAAGCAACCCTAGAGGAGCACCGGGCAGTTGGGGGGGCCCTGACTGCTGGCCCACCCATCCCTTGGTGGCCCAGGGGCATGCGCCCCGACTCTGCCCCACCTCATGTCTGGGAGAGGTGCCGAGGGGAGCTGTCCACGCAGCCCAGGCCCCCAGCCCAAGGCCCCACACGCTTCCCGTGGTTCCTCTTCAAACAGCCGGCCCTTCACCCAGGGCAGCCCCAGTCAGCCCGCTGCCTGTGGCCGAAGCCCGGCCCGGCGGCCTGGGAGTCAGGGCACGCTCCGGCGCACTCATGCCCCAGGCTGGCTCTCTGGGCGCCTCTGTGTGCGGGTCCTGGGGAGTCGGGCGGATTAAGCAGTCCCTGTTTCTGGGACCTTTTATCGCGTGCAGGAGTTAGAGTTTCCTTTTCTACTATCACCGAGATAAACGCGAATTAGATTGCTGGGTGCCCTACAGAGAAGCATAGCGCAGCCTGGCGGAGCGGGGGCAGGCCAAGGGGCCGAGGGAGGGGCGCTGAGCGGGGCTGCACTTGCAGGGCATGAGAGCGCTGCATGGGGGCCTGGGGTTCGGGCCCCCAAGGGAGGCGGTGCGCCCAGGTCCGGGGAGAGGCCGGGCCAGACAGTGCAGGCCTGGGGGCTGGGGGCGCGGCGGGCCCTTCACCCCTCCAGCCTGGGCGAGGCTCCGCAGCTGTCGGTCGGAACAGTGGAGGCCCAGGTTTCCATTTTGACACGACCCCGGCCAGTGCTTGGCTCTGGGCAGGGTCTAGAAGAGCCGTGAGGCAGCTGCTGCCATCCCCCAGACTCGAGGTGACAGTGCCTTGGGCCAGAGGTGGCCCTGAAGGTGAGGGGCAATCTGGACATTGTCGTGGATATTAGAAATTAGGCATCGCAGAGTTAGTCTAGAATGGTGTGATGAGAACATCGAACATCGTCCCACCAGGGACCCTGGGAACCAAACGCTGACCTCCAAACCCCAGGGTTTGGTGTCTCGGGGCCTCGGGCTCGAGCCCCCAGGGTGTGGCCAGAGAGGTGCAGCCAGGGCGCCCGAGCTCGGCAGGGCACGCCCGGCTGGGGATCCCCGGCGGACCCGAGGCCGGGGCCCTGGGGTTCTGCTTCTCAGTCGGCCTGCACGTCCTGGTCTTGGCGAGGGCCCAGGGGAGAACATCAAAGGAATGATCTCAAAGGTCACTCCTTTTGGCTTCCAGTGTTTTCTGGAAGCCAAAAGCCATTGTCAGGCAAGATCAATGACTGGAGAGGAGGTAGCAGAGGTCTCAGAAAATCCAGAGGCTGCAAGGGCAGGTGGAGGCAGCGTGGGAAAGTGGGAGTCTAGAGGATTTGCCCCCAGCCCTCGATCTGTGTCAAGAGCGCGGACACTGGATGCTAGGAAGGGGCACCTTGTTGCCTGGCCCTTCCAAGGGGCCTCCACTCCCTGAGCCGGAGCCTGGATGTTCTCAGGGACCCCGCTAGTCCCCCCAGAACTGCCTAGAACAGCTGGGGAAGCCCGTCCACTGCCAGACCCCTCTACTCCCTCCCCCCTCCGCCCGGCCAGTCCAGCCCAGCAGTTTGCGCTGCCCACAGGAGCGTGGCCAGCCCACACTTGGGCCCTCCCTCTGCTTCCACCCAAGAGCCCTCGCCCTCAAGCCCCTGGGTTGCCAGGCTGCTCCGCCCACCCCGCCCCCCACACTACTGACCCTCACACGCTGACTGATGCACTGGAACGTTCCCCTGGATGACCCCACCCTTCCCTCCGCCCCTGCAGCTCGCCCGCTCGCCCGTTCATTAGCCGTGCAGTCAGTGGGCACCCAGCGCATCACTGTGCGCCGACTCATGCTGGCCCTGGGGCTCCAGACAGGGGCCTTGCACCCCACCCCTCGGTCCTCGAGGCCCTCTCGTTGTCCAGAGGGCAGGTCTGGTGACAAGGGAGCAGCTAACTCTCCAGAGAGTGTCAGGGGAGGCCTCCGGGGGCAGGCAGGCAGCCAGAGACGGGCTGCCGGGGCAAGAGCCAGGCACGCCAGGCCGGGGGGCAGGGCCGCGGGTCTCTGCAAAGGCGGCCGGGCCTTTCTTTGGGGACAGTGCTAGGCCGCTGAAGACTTGGGAACAGGTAGAGGGCTTCTGGCCACCTGGGGAGGGCTGGGTGGGAGCCCAGGGAGAAGGAGGGGACTCTTAGGAGGCAGGACATGGGAAGAGGGGCAGCACCCCTGTGTGCCCCACCTGAAGGAAGGTCGGGCCGTGTGCGCCTCACTCTGCCCTGGGCGGAGCTGGGGGTGCTTCCCCGCTGGTGACCCCAGGCAGCCCGCTCCACCAGCCCGGGCCTCAAGCAAACATGCCTCCCGCCGCCTGTCTGGTTGCTATGACAGCTCCTCAGTTGAGGGCCCAGATCGGGGGGAAGGGGTGGCATCGGGGTTCCAGGAGGCCAGCAGCGTTCCCGAGGAGGCGAGCCCCGTCTGCACGTCCCTTCGGTCTCAGGGTGACCCTGTGAGAGGCGCCGGTTGGCAGCACTGGTCGCGGTGGGAACCTGCGGCTCCTAGAGGTCCAGGGCCACACGGCTCCGGGGCAGGCTGAGGGGCCTTCGCGCTCCTGCGGGAGGCTTCCCATGAGAAGCCCCCGCCTCCCCGTGACCCCCAGGGAAGGGGACGATGGAGATGCCTGGCCTCCGGCCTCCCTGGCCTCCCTGTTCGCTTTCTCTGGAGGCTGCGCTGGGGGAGGCCCATCAGGGAAACGGCAGCAGCTGGGCTTGAACCCGCTCGCCCATGGAGCTGTGTCCTCCTCTGCAAAGTGGGAGATCTGGTCCCCCGGGTGCTCTGAAAATAACAGAAGACCTGGTTAGAAAGGGCTTGGCCTGGTCACCTGCGTGAGGCAGCGCCCAGTAGGTGCCGTGACCACAGAGGGCGCAGCTGCCTGTTGGGCGTGGGCTCACCCCAGACAGCCCCGTGCCTGAAACACGGGCCCCAAACCCGGCACAGAGCTCCCGGCCCTGAGAAGGCTCGTTTTCAGTCACCATTTCAGCGCCCACACCGCGAGCGGCAACTGCCGCGCTCAGAGAGGCCAAGTCCCCACCAGCGGCGGCGAACCAGGCGGCCTTCCGGGTGCAGCCGCGCTCGTTAGATGCTGAGTGAAGAAACGGCCCGGACCCGCAGGCGGGAATCGGGGTGGGGGCAGGAGAACCAGGCGGAGAGGTCGGGCCCAGGGCCGCCCCGCCGCAGCCTCCCACCAGGCAGCCGCTCCGTGCGCCTCGCAGCGCTACTTCACTTGCACCGAGCGGCGCCCTGGTCCTCGGCTCGCAGGTGGGGAGCCGAGGTCACAGCTGTGGGGAGCAGCCTCAAAGCCTCCGGCCGCCTCCCTCGGGGTGCCTGTGAGGGACGCGGTGGGTGTCATCCGTCCTGCTGTCTTGCCCGGCACAGCAGACCTCAGTTCCTGTCCCTTCTCTGGTTGCCAAGTCCCAGCGGGAAGGGGAGTGACCCGACCTCCTGGCCCCCACCACCATGAGCCGGGACTCCCGTCCCTGTGCTCAGTGGGGAAACTGAGGCCAGCCCTGGGCAGCAGGCAGCAGGCTAGTCAGGGAAAGGCAGGTGCTGGGCCGTCGCCCCCACCGGGCGGCCCACGCTCCTTGCCCCTCCCGCTCGGCCCCCACAGACATCGACGAGTGCCTGGTCAACACCGGGGGCTGCGACCACTTCTGCCGCAACACCGTGGGCAGCTTCGAGTGCGGCTGCCGGAAGGGCTACAAGCTGCTGACCGACGAGCGGACGTGCCAAGGTGAGCCTTCTCTGTGCCCAGGCGGCCCTGCGCCAGGGCTCTCCCCGTCCCCTTCGGGCCCCTCCCCCGCAGGCCCCGCCCCGTCCCGGGCCTGTGCAGGCTCCTGGGGGAGGAGGTGAGGGTGGGTTGGGGTTGGTCTACCCTGCCGGCTGCACCTGAAGAAGCAGGCACAGTTTTGGGGCCCTTAGCATGCGCTCCCACCCTCCCCATCTTTCCTGCCCTGTATGACTCCAGGGGCCCTGAGGAGCCGTCCAGCCCAATCTGTCCCTTTTATGGACAGAAAACTGAGGCCCAGGGAGAGATCAGCAAGTGTCCTCAGCGCACAGCCAGTGGGTGTCAGAGCTCATCAACTCTGGCCCATCCCCTCCCGTAGCCCCCAGGCCTCCTTCAGCAGCTTCAGCGTTGAGATGCTGCCGCCTGGTGGGGGGAACAGCACATTGCAAGCAGGCGCTCTCCAGCAGCCCCTGCGTAGGAGTCCCAGTCACCTGCTAGGAGCAGGGGTAATGGGAGAAACGTGAGCAGGCAGAACCAAGAATCAGAGCCCGGGACAAGCGCAGCAGACATCCAGGACTCAGTGAGAGCCCAGAGCATGCGCAGTGGGAGGGGGCCGGGAAGGCTCCTGGGGGAGGAGCCGGGGAGGCCAGCCCCCCCGGAAGTGGCACTGTGCGGCTGAGGGGGTCCGGGCGGAGGGCCCCTGTGGGGCCAGCTGTGGGAGCGAGTGGGAGGGAGGGCCTGGGGAGCCTACATGGTGGGGAGTAGCCGATGCCATCCTGGCTGCACAGTTGCGGTCCAGTCGTTTCATCTCCCCGGGGTGCCTGCAGCCGAGTCTGGCTGTGCAGCTCTTGCCTGTTAACGCCGCTCAGAGCCTGGCTCAGGGCAGCTCAAGGCCCTGAGGGGTGAGGGGTGGGCTCCCGAAAGGAAGGCAAAAGCAGGAGGCAGGTAAGGGAGGGTCAGGGCCAGCCGCCCTGGGGCTCACCGCGCCCCGGGCTAGAGTTCATCTCTCAGGGCCTGTGGGTTCGCCGGGAGTGCAGCACCTCCGCAGGCCCTGACCTGGGCCCCTCTGCGTTGACTTTGTTTCCCCATCTGCCTTGTGGAGATGTGACGGTGGCCCTAGACTTGGCATCCCCAGCCACACTGGGAGAGGCGGGCAGCTGCTGAGGGGGAGGGGGAGGCGGTGATGACGTGGCTGCTTCGGGTCTCTGGCTACGTCTTCTCCCGCCTCTTCCAGACTCATCTCTGCGGCCCTGGGGCTCCGGCTGTGCCCCACCCCTGCCCCAGCACCACCCTCCACACAGCCCCCTGGGTGCCCTGTGCTGCCACCTCCCGGCCTTTGCCTGCAGCACCCTCTCCCTACCCTAACCCTTCATTCCAAACCAGCCTAAGTGCCACAAGCATCAGGCCTTCCCCGCTCCCGCCCTGGAAGAGACCCCGTCCTCCTGTGAGCCCCACAGCATGAGCGCCCCCCGTGCTGGCGCTACGCCAGGCACCCGGGGTCGTGGGCGTGTGTGGAGCCCCGTGAGCCGGCGCATTCAGAGGGTGAATCCAGCCGCAGTGCCCGTGGGCGAGCAGGAACCCCCATCACCTGTGCCCTGGGAGCCACTGTCCTCCCAACTCATGGCCTGGTCAGGCTTGTCCCCTGGGAGCATGTGGTTTATTTCGTCCCTGCCAGTAGCAGACACGCTCCTTTTTCACTGGGGCTGCCAGGAAGCTCAGGACCAAATTTCACAGGCCATCCAGGCTACCTTCCTGTCCCTTTTGGGTGGCATATTTCTCCCCCTCCCCCCTTTCAACGTGTGCTGTTTTCCTTATTTTCTCAAGAGACACCTTGGGTGATGGGAAAACACACCTCAGTCAGCAGACAACTGGTCTCAGGCCCCAGTTCAGGGGCTCCCTCAGGCCAGCCCCGTCCGTTTCCTGAGGGGCCGGATAGGAAACCAATCCGTACCCCAGTTCAGAGGGAGGTATTAAAATGGCAGCAGTTGATAATAATCCCTTCTATTCAAAATATTCCCACCCTGTCCACCCCCAGGAAAGATAGGAGGTGGCTCCCGACCCAGACACCTAAGTAACAGAGACAACACGGGAAACCAGGCAGTGACAGGAGCCCGGGGCCGGGGACGGGCTGCACCCAGGCGCACCTGCGCGACTGAGTGACGGGCGCGCCCGCCCTCCGCGCCCTGACGCGCTCCCCACTTTGCCTCCCTGTGGCCACGCAGACGTCGACGAGTGCTCCTTCGAGCGGACCTGCGACCACATCTGCATCAACTCCCCCGGCAGTTTCCAGTGCCTGTGCCACCGCGGCTACATGCTCTACGGGACAACCCGCTGCGGAGGTCTGCAGCCCGCCCGCCGGGGCCGCCTCCCCCCGAGGCACGCGCCTGGCCGCACGGCCACCCACACTGCACCCCGCACCCCGCACCCTGACCCTGACGGGCCTGGAGGGGCCTCTCCAAGCCTGGGGCCTGGGGGCAGCGGGCCTCAGCCACGGGCACGGCGGGAGGGGCAGCAAGTACCCCCAGGGTGCCAAGCCTTCGCCAGGCTATGGGCGCAGGCCTGGAAACAGCAGCTGCAGGGAGCCCCAGTCCGGGAGGGCGGGCCGCCACACAGGATCCCGTAGGCGGTTCATTCGGTAGGAGAGGGTGACAACGGAGAAGGGCAGGACAGGGAGTCAGCGGGGGCTCCTAGAGGAGCGCGTGTGGGTGCAGGGGAGGGGAGCTGTGCCAGGGGATCGGCACGCGCAGAGGCACCAGGGCCGAGGGCCCCCAGGGGCCAAGGGGCAGCGCTGCGTCCAGAGCCCCGTGAGCAGGGTGGGGGTTGCGGACGGGGCAGACGCAGGGCTTCGTGAGCCCCGGGGGGCATGGGGTTTTATTCCCAGTGAGAAAAGAAGCCGCTGGAGGCTTTAATTGAGCGTGACATGGCCAAGCTCACGTCACAAGGTTGCTCTGGCTGCCGTGTGCTGAGGAGAGTAGAACCCAGGGTGCCAGCAGGGAGACAGCTGCAGGCATGGGGGCCAGAGCTGCTGGAGCCGGGCAGGGTGGGCGGGGACGCGGAGGAGGGGAAGGTTCTAGGTGGATTCAGGAGCCACGGACTGGGGGCTTGGAGATGGACGGGCACGGCAGCGCAGAGAACGGCCCCAGGTCGGGTTGCCCCTTCCTCTCCTGTGGCCTGGGAGTAGACACTCTGTCTGCGGGGCAGCTGTAAAGGTCCGACGTGCCGGGCCATGCAGCGACCACGCACAGCTAGTCCGGGGGTGGCTCCCGAGGCGGGCTGCAGGCTCTCCTGCAGGGCCTCCCCAAAACCGGGGCGCCGGCTTCCCTGGGCCAGCCGCCCCCCAGTGCGGGCGGCTGGGGTGCTCACAGCCGTGCGCCCCAGGGTGAGTGCGGCCCAGCCCTCCCACGCTCCAAAGGCGCTTTTGGTCTTTGGTGGTCACAGGAGCTGCAGAGGTGACCTTTCCACCTGTGCTGTTGCACAGAAGGGGGCCCCTGGGAAGGGGCCTGTCCCAAGTCCCACAGGGAGATGAGTCCTCACAGGCCCTGGGCCAGCGTTCACTCCCGCCCCCCCAGATTGATGGGCACTTCTCTACCTGCCCCCCAGTCTGGGCGGGAGGGGTGCCTGTAGGTGTCTGTGGGAGCCCTGTGCGTGTACATGCCAGGGTGTGTGATGGGTGTACCTATGAACATGTGCCCCTGCCTGGGAGTGGGATGTGCACATATGTGCATGCCTGTGCCTGGGTGTGTGACGTATGTGGCCACGTGTGTCTGCAGCGATGACAGTACCAAGCCAGGGTCAGGGATTTGCGGCCCTCCTGCCCCGAGGGTGTGGCCTGGGCTGGCCAGCCCAGCCCCTCCTGCCCTCACCCCCACCTGTGCTTCCAGACGTGGACGAGTGCAGCATGAACAACGGGAGCTGCGACCAGGGCTGCGTCAACACCAAGGGCAGCTTTGAGTGCGTCTGCCCCCCAGGGCGGCGGCTCCACTGGAACCGGAAGGACTGTGTGGGTGAGTGTGCTGGGGCGGCCATCGCTGGGGCCTGCCCCTTCCGCCTTGTGCCGGGTGGCAGAGGAGGGCAGAGGCTTCTGCAGGGGTTGGGGGGCGAGGCAGGGCCCTCCGCTGCCTGTAGGCCTCGGGGTTGCTGGGCAGATGCTGCCTGCTGCTGGCCCACGGCTGATGGGAACGAGGCATACAGAAGCAGGGGGGCCCAGCGGCAGGGCCCGCTTGCTGTCAGCTGGAGCACAGATATACCTGCAGGGGGCGGGGAAATGGGGGGGTCACGTGTGCAGCCAGACCGTGGGCTCAGGAGAAGCGGGAAGCTTAGAGGGAGTGAGTGGGGCGGCCTCGGCTCCCCCAGGTCCTGCCAAGGAAGCTGGTCGGTGTGGGGTGGGGGAGGTTTCGGGGTGCAGCAGCATCAGGGCCTGGGAGGGGAGCGCCTGGGAGCATGTGGGTCTCTGCAAACCCACCACCACCCAGGCGGCATCCCCAGTGTCAGGGAAGGCGGCAGGGGGCCTCGTCCTGCGCTCTGGGTGCCGGCACCTCAGCCTGAGTTCTGGGCCATGCCCCACGCTCAGCAGCTCCGCAAACACATCCTCACCGACCCCTCTATGTGCGGGGCCGTCCTGGGTGCCGGGCCGTCCTCGCCCAGGGTGGCCAGGGAGAGCGTTTCAGGTCTGAGTCGGCATGCGCCCTGCTCCACGCTGAGCCCCCCAGTGACTCCCCTCCACGGAAGCAAAGCCAGAGGTCCGCCATGGCCAGAGGCCGCTGCGCCCTGGCCTGAAGGCCTGCCCCCCCAGCCCCACGCCAGCGTCACGGAGCTGGGGTGCACCCCCACCTCTTCACAGCGGGTGCGGGCGTTCCTCCTGGCCCAGAGGGCTCCCCACTCGCTGTGAGGCTGTCGCTGAGCATGAGCCCAGGGCGCAGCCCGCCACCTCTGCGCCCTCCTGTCCCCTTGCCTTCTGCTTTCCTCCCGCTGCCCTGCGGACCGCCAGGCGTGGTAGCCGTTTCACACGCCCCTGCGGGCGTGCCTGTCCGTCCTCACACAGCACACGCCCCACACGGGCACGCAGGCGGTTTGTCCTGTCGCGCCCACTGCCGTGCCCACAGCACCCGGGATAGAGCCCAGCAGGGAGGCACTCAGTAAGTGTGTGTTGAATGAATGAACGTGTCCGGGAAAGAACTTCATACTGGAAGTTAAAAAGCTGAACTTCCTGCCTCCTTAAGCAAGAAGGGCTGTGCCATTCAGGCAAAGTCCTGTTGAGCAAAGCAAACCGCCGGTCCTGTCCACAGTTTGGGGAAGAGCTCGTTTGGGGCTGTGTTGGTGACAGGAAGGGTTAGGTGCTGTCAGCGCGAGGAGCATGGCCCGTGCGCTGGGGGCCAGGGAAAACCAGACTTAGAAGCCTGAGTCTGGAATGTTCCAGGCCTGGTAGTTACTTGTTACCAGAGCTATTGGACCAACGCCTTCCTCTAGGCTAGGAGGAGGGTTGGTCTTTATTCCCAATCGCCCCCTTTGGTCATCCTCCCTCAGCCAGAGCTGCGGGAGAGGTCACCGGGCGTGTCCCGACATCCGCCACTGCCGCCGACCCCCCTGAAGAGGTCTGACCGCAGATCATGGTCAGCCACGGTGGTCACACACCACTGTTGCCTCTAAGTCACCTGCTGGGCTGTGTCTGCCTAAAAGTGGTTAGTATTCTGGACGGTAGACACAGAATGACTGAAACGAACATGTACAAGTGAAGGTGTTCTTTAAAAGGTTCTGGAAGGCTCTCTAGAACCATGGTCCAGGAGTTCCCAGGGCCGACCAAGAGAGCCGGAACCGCCGACCTCCTGCGTCGGCCTCGCTGCTCGGGCTGCTTCCTCCTCGGCGGCCCTGCCGGAGACGGCCCCGCCTCGCCTCTGCTGGGGACCCGTGCCCAGGTTTCCTGCAGCGGCTCAGGCACCCCGCGGGCCAAAGCAAACCCAGGGTCATCCTCTTGCCCACGACTGCCTGCAAGTCGGGCTGGTTCGTCCCCCGACACCACGCCAGGGGCTGTGCGATTCACTCTAGCGCTCAGAGTGAGGGGCAATGTTTTGATGACCACTTGGAGTTGTCTAGTTCCTATGGAGGGGACCAATGGCCTTGGCAGGCTGCTTCACCAGGTGTTATTGATGTCCCCATAAATATGCCCCCAGGTGCTGTGTAGGAAAGCGTCATCCACTGAGGGTACTGGGGAGTCGTTCCCTGGGAACGCTCTGTAGCCCCTCAGAGCCGTCACCGTGGTCCTGGGAGGCTCTGAGGAGCCCGACTTCCAGGTAGGAGGTGGGCTGGACCCCGTGGAGGCGTAGGATGTGGCCTGTGGGTGTCGCTGTAACGAACAGTCAGGATCACTGCAAGACAGCAGGACCCAGCTTTCCCAGAGCTGGGGCCCTTCCTTGCTTCTTCATGTCTGGTCTACAGAGTGTCATAATCAGTAAGTCCGTGGGACTCACCTGACACCGTTTTTCAGTGTCGGCTTCCCTGGCAGTCGTTCGGGAGAACAGACTCAGAGAAGCAAGGCGGTGGCTGCCCCGAGTAACACCCAGGTGCAGGCGAGTGAGTGCACGTACGGGAGACGTGGTCGGATGAATCAGATGTGCGTACCCTTACACGCCTGAGGTTTGGGGAACCGTTACCGAAGGAGCAAAGGGCAAAGGGAACGTGGAAGCGAGCGGGCCCCCGGGAGAACGCGCCGCTGGGGTCTTGGGCAGAGGCCCCCTGCTTTGCGCGGCCGTCTTCCTCTCCCAAGGCTCCAGGACAGCAGCCGGTTTCTGTGAACTGCCTGTGCGGGGAGGTTCTTGGAAGAACTTTGGTTTATGACCTCTCACTGGTGACTTTATGGTTCTGCAAAGTGTGTTCCCATTTTCCAAAACATTAAGGATAATAAAGACAGTAAGCTCTCCGAATAACTTATGACTGGCCCTCCCAGTAAGATGTGTCTGCATATCGCCAAATAAGTTGGCATGTCCTAGATAAGGAACACAAACTCTAACTGTCTTAGCCCCTATGAGTGCTGTTTTCTTTTTTTTAAGGGGGGGCGGGAAGGGAGAGAAACATCAATGCGTGGTTGCCTCTCATGCGCCCCCTACTGGGGACCTGGCCCGCAGCCCAGGAGTGCGCCTGACTGGGACTGATCATACTGGCGACCCTTAGGGTCGCAGGCCGGCCCTCAGCACACGGAGCCTCAACAGCCAGGGATGTTATTTTTTTTTCCAGCACTATCTTTCCAACCACTGAAGCACAAGGAATGGTTTCAGTTCACCCAGAAAATAAACATACTGTTACTGGCACATTGTTTATAACCTAGAAAATCCACTGAGAGGGACTCAGAGGGCTCTGAGGCTTTGGCTCCAGTGTGTGTCCCATCTTTACACTTTGCCCAAGATTCTGTGTGTCACAGACCCCGTGGGCAATGGCCTGGGAGTCCTGGGGGCCGTCCTGGCTTTGCCAGATGTCATGCGCATGGCCTCACAGCATGGTTGTCCCCTCGCTCCTTTTCGGACTGGGAAGCCAAGCACAGCAGGTCTGCAGGGGAACCCAGGCCCCTCCGCGGGCTGGTTCTCCACCCACTCGGCCGCGGGCCTCGGTGGCCCCGGACGGGCCGCGAGCCTGCCTGTTCTCCCCGCATCCCAGAGCCGAGCGCTGCAGCTGTCCGCGTGCACGGCTGCCCTCCCCTCCTCAGCGGGCCAGCGCGCCCTAGAGAGGGCCGCGGGCCCGGAGGCCACGTCGCTGCCCCGGGGCTCAAGCCCAGCCTGGAGGGCTCTCGCCTCTCCTTTCCTCTTCTGCGTTGTTTCGATTAACAGCTTTTCTGATACAGGAGTCGCGTGCCCGGTTTGCCCATTGAGGGTGCAGCACTCGGCAGTGTTTAGGGCAGTCACAGAGTCGTGCGGCCACTATCGGTGTCCGCGCCTGTCGGCTACTCCAGAGACACACCCCTGCCCACAGCGGTCGCCCCTGTATCCCCGCAAGCCCCCCCAGGGCCCAGCCGTCGCAGGGTCACTTCTGAAAAAGACCCTTCTCTTTCCCCACTGAACCATCTTGACAGCCTCTTCACATTAGTCGGCCACAAATGTGTGGGTTTATTTCCGTCACTTCTGTTCCACTGGCCCATTTGTCCTCGTGCCCAGGCCCCGCTGTCTCGATATCTGTAGCTTTTAAATCATGAAGTGCAAGTCCTCCAACTTTGATTTTCTAGTTCAGGGTGGGCCTGGTTATCCCTGAACTTCCCTTGAATTTCCACGTAAATGTTAAGCTCTCTTCATTTTTAAGGCGAGTCCCATCCACAGGCCCTGCTCAGCTGGGTTTTGGCATGGAGTGTCCAAAAGGCCTCTTCCGGAGACGGACGCCGAGGGGGCGCAGACACACGGGCGGGTGTCTCCTTCCGGGAGGGGTGAGAGAGCTGCTCCGTGGGGACGGGAAGGAAACCAGGCGCCAGGACGGGTTCACTGACCAGCAGGGAAAATAACGGGTGTTTTCAGTCACAGGAGAGGTTCCACAGCATGTGGTCCCCTCTGCTTTAAAGGTGGCGCCAGCACAAACCCCGACGACACTTCAGCCCCATCAGCCAAGGCTGCGATCGCACGGAGGCTGGGAGGACGGGCCTCGGTCCCGGGTGGTGGCCGTGTCGCTGCGTGGGGGCCCTGCGGGCGTGGCCTAACCTCTGCGTGTTCCGGACTCTCCCCGAGCCCCGTTCCAGGCGTCCTCCCGCTGTTGTGGGCGCTTCGCCCCAGGGATCCCGTGTTTGAGTCACACGTGATAAAGGTGTATGAGGGCTCCTACCAGCGGGGATCTGAATCATGTCGGAGAGTATTCCGGGACCTGTAACGATAGCACCCCAGGTCCAGTTCAGCCAGAGGTCCGTTTGCCGAGTGGCCCCCTCCGGACACTGTGGCCTTTGTCCGGGGAATGGAGGCTGTCCTCTGACCGCAGCCCCAGCCTGTGGCTGGGGAAAGAACTGAGGATTGTTAGAAAGTCGCACCCCTGGAGTGGCTCCAGGAAACCAAAGCAAATCTAGCTCGCGTCCCCTCTCCCCTTCCTCAGCGTCCTCTCCACTCCCAGCCTGGCCTCTTCCTGTGTCCTTTCCTGTCCTCCCACGAGCAGGCGCGCTCAGTTCAAGGCAAGCACGCTTCCCCCTTGTGTTCACTACTGCCGGTCAGTCCGCCTGCCCTCTTAGGCGGCCGTAGTGTCTGGTGGGCGGTGCTGGCGCACGTGGCGAGGCAGCCGAGTCCGCTGGCCCGCGACGCCCGGCTGCTGCAGAGGCCGTGAGGCTCCTGGCCCAGAGATGAGGGGCTGCGCGAGCCGCAGCACCGCAGGCGGCACGAGCGCCGTGCTTGCCCTGGTCCCCCTGGGTCTCACTCGCGGCGGCGGGTTTGCACCCCACGGAGGCCCACCCAGCCTGGGAAACTCCCTGCTTCCCTGAGAGCAGAAGCCGGCCTGCCCTTTGGGGAGACATGAGCTCCTCCCGAGATGTTGTTCAGGAAAGAGCTCTGTGTCCCCAGGTCCCCATGTGAACGTGCGGGGACGCTCAGGGCCGGGGCTTGCCTCTCCCCGAGAGCGGCCCCCATGCCGCGGGGGCATCTCCCTGGGGCACCCACAAACCCCCTGGGAACTGAGAGCACGTGCGAGTACAGGCCCCCCTGGGGGAACGGCTGCCTCCCTGGCAGTCTGTGGGTGGTCGCCCCGTTTCTTCCCCAGCGTGAGCGTGGGTTCCTCTGGGGCCCTCTTGGCCGTGGGATCTGCAGGTGTTTAACGGGCATCCTTGGCTCTTCGGAAGCAGAGACACTGGGTCTTGTATTTATTTGGGTGGCCAGATGTTCTACCGGGAGGACCATGAGTTTAGGTTTCTAGATTATTTACTGCCTGAGGCCCCTAGAAAACCTGCAGCCCTGTATTGAGGACCATCCACAGCTTCCCGCTCCGGTCTGTTTGCCAGCGAGGCCCCTGTTGCAGCTCGTCCACCCGGACTCAGGGCAGGACACTTCCGGGCACCCTCGCTTAGGCCGGGTGTCATCACCCAATCAGACGTCTCTAAAGCCGGGTCTGGTGTGTCCTAAACTACAGGACTCTCAGTTGTTTCTTAAGAGTCCGGGGAATGTTTCAGTTCTCAAAAGATAGGTAAACACAAGAGAAACTCCGAAGAGCTCAGGTTTGGACGTCTTCAGACACCTCAGCACGTGTCTGGGGCCTGCCCCAGAGGGGTTCCTAGCGGCCCCCCATGCTTAGTCACTGCCAAGAAGCCTGTGTCCCCTTCCAGCTGTCCCTCCCCCCAGCTGGGCATGGTGCCTGCTCTGAAGGACCCTGCCCTGCGGAGCGCCTGGTCTGGGCCGGGCCCATGTTGGGAGAAGGGAGCAAGCCAGCTCTCTGAGCCCCGCGCGTCCCCTCCCCTCCAGCACGGTCGGGCCGTGGGACAGGCGCGGTGGGAGTCCCTGGTGGTCCGTGTCCACGCCGGCCCCAGAAAACCTCCACCTGGGCCCCCGTGAGCCCACTCTTGTGTCTTCCTTCTCCTCAGAGACGGGCAAGTGCCTTCCCCGGGCCAAGGCCGCCGCCCGGGCCCAGCTGTCCTGCAGCAAGGTGGGCGGCGTGGAGAGCTGCCTCCTCTCCTGCCCGGCCCCCATGCACTTCGCGCCAGGTACCCAGAGGCTGTCCCCGGGATGGGCGGTGCAGGGCGGTGGGCCGCTCCCTTCCCTGGGGTCCGCGGCCTGCCCCTGCCGGTCTCGGGGAGGGAGGCTGGCCTAGGAGCGGGCCCAGCCTTGATCCCTGCGCGATTCTGGGCAGCTGCCGGGTCCCCGTCACCAGCGCAGTGGTCTCGTTCCTGCCCAGCCGCTGACCCGTAGTCGAGTGGCAGAAGTGAACTGACGTAGGGTCAGCCCGTTTCCCGCTGAGGCTCCTGGGGTCTGGGGGCCCTGGACGGGAGGGGCTCCCAGACCCCCCTCACCACCAGCCTCTCTGCAGACTCGGAAAACAGCTACAGCCTGAGCTGCGGTGTCCCCGGTCTCCAGGGCAAGACGCTGCCGAAGCGCAACGGCACCAGCCCGGCCGGGCCCGGCTGCGCAGGTAGTCCCTGGCTGTCCGTGCTGCGACCCCCGGGAGACCCTTGGACTTCGTGTCCGCCTCTGTGCTTGGGGGAGCGGGAGGGGCACGGGCCCAGAGAAGGACTTCCCGGGGTGCTCAGTCGCTGAGAGCAGGGCGGGACCTGGAGCAGGCAGGCTGCTCCCGAGTCCCGGTCCAGGGCCCTCTGACCGGGGGAGGGCCCGCTGACAGCGGCTCCAGGCCACAGCACCAGAGCGGCCCCGTGGCCGGGAGAGGCCGGGAGTTCACGGGTCTCCATGTCAGTGGCGTGAGTGCCGTCTGCTGTGGCCAGTAGGTTCTCCCCTAGTCGGAGCTGCCCTGGCAGGCCTGCCCGGGACGTGCGAGAGGCACATCCCTCGCCCGCCCTGGCACTGCCGGGCCGGGGCCCAGGCCACACGGCGCAGGCAGCTGCCCCTCCAGCAGGAGCAGGCTGGTGTCGGCAGCACCGTTCCTGTCCCGGACGCCGGGTTCACCGGCGGGTGCACCTGTGCGTGTCTGACGCATCCCGGTGGCGTTCTGAGCCTCCGTGATTGCAGGGTTTTTCAGTCCAGGGGGTTGCCGTTCCCTTTCAAAGGAAGCTGTGGTCTGGGCACCTGGAGTACGTCCATCCTCCTTCCCTTCCTTGCCTCCCTCTTTCCCCTGCCCCCTGCCCTGAAAGCTCAAGCTACGTGAACTGGCGTTGGGGTGGGGGTGGGGCTGGGGCTGGGGAAGGCCTTCCTCTCCTCCTCCACGGAAGATGCCGGCCAGATGGCTCCTGGCTTGAGCCTGATCTCACCACCCAACTCGCACCCTCTTCCAGGCCTGGCAGGGAGAGAGACGAGGCCGCGGAGGGGCCCCACCCCAGGTCCTGGCGGATGGGCCCCCCGGCAGCCCCCTCACACTCAGGCACGCCCCTGCACCCCCCGCCCCCACCCCTCTCGGCCCACAGAAGAGGCCACCAGCTGGGGGGACTTTGGCTTTCCCCAGGCGCCCCCACCACCCCCATCAGGCAGAAGGCCCGCTTCAAGATCCGAGACGCCAAGTGCCACCTCCGGCCCCGTGGCCGGGAGCCAGCCAAGGAGGCCCTGAGACAGTTGCTGCTGGGTGAGTGGGCTGCCCTGGTGCCAACCCACCCCAGGGGCAGTGGGGCCCCCCGCCCGGGAGCCAGGCTCCAGCAGGGCTGGGTCTGCAGGGGTGGAGCCCCCCCGTCCTCATCACAGCGGTCCCCTGGCCACAGCAGCCACGCCTGGGGCACTGCAGAGAGCTGGGGTGTCCCTTGGAAGGCGGTCAGCAGTGAGTGGAAAAGTTGGGTCCCCCCCGCATCCCCGGGGGCCATCGTCCCCGCCTCACTGGGGTTAAACGAGCTCCCAGCGCAAGGGCCTCCTGCCTGGCCGCGCCCACAGGGCAGGGGCCCCGGGCTCACTCACAGCCCGTCCTCCCGTGGGGGCAGCCCAGGAGGACGTCCGGGCTGGGGGCAGCGGGGCGGCCTCTCAGCTCTGCTCCCGCGGAGCCGGCTGAGCCCCCAGGGCTGCTCCTCAACCCTGGCCACCCTCTGCGCCCAGCAGGCCCAACGCCAAGGCCCAGCGGCCTGCGCTGGAGCTGCACCAGGGACACGCAGGAGGCGGCTCCCGTGATGGGCTCAGAGGGCGGCGACGGGGCTGGGTCAGCCACCAGCCCCTCATGAGACCTCGAGCCCGGCCTGGCCTTCTCCAGCCTCAGCCTCCCAATCTGCACCTTGGACGATTCTAGTCCAGGCGGGACCCTTGCTGACCGCCGCCTGTGTGCACGGCTAGGGAGGACCCTGCTCCCTGCCCTGTGCGGCTTCGCCACAGCAGCCCCTTCCTTGTCCAGAAAACTGCCACGTGACCTTTGTGGCCCTCAAGTGTGACTCCTCCAAGAAGAGGCGCCGTGGCCAGAAGTCCCCATCGAAGGAGGTGACCCACATCACAGCAGAGTTCGAGGTTGAGACAAAGGCGGAAGAGGCCTCAGGTGGATGAGGGGCCCCTCGTGGGCTGCAGAGGACCGCGGGGACGGCGGGGACCGGGAGGTGGCGGGGGTCTGCCGGCGAGCCAGGGGGCCCCCGTCTCAGCCACAGCTGCTGGACGTGGAGGCTGGCCTGGCAAGTGGGGGGCTGGCAGAGTCCCTGCCTACAGCCCCGGGCGGAGGAGGAGGCCCGGGGCCCCGGGGAGCAGGGCCAGGCCCCACAGGGACAGCCACGCAGCCTCTCCCACCCGTCCCCGCCCTCGCTGGGGCCGGGAAGCGCTAATACCTGCAGCCTTCCCGGGACAGTTGAGCCAAAGCCTGTCTTCCCCAGGTTCCAGAGGGGAACCTGTAACTCGTACCAGCACCTTCCTCTCGGCCGTATATGAGCGTTGAGTTGTGGCCGAGGAGCTGAGGCCTGTCAGCACGTGTGGGCTGTGTGCGCCCAGCCCCCGCGCACTGGAATGCAGGGACCAGGCACGGCGCCCCCAGCGGAGGCACTTGCAGCCGCAGGGAGGCAGACGTGCACACAGGCCTCCCAGCGCTGCGCACACACTGGATGGTGGGGCGTGGGAACGACAGGGCACAGAGCTGAAGTTCCTACCCCGAGGCGGGGCCCAGGAGTCTTCCCAAGAGAGGTGTCATTGATTCAGGACTTGAAATCAAAGTTCACCAAATGGGAGAGGTGGCAGGGAGTAGCATTCAGGCAGAGGGGAGAGAATAGGCAAAGGCACAGAGGTCAGAGAGAGCAACACGTGTCGAGGAAGCAGTGAGTAAGGCAGGGTGTCCCAAAGCAGTCACGGCGGTGTGGGGGTGCTGCGGGCTAGGGCTGGCAGGGCCACGCCATGAGAGGCTGGGGTTCAAGGCCAGGGTGCTGGACATCCTTCTGGGAGCCGCGGCCGCCTCGAGCCTGTTCAAGGGGCAGGGAGGCGCTCCCGTCCGTGAGCCGTGCCCTGGGGAGGTGACGGCTTGTCGTAGCAGGGGCCTGGCACTCAGGTCGGCTGCATGGCCGTGGGCAGGGGGTACCTCTGCGAGCCTCAGTCTCCTCCCCTCATCTGTCAGGGACGCAGCAAGGCTGCCTCGCCCCAGGGGAGGCCTGGGGCAGAGACAGCGCCTGGGGGGCTGTGGGTGACAGCGGCAGCCTGCCCGCCCCTGCAGACACCTGTGAAGCGGACTGCGTGCGGAAGCGAGCCGAGCAGAGCCTGCAGGCCGCGCTCAGGACTCTGCGGAAGGCCATCGGCCGGCAGCACTTCGCAGTCCAGGTCGCAGGCATTGAGTACGAGGTCACGCAGCGGCCGGCCAAGGCCCCGGAGGCCCAAGGGACATGTGGCACAGGCCGGGTGCTCCGGGACGGCAAATGCGGTGAGTCCCTGCCCACGGCCACCCGCTCTGTCCTTCCTTCCACGAGTGGCCCAGGAGACCGCGCATGAGGGAGACAGACACACTGGAGGGGACAGAGCAGCAACATGAGGCCCAGCAGAGAGAAGCACCGAGCACTTGTCATGGTGTCACAGAAAGAGCACGCCCTGGGGCCAGGCCCCGGGCAAGCCTGTCGCTCAGTGAACGTTTGTACATGTGACCTGCACTGTAGTCCTGACGGGTGAGAGGGGGCGGGGGGGGGGCACAGGCAGCAGGGCCACACGCGGGGCCAGCGCTCGTGGTTCGAGGCTTCCTAGAGGGGCCGCATGGGAGCCGAGAGCAGAGGAGGAGCAGGGCCACCCAGGGGTGCAGCGTGGCCGGCAGGGCCTGGTGAGCGAGGCTGGTGACTTGACCAGAGCCCCCCAGCGGCTGACATGGTGACGGAATGGTCCACAGGCGGCCCCAGCGGCCGAGCGGTGGGGTTTGGTTTAGGTGGGGGAAGACGACAGACGTGCTCAAGGGAGCACACCACAGGCAAGGCGGGGGCCCCGGGGCCTGGCCGCTGGGCTGCTCCCACGCACCGTCTGCCACGGGAGGGCTGCGTGGAGGGGGCCGGTGGAGGGGAGGCTGGCAAGAGAGAGTAGAGCCCAGAACCCCTGACAACAGGAGAGGGAGAGAGACCGAGACGGTCTCCGAGTGCTCCAGCTAAGGGGGCGGGGGCAGGAGGCCGCAGGGGCGGTTCAAAGGGTCTGGGCATCGTGCGCGGAGGTGGCATCGCCCCTGCTCCGGGGAAAACCTGGGGCGGGGGTGGCCGAGTAGGGAGAGCCAGCTGTATTTGTGCGCTTGAGCTGTCGCCGCGTCCCCACGTGAGGCCCTCCGCACCTGGCGGCTGGAGCCACAGGGCTGGAGCGCAAGGCACGGGCTGGGCCAGAGGTCGGCCCCGGGGAGCTGCTGGAGAAGGGGCTCCGTGGGGCGGGGCGGGGCGGGCACCCCGCTCAGGCGGTGAGGTGGGCAGAGCTGCCTTCCACTGTCATTCTTTTATTTTTTATAACTTATCTCAAAGTCATTTCAAACTTGCAGAAACATTGCCACACAGAACAAAACATCCTGTCTCCTCAGCCAGATTCCCCCGTGTGAACCTTCACACCAGCTGCTCCCGTGTGCTCCCGTGTGCGCGCGTCGCCCTGCAGCCCACACTCCGCCCCCTCCTCTCCCCGAACGTCCCCTCTCTCGCTCCCTCACCGTCTCCAGCCCTGTCCTTCGTTGCTCCGCAGTCGGCTCCCTTGCTCAGAGCAGCCGACCACGCTGGCTCTGTCTTCATCCCCCATCTCTGCACCACCCCCAGCCGCCAGCCATCCTGCCTATGCCTCTGTCACTCCCCTAATCCTCTGCGCTGTCCATGTCCTGAGGTGCCACCTCCCACACACGGGGAAGGGAAGGGGGGAGCAGGGAAGCTGAGCTTGGACGAAATGGCTGTGGCCCGTCCGGGGGGCAGGTGGTACCCAGGCCCAGGGCTCGGTGCTGGAGAGAGAGCAGGATGTGGACAGAGAGGGAACAAAGGGCCGGCGAGCCTGGACCACAGCATTTACGAGAAGGCAGAGCGGAGGGGTCTGCAGCGACCCTGAGCGGGGACAGCCAGGAGGGGGCGTGAGACCAGGGTCTGGCCTCCAGGGTCCTCACCGACGGCCCCGCCTGGCCTCTACTGCTGGCACTTCTGGGACAGGTCAGGGCCGCTCTGTGCCCTTTAAGCCACAGGTACGAGGGCTGTGCCCTCTCGGGGGGGACAGAGCCTGGGCTTGAGGCACTGGCAGACAGACCACCCAGCCACCGGCAACCTCTCCACTTTGTTTCTGCAGTGGCCTGTGAGCCTGGCACCTACTTCCACGGAGATTCTGGCCAGTGTGCGCCGTGCACGCCGGGGACCTACCAGGACGGGGTTGGCCAGCTGAGCTGCACGCCGTGCCCGAGCAGCGACGGGCTCGGCCTGGCTGGTGCCCGCAACGTATCTGAATGTGGAGGCGAGTGTGGGCCCGGCCTGGAGGGAGCCGCAGGGCAGGGACAGGGCTCCTCCCCGCCATGGTTCCCAAAGCTAAGGCTGAAGCCTGTGACGCTGGTAAAGCTCCGCTCTTCGCAGAGCCCATCCCGACCCGTGCGGCTGCGCTTAGTGGGCGCAGCACAGACCCGCAGTGGCCGTGTGGCAGCGGGGCCACGCGGTGAGCGTGCTCCTGGCTGTGCGCGCTGGGCTGCCGGCGCGCCCCCTGCAGTTTGGAAAGGACATTACGGTTTACAAACGCCTGATGGTTTATGGGGTCAGCTTGTGGTTACACGGGAGGCACAGGGTGCTTCACAGTGGACCACACGCGGTGCATTTTGCGGGGCACGCCACCACCATGGAAAGGCTTTACAGAGTGTGCCATGTACTAGGGCAGGAACCTTCTTGACACCGAGAGCATCACAGTTTGCCCTGGAGAGGGTTCAGAAAGCCTTTGGTCCATGTGCCAAGCACAGTTTGGTTTGCAAAGAGCTTTTCCGTTTACTGCCCCACTTAAACCTCGTCTGTGTAAAGGGCTCAGGGCCTCTCCCCCCACAGCCTTCCTTCCGGGCTATTCTGGGACTCACCCAAGGGAATGTGTGGGGAAAGCTATGCCTGCGAGGGTGGGTGAGTGGGATCCTTAGGGTGGTGGAGACCCCCAGCCTTTCCTGGGGACAGAAGAGATCGGAGCCCAGGCCTGAGTTCTGCAGGCTGCCCGGCGACCTCTGGCCCCTGCCCCTCCAGCAGCAAGGTCTCTGCCCCAGCAGGGATGGTGACCGTGAGGGACCTCAGAGTGGCCACTGGTGGGAGCCGAGTCCAGGGTCTGGGCCGAGAGGGCACTAACTGCCCCCCGCTCAGTGCCCAGATGCCCTGAGATAAATGACCTCCTGCCACCTCCCATCTGTCCATGGGGCCCCACACTTCCCAGCTCAGCGGCGAGGCCAAGGCCGTTTGCTCCTCTTGCCGGTGGAAGGAAATGGCCGTGGGTCGGGCCTTGGGCCTCCTCCCAGGCACCCCTCCACCCCCACCCCACCGTTGGCTCTGTGGTGCCCTCCCGGGTCGGGGGGACCCTGAGAGCAGGGCCTGGACCCCGGCAGCCTGAGCGAGGCCCGCCCTCTGTCTCGCAGGCCAGTGCTCCCCAGGCTCCTTCTCCGCCGACGGCTTCCGGCCCTGCCAGGCCTGCCCCGTGGGCACGTACCAGCCCGAGCCCGGGCGCACCGGCTGCTTCCCCTGCGGCGGCGGGCTGCTCACCAAGCACGAGGGCACAGCTTCCTTCCAGGACTGCGAGGCCAGGGGTGAGGGCGCCGCGCTTTGCCCGCAGGCCCAGCGGGGCTGCTCGGGCCCTTTCCTGCCCTGCCAACCTCCCGGCCGGAGGAGGAGCCCGGGACTGTGGGGCTGGGGACATGGGTGACCAGCGCTGTGCCGCACACCAGGATGGCACGGCAGGGCCCCGCGGGAGCCTGGAGTTCCAGCCCAGAGCACTGGGCGCCGAGAGCCGCGAGGGGGAGCCCCAGTGCCTCTGGGCCCCCAGCCGCACGTGGTGGGGAGGCTGTGGGGAGGAAGGGGAGGAAGGGGAGGAAGGGCAGGGGCAGCAGGGACGGTGGGCCAGGTCCGGGCCTCGCCCTAAGAGAGACCCGCCCTCCGGGCTGCCTGCGGAGACCCCGCCACCCCTTCCCTCCGTGATCCCCCCACTCTCCCCCAACTCTGGGCCTCGCTCTCTGCCGGCCCTGCGGCCGTCAGTGCCCCTCAGACGGACCCGCCCCCTTCTGCGCCCCGCCTCAGGTGGGGCCACGCCCCTCCACGCCCCCCTTCATACAGCACCCGCTCCCGTCTGCGCCCCCCTCTAACATGGGACGCCTCTCCCCTCCACACCCCCCTCAGCACCCCGCTCGCCTCTGCACCCCTCCCTCAGACGGCACCCCGCTCCCCTCCGCGCCCCCCCTCACGCGGGACTCCACGCACCTCTTCACACGGGATCCCGCTGGCCTCTGCGCAGCCCTCAGACAGACCCTGCTCCTCTCCACGCCTCCCCCTCAGACAGAGGCCCTTTGGGGCCCTTCTCCGCTGATGCCCCAATTGATGTGCTGGGGAACATAGGGTCACTCTGAAGAAGGGGACCCCAGCTCTCCAGCCTGCTCTCCCGCAGCTCCTGCCAGGCGCTCTCCCCTTGTGTGAGCGTGTAGCAAGTGTCTGGACTCCGCGTCCGCTCCCCACCATTCTCTCCTGAACACCCCCCCAGCCAGTCAGGCTGTCCCCCACTGCTCCCCGAGAATCGCTCCCATTTAAGCGGCCTGCGGGGTCCCTGTGTTGCTGGAGCCCCAGTCAGTTCCCGTTTGGTCCCCTGCACCCCCCCACCACGTGCTTGGCAGGGAGCAGGGTGTCGGTCTTGGGACGCGGGGACGGCTGGCCTACTTCCCCCGCGGCTCAGACCCCGGGTCCTCAGAGCCGGACAGGGCCGCAGAGCAGAGGGGCCAGCGGCTTGGGGCTGGACCGCGTCGGGGGAGGGCGCGGGGCGGCGGGGAAGGGCCTCGAGCTCTGTGCTGAGACCCGGGCAGGGAGGGCGGGAGACGGCCGCCCCTTCGCCAGCGCGGCCCCTCCCCACAGTGCACTGCTCGCCGGGCCACCACTACAACACCACCACCCACCGGTGCGTCCGCTGCCCTGTCGGCACCTACCAGCCCGAGTTCGGCCAGAACCACTGCATTACCTGCCCGGGCAACACCAGCACCGACTTCGATGGCTCCACCAATGTCACGCACTGCAAAAGTAGGTGCTGGTCTTCCCTGGGTCTGAGCCGTGGGGCGCGGGGCGAGGCTGGGGCAGGACGTCCCCCTGGAGCCCTGCGGTATGGGCACTGTGCCGGCCTGGCCCGCCCTGCAGAACACCGATGGCGCCCGGCACTCACCGGTTCCGTCGCGCTCAGGAGCAGCCTGCACCTCGGTGCCAGGCCGGGCCCTGCTCCGGGCTCTGGGCCTGTGGAGGGAGAAGCCAGGCCGGGCCGGCAAGTCCGGGGCAGCTGCCCAGGGCCAGCCCTGCCGTTGGGAGGCATGCACCAGCCAGACTGCCAGCGGGTGAGAACCAGACCGCCTGGGCCACGGGAGGCAGGACGCTAGGTGTGCTCAGCGAGGACGTGCAAGAAGAGGCCGAGCACCTGCTTCTGTTCATAAGAAACTTAGTTCACCCAAAGGCACGTGGGCAGCATCAGATAACTGGGGAAATCGATAACACCTCAGGCCCACGCTTACCAAGTCATCTGGGCCTAACAAAGAGGAAGCCATCTTTATTTTAGGTATTTTTGATTCATTTTTCAGAGTCCTTTGGGGCCTATGCCCTGGTATTTTACCCTTTCCCACTTCAGTTTCCAGCCAGTTAGTCGCTTTCCTGGGCTGCCAGCCCTGTCTGGAATAGCCTGAAGGCCCTTGAAAGGGATTTAATCCTGGAGGTGGAAGCCGTCCCCTCCGCCCAGGGCTGTCCCCAGCTGGGTCCGTGGCCCCCTGGGGCAGAAAAGCAGGCACGGTGGAGCTCAGAAGAGATGGCGTGCTAAACGTCCCGATGAGTAAAAGTGGGGAAGCCAAGTGGGAAGGAAGTTTCTGGAACAAAAAGCTGAAAAATTAAACATTTCCCAGAAACTGATATGAGAAGAGGATTTTTAAAGGAAAATGTATGAGAAAATTACCAATATTTACATTCCACTCTCTTTGCTTAAAGATGGTGACTTCCTTTATCAGCTTCAGGCCAGGAACCATTTAAGTTCATAAAAAAACGTCACACGCGTCCTCCCCGAGGACAGCCGGCCGAGTTAAAAAAGAAAAAACGGGAGGTGTGCCGGTCCCTCAGCCTCCCCGCTTCGCGGGAAGGGCCGCCCACCTGGCGCGTTCGGGCACCGGGCGATGTCGAGTGAAGGCGCGAGCAGATGAAGAGGGTGGAGACGAAGCGGGCGCTGGGGCTCGCGCGGGCTCCGGGAGCTGCTGGGGCGCTGGCGCCATCCGGGAGGCCCAGAGGGGGCCCAGCCGCAGAGACTGGGCTGAGGCAGCCGAGGGCGCCGAGGAAGGAGGGGTGCCCACTGGGCCTCAGAGGGCCAACACAGGTGGGACCTGCCCTCCCGCTGAGGGCAGCGCCGGGGGAGGGGTCCCCCGGGCCTGGGGAAACGGGCTCCGGGCCTGGCTGGCCAGCGGGGAGGGCCAGGCGGAGGCAGGCCAGGGCAGGGACAGGGACGAAGCCCGGCAAGCCCCCCAGGCTGCGGCAGGCCCTTCAGGCCAGGGCGCCCACCCGCTGGGCCTGACCAGGCCCCCGGGCCGCGGTTCCCACAGACCAGCACTGCGGTGGCGAGCTTGGGGACTACACGGGCTACATCGAGTCCCCCAACTACCCTGGCGACTACCCAGCCAACGCAGAGTGCGTGTGGCACATCTCACCGCCCCCCAAGCGCAGGATCCTGATCGTGGTCCCCGAGATCTTCCTGCCCATCGAGGACGAGTGCGGTGATGTCCTGGTCATGCGCAAGAGTGGTACGTGCGGGCCGAGGCGGGGTGACGCCCGTCACCACCTGTGCACAGCTGCTCGGGGCAGGGTTTAGATCCACTTCTGTCTGACTCTAAGAGGTGGGTGTTACAGAGCTGTATGGAAAGGTCTGGAAAGCTTCGGGTGTGCCGCTGTCTCATTTCAGTTGTCCTTCCGTGCCCAGCCACCCCATCCAGAGTGAGACCCCGGGAGTGACCCCTACTCCACAGGCCTCCCTGTCCCTCGGAAGCTGGGCGGGGGTCCGCAAAGGGCCAGTCTGTGCCCACACACAAGACGCCCAGGGTCAGACGGCCCATCCCCTCCCCCCCGTGAGCCCCAGTCTCCTGGCCCGTCGCCCCCATCGGGCTCATGGTGAGACTTCCGGCGATGAGCAGTGGGCCGGGGACCGCAGATGCCCTTGAGTCCCCCCCGGGGACCAGGCTTGCTTCCCCACGGTGTGTGCTCCCAGTCAGCGGTCAGGGACGGAGGAGGACACAGGCAGACACAGAAACACGCCTGCCCGCTGCTGCCCTGGGCTGCTCGGTCTTGGTCACCATCTCCCACTCACTGCAGCGGAGGAGCCGGAAACGCGCAGTGTTCGAACAGAAGGCCTGAGGCCACAAAGGGCCAGGAGCTGCCCAGGGTCCCACGGTAGCTCAGAGCGCAGCCTGGGACCATGTCCCCACCCCTGCCTGTCTCCAGCCTCCCAGACCCAGCATGCTCCCCACGCTCCACTATTCACATACAGGGCTGAGCTCTAAGGGGAGCCAGCCTCTCCGGCCTCGGGGCACCTCAGGAAGGCTCCCCAGGGAACAGTAAGGTGTTGGGTACCCCAGGCCCTCACAGGTAGGACCCTCCCCAAATCTGATCCCCTCCCACAGCCCTGTCCTTGAGAAGCGGGTGGCAGGGAGACAGTGACATCCCTGTGAGAGAGGCTGTAATAAAGGGTTCAGCAGAGCAGGGATGTGGTAGAGAGGACGGAGAAGTCAGGAAGGCTTCCTGGAGGAGGGGACATGGAAATGGGCTCTGAAGGACAAGTAGGAACTGGGGTTGAGGGTTGAGGGCAGGGAAGGACATCTGACGCAGAGGGAGCAAGTGTGGAGACTAGGGAGCTAGAGTCTTTGGAGCAGTGGTCCTTGTGGGTGCTGGGTGGCTGACTGGGTGGGGAGGCGAGCAGCCCAAGGGAGGAGGACAAGAGCCAGTCAAGGAGCAATGGCGTGTCTTCACCCTCAGCCTCGCCCACATCCATCACCACCTACGAGACCTGCCAGACCTATGAGAGGCCCATCGCCTTCACCTCCCGCTCTCGGAAGCTGTGGATCCAGTTCAAATCCAATGAAGGCAACAGCGGCAAAGGCTTCCAAGTGCCCTATGTCACCTACGATGGTAAGTGCAGCCACCCTGCGCACCCAGCCCAGGCCAGCCCTGGGGGCACAGAGCCTAATCACACCCTGCCCCCACCGCCCCGCCTCCGCCCCCGCCTCAGGTGGCTCCAGCCTCGGGGAGCGGGGCACAGGCCCGTGACGCATCCAAGGCACGGACTGGGGAGCAATGAGCGGGGTCTGCGGGCTTCAGCGCGAGGCACCGCCCAAGCAGGGTGTCGAGGATTAAGGGGGGCGTCCCGGCCAGCCAAACCCCGAGGACAGTTTGGGCGGCGGGCACACAGGCGCGGAGGCAGAGCGCCTGTGGCTGGCGCGGGGGCGGGCAGGGGCCGCGCCGCTCTGGAGCCTCACCTTCCTCCCTCCGGCGGGGCCCAGAGGACTACCAGCAGTTAATAGAAGATATCGTTCGTGACGGACGGCTCTACGCCTCGGAGAATCACCAGGAAATTTTGAAAGTGAGTGAGCGTCTTTACGGGAAGGGCTCCTGTGATCCCGGGACAGGGACCTGTGGGGATCAAGGGCCGTCCCTGCCCCCAGTCCCCAGAGAGCAGGGGAGGAGGGTGTGGCAGGTGAGGAGAAGGTGCCAGGTCAGAGGGGCCTGGGGGCAGGGAGGGGCAGAGACTGGCACATCTGGTGGTTTCTAGCCCAGCGCCTGGCGACTTGTCCTCGGGCAGGTCCCTCACCAGCTCTCGGCCTGGCTTTCCGTGCCCGTGGAGTAAGAGTGGTTTGACAAGGAGGCCCCTTAACATCAGTGGAATCCAGTGCTGCTTTTGGCATAGACTCCCTTGTCATCTTGTTTGTGGCCCCCAAAACAGCCACCTTGCCACGCAGGGGTGCAGGGGGCTGTGGCTGTCAGGCAGCAGACGCCGTCCAGGTCACGGCCCTGGGTCCTCACCTCGAGGGGCGGTGAGGCTGGAGGCCAAGAGGGGGCTGGGCCGGTTGGCAGGCTGCCCTCTGCTCCAGCTGTCACTCCCAGCCTGGAGTCAGGGACAGCGCACAGCGCCGGCCCTGCAGGCCCACCGCGCTCCCGCACGCAGTGGGCCGGCTGTCAGTCGGGAGGCTTGTCATGCGTCCTCCTCATGCGGAGGCGGCGCTGCCGCGGTTCGCACGCAGCATTCTCTCACCAGCGCCTGGCCCTGCTGCTGGCCCGGAGCTCTCGGTGCTTGGAGCTCCTCTTCCCCTCAGGCCCTTCTGGTGGGCGGGAAGCAGAGGGCCATCCTGGCCTCCCCGTCGGCCTGTCCTGCAGACAGTGCCCGGCACTTTGCTCCTCGCGGGCCCTCTGCCAGAGCGGCCCTCTGCCGCGGCTGCGCGTCCCGGCGGGGAGCGGCTCGTCGGAACGGGAAGGGTTTGGTTCTCGGGATGCAAACCTGGGCCAGCGGGGCCCAGCCCGGTGCAGCCGCCGCCTGCTCTGCGGGGGCCCTGGGGCCTCGGAAATGGGCCGCTCCGCTCACCAAGGCCTCCCGGGGACCTTCCTCTCCTGCCTCATTTCTCAGTGAATGTCCACTCGTCCTTCCGCTCCCACCCCAGGCGGCCCATCCTCAGGGCAGCCCGCCCGGACTTCCCGGACCGTCGGAGTCGCAGGCGGCCCTCTCCCTCGGCACCTGTCACGCCGCTGTGTCCGTCTGTCCTGTGATGACAGTATCTGGTGCCCTTCCTCCTCATGCGGAGGCGGCGCTGCCGCGGTTCGCACTCAGCATTCTCTCACCAGCGCCTGGCACCGCGCCGGGCGCACCGGAGGGGGCTGGGGGCGTTTCTCAAGGGCGTGGATGTGTGCGCGTACGTGTGAGAGAGAACATGAGTGTGTGCGGGGACACGTCAAACCCGGCCAGAGTCACAGAGTGACGGTGAGCACATGGTGTGGCGGCTGCCCTTCACGGGCCGCTCCTGTGGGCCGGGCTCGGGGGCCCTGCCGCAGCCCTTGGGGACGCCGCAGCCGGGCCTCATGCTGCGCCCGAGGGCCCCTCCAGGGGTGCATCACCCACTGTAGAAACGATGGCCCTGGGGGCCCAGCTATGAAGTGAGAGCGCCAGAGTGCGGGGCACGTCTGCCTGTGCAGAGACCGTGCGGCGAGGACAGCGCTGGGCCCAGCCTGTCCTCCTCGCAGCCTGGGGAGGAGGGGCCCTGCCGCTCAGGTGGAGGAAGGTCACTCCAGAGCGGAAGAGCCATGTCCCAGGTTAGGAAGCTAGGGAGTAGGCTCCGGAACTACAGTTTTAAACCCAGGTCTGGTTTCCAAAGTGTTTTGTTTTGTTTTGTTTTGTAGCAGAACCTTATTAAATAAAGGAGTATTAGGACCCCAAGAGTTCAAACCAATAGACTGTTTTTTAAAATTTTTGTAAGTTTATATGAGACAAACTGACATATGCCGAGGAGCAAGATCTCAAATGCTCCCCCATTAAACTATTTAAAAACCAGTTAGCCAGTGAAAACTAAGGCCTGTTTATGGAGAGAGTCTGTGCGGTCCTCAGGCCTGCCAGCCAGTCCAACATGTCCCACTCCGCCGTCCCTTGCAGACACCCCGCAGCCCCTTCGGCCCGGCCTCGCCCCCGCCCCGCCCCTCCCGGCCCCGCCCCGCCCCGCACGCTGAAGAGATGAGCGGCAGGGCCTCCAGCCCAGCCCAGCCCCTCCCGGGACCTCAGCGGCCTGGCCGTGTCTTTCAGGACAAGAAGCTGATCAAGGCCCTCTTCGACGTGCTGGCGCACCCCCAGAACTACTTCAAGTACACAGCCCAGGAGTCCAAGGAGATGTTCCCGCGGTCCTTCATCAAACTGCTGCGCTCCAAAGTGTCCCGGTTCCTGCGGCCCTACAAATAACGCCGGTGCAGCGCCCTGCTTGGGGATGGCCCGCGGCCGGGGGCGGGGGCGAGGAGGGGGCCCGCCCTCCACAGCAGAAGCTCGGAGGTGGCTCCACGGGCCCGCAGGCCGACTTGGGGAGTCCCCGCGGCGGCTGCCCTCCGGGAAGGCCGACCACCGGGAGGGCGGGACCACGCCCAGGCGGAGGCCCCAGCCCGCCTGCGCTCCGCCTCCCATCGCTGCCGCCGTGGGAAAACATTTTCTAAGGAAGCCTTCCTCCTTCCCTCCTTTCCGCCGCCTGCCCATTTCCAGGCCCCCGAGAGCGCCTTCTCCTGGCAGGACACTGCACCGCCACGCGGGCGGGTCCTGGTGGGGCGGGTGGGAAGACGGCAGGTGACCCTGGAGTGACAGACGCTGCGGGAGGCAGGCGCGGGGCTGCCGAGGCTCTGGGGAGGCTCTGGGGGGCCCAATCGGAGACGGGAAGCCAGGCCTCGGGGCGGAGGGTGCGCGTGGGCATCTGGAGGGCTTTGATAAGCGGGGTGCGGCTGCCGCAGGGGCGTCCACACCCTGACACATCCGGAGCCCCGGCCACAGGCCCAGGACACGCCGTCGCCTTGGGGTCAGGCTCCAAGGATTCTGAGAGGGCACAGGAGGCTGCTGGGGTGGAAACTGTAGATTTGTGCTTTCCCTTGATAGAGCGTCTAATTAAGTATTATATGTATAAATATAAATATATATATATACTTCTATTTGTGGGTACTTTAGGGAAAGTCTCTTCAGTAACTGTAAATATTGTGAACCCACCTGGTCTCCCGGCAACCAGTGTGCGCCCCAGCTGTTGCCAGCTTCCCTGGCTGATTAAACGGCTTCTCCGGGTGCCGGCCACCGTTTGTGTGGGGCCCGGAGCCTGCAGGACTGGGGACGAGGCAGGCTCGCCCTGGACACCCTTGGGAAGACAAGTTCCTTGGGAACTGGGCTCCAGGGCCTTGCTGGAGTGTTGCCCGCAGATGGAACGTGGTGGAAGGCAGGTTCCCCCTGAACCCCTCACTGTGGGTGTGGGGACATAGCAATGAACTTCTGAAGGGGCCTGTGCCTGACCCTGAGGCCATGACCTTGGGGTCCATGCTGTGACCTTGTGCCACCAGAAGCAGGGCCTTCACCACGGGACCACAGGCCATGCGACCACAAGGGGCCTCGAGAGCAGCAGCCTCCCCCCTTCTCCTGAACTCGAGGAGGCAGGTGGCCGCCCCAGGCAGAGGCAGCCGGGGCTGGAGCGCTGGCTCCAGGGCCAGCTTCTTCCTGCTGTGCTGCTCTGCCTCCCTCTTGCAGTCTCTTTGTAAAGAAGAAAAGTCTGGAATTCCACCAGGCTGCTGGAGTCCCGCCCAGCCAGGAACCCAGCGCCCGGGACAGCTGTCGCGGCCCTGACGTGCCGAGGCCGGTCTGCAGGGACGGCGGGCTGCCAGGCACCGGCCGGGCGTGGGATGTGCTGTGTGTGTGTAGGTTAACGGGTGTTCAGAATTCCAAGGAACATGGGAGAATCTTAAAATGAACCCCACCCCCAGGCTGTTTCCTCCCCACCACCCCCCGCGTCTGTGGCCAAGGATGGCGAAGGCTGAGGCAGGCCGGTGAGGTCTCCAGAGACTCAGGGCTCGGGGACAAGGCGGGTCACGGTGAATTTTACCATCCAAAAGGCAGCTTGGAACTCAGGAGTCACCTGCAGCCATCGCCGGTCCAGGCCGGGTCCCCCACCTGACTGCCACCAGCACCTTCTCCGCCAAAATCCAGCACAAGGAGGGAGGGACAGCACCGGGGGCCGGGTCTGGGTCTGCCGCGGAGCCCCACGGGGCCACACCGCCCTTCCCCTGGCCACAGTCCTTGAACGCCAGTCTTAGTTCTCTGACAGATGCCTTTCTGCCCTCGTCAAGTCCTTGGTCACCCCCTGAAATCAGACGAGGGTCCTCCAGAGCGAGCCCTCAGCAAGAGCTCCAGGGGAGGGGGCTGGGAGTGGCTTTTTTCAATTGTCCCCCAAAAAACAGAAAGGGCCAGAAAGACCTCTCACCTCTCTGACCTCTTCCTGCTGCTCCTGAACGTGGTTTCCAGCACGTGCCACCCACATGCCCACTAACCCGCCTGCCCTTTTGGTGGGAGTCCACTCGCGTCCCACAGCCTCCCCACCACTGCGACCAGACCCTGCCCAGTGCCCCTGGCAGAGCAGGTCAGGGCAGACCCGGAGGTGGGGCCCCTCACCCCTCCATGAGGACCAGGAAGCCAGCCACCCACCCCATCAGCACCCAGGCCTCCATCCCCAGTAAACCGCCTCCCACACCAGTGCGGGGGGCACAGAGTCCAGGGGTGGGGCCTGGCCTAAACCTCCATGTCAGGGGTCCCACCTTGTGAGCCCAGAGCTGTCCCCAGTCCTCAGGGCCCAGTGGCCCTGGGGGCTCCCCCTGGGCCACAAGTCACACTTGTACACGTTTCCACATCATGGAAGCCAGTGGCAGCTTGGCTGATGCAAGGCAGCTGTTCCACCTGGTTCCAGGTGGAGGTGGAGAGAAAAAAGAAGGCAGGAAGGGACTGGGCTCAGGGAGGGCGGATCCCGCAACGAGTCCCGAAGAAGGACAGAAGCCGAGGACCAAGGCGGCGCAGGCGGCCCGAACCGCCCCAAGGGGAAGCCAGACACGGAGGGGCGGAGCCAGGAGGAGCCCAGCCCACTCCCGATGAGCACGGGCCTCGAGCAGCCGCAGCCCCACCCCAGCCAGGGTCTGCCCTTTGCCTGGCACGGGCCTCTGCTGGCCAGCCAGTCAGTGGACTCCAAGGAGAGGAGCTAAGGGACAAGCTTCTGGAAGCCGAAGGCTGCCCGGGCGGCCAGGACTGACGTCAGGGGCCGACGCCTGGAGGCTCCAACGAGCCCGGCCAGCGGGAGACACTCTGAGGAGGGCACCCCGCCCCGACACCAGGGACAGTGGGCCTGCGAGAAGACCCCCGGCCCGCGTCCCGGCCTCTCCTTCAGATCCGGCCGCCGGTCACGCCCCCAGTGAGTGTGTGCGAAGGTCGCTTCGTCCGCTGCCCCCAGTTAGGCTTATTTTTCCCCAGTGACTCTCTCTGAGCCGGGGCCTTGCAGGTGTGGCGGCGGGCTGGACTCTTCCCTCCTGCCAGTCCCTCAAACAGCAGAGTGGGCCTCTGCCCCCGAGGCCACACCTGCCAGTGCTGTGACGTCATCCTTCCCCCAGCGGCCGCAGGGGGCAGTCCTCCCCAGCTCCGCCCCACAGGCTCGAGGGGGCCCAGGCAGCAGTCGCCGACGCTTTCCCTCCTGCCCCTGTCGGTGAGGGACACCCATAAAGTAGAGCTGAGGATGGCAGTGTCCCCAAGAGGCCAGCTTAACACCTGAAGGTAGAACCTGTCTGCTCCCACCTCCTATAAACCCTCGTTCTCCCGGAAACACGGCCGACGTCACCCATTTTCCAGGACAAGAGGCCCTGGCCCACCAGAGCTGTAGCAGGTCCCTAAGTGGCATTTGGGAAGAGTGAATAATTATTCCGGCACCTCCACCGCCCCCGCAGGAACATATGATACTGAACTAAGTTGGGTCATTTAGCAAGTGTTTGCTGAGCACCTACTGTGTGCTAGGCTCTCAGAAAGGGAGGAAGACCACAGCCAGGGCCGACGGGATCCCCTGGGAAGCCCCTCTGGTCACAGAGGAAGCTGGGGGTGGGCAGGGCAGAGCAGAGCTCAGCAGTCTCCTCAGGAGAAGACCCCCCTACCTGCAGCGCTATCCAGGCCCCTTAGTGGGGATTGAGGGCGAGGGTGGAGGGTGTGTGCAGACAGGGCAGAGCTGGGGACACATCTGCATGTCAAGAAAGATGTCGCGGGAGAAGCTGCAGCCACCCCCCCCCCCCGCCCCCGACCATGGGCAGAAAGAGACGTGCACAGGCCAGGGCTGCCAGCCTCGGAGCCCGGCCACGGCCCAGGACGGCATGCTCTGCCCCCACGCAGCGCCTGCCGCTGGCACCTACACACCCCGCGCTCCAGAACGGAGCCTCCGTTCTTGTCACCCAGGAACCCCAGATTTTTTTGACCTCCCTGCTCCCTGCTTGGAAGTTAGCCTGGTAAACCACATCTTCCTTGTTCACCAAAGATATACATGGCGGCAGCCCAGCCCTTCTGACCAGGGCAACAGCACAGAGCCGATGCCGTTCAGGCCCAAGGCGGAAGGACTTGACGTTGCAGAGACAGCAAATAGCTCCTGTTCTCCTACGGCTGCCTCTGCAGCCCCCACGGACCGCCGGCCCCTCTGGGAGGAAGCCTAAGTCCTAGGCACCTACTATGTGTCAGACGCAGGGCCACACAAGCTGGCGTCAGCCTTACCAGCCAGCCTTGCTTCTTGGAGAGGACACCAGCGGGGGCGATCACCCCCCATCCCAGGGCCAGACACCACGCTCCCTCCTGGCACCCTGCACAGGTGGCCCAAGGCAGGACCCTCTGTTCCTCGAGGCCTCCCCAGAGCCTGAATGGACTCTGAAATTCCCTGTGGACCCCAAGTCTCAGCAGGAAGGGCAAGAGGCCCCCCCACCGCCCTTGCCTGGCTAGCCCTGGGCTGTACCCTGTACCATCTGCACACGCAATGCCCAGTCCCTGCAAGGTGGGTGCGGCTGAACGTGAACTTCAGATGTGGAGATGGGGACCCTGGGAGACCGAGTGACCCACCCAAGGCGAATGAATGGTCACTCGTGGAACTGAGAATGCAAACCAAGCCCACCTGTCCTGAAAGGAGGAAATCTCTCTGAAATGTTGACACTGAATGTTATAAGTGGGTCAACGCTGGCAGTAGAGTGTCGGGGGCGGGGATATGAAGGGCAGAGAGAGGAGAGAGGAAGGAGGGGTGGGGGTGGGGACTTAGTGCAGGTCCCTCCCTCTGAGAAAGATGGGCCTCTCCCTTCTCCCTGGTGGGACAGTTGCTCCCATTCCAACCTCAGCTCGAGGGGTGAGCCCAGGCTCTGTGCAGCCCTGGCCCAGCGCTCCGTCCCCTAATGTCCCTTTGTACAGGCCCCGGCGCATGCTCATTGGAGAGCGCGGGTCCCTCGACCGACAGTGTGGTGAAAAGTAGGGGTAAAGGGAAAGCCAGCTGATGCCGAGTATCCTGTTGTTCAGCCAGAGGCCACATAGGTGTTCAGGGAGACCTTATTCCGCAGGGATCAGAACCTCGAACAGCCTGAGCTTCTGCACAGACGCGGTCCGCACTGTTCTGACGCAGGGCATCTGCCACCATGGGGGTGAGGACCAGGGAGCTGAGCCCGCGTGCCCGCAGCCTTCACCCCAGGCTCCCGTGGAGGCTGCTGAGCTGCTGTCCCGGCACGCCGGCAATCACCACCCGCAGAGTGACGGACACCGGCGTAACCACATTCTTCTTTTAGTAGCCTTGAATATCCAAAGTTTTGTTTCCTCCTATGTTCCTACATATGCATGTAATTAAACATTTGTGAAAATCACTCCAATAATAAACAGAAAATGAACTTCAGGATGGCTCCTTCCTCTCTTTCATCAGAGGTCATGAGGGTGGGGAGCGCGGCCAAAAGGTAACTGAAATCAGAGAAGAAAAGAACTTTCTCAGAAATTCCCTGGCTGCGCCCTAGCTCAGTGCGTTGGGGGCTCGGTCCCCAGGTGAGGGCATAAGAGAGGCAACCTATTGATGAGTCTCTCATACATCGATGTTTCTCTCCTTTTCTTTCTCCCTCCCTTCCCCTCTCTCTTAAAATAATAAATAATCTTTTAAAAATATGTATAGAAAGGAATTCCCTGTCCGTGTTGAGGGCTGGAAGTAAAGGAGCTTCACTAAGTGCTGGGAGTGCAGCCATGAGACGCACGAGCGCACCCAGCGGGAGGAACAGGTGTGCTCCTGCGGGAGCTGCCATGAAGCGAAGCCTCTGTGTTTCAAGCCCCGCTTCTCCATGACTGGCCTCAGGTAACGGGACATGTTCCTCTCCGCTGGGACTGCAGTCTGGGATCACCGTCCCAGTGAGCCTCGGGGCGCCAGACCCTTCAAAATTAGGTGCATCATCAATGGCGGGGGGTGGGGCATGTGCATGTCTTTGGAAATATGGCCCATGGTTTCCATCGGATTCTCAAAGAAATCTAGAACCCCAAAAAGGCTAAGGACCACATCTCTCCTCAATAATGTGGAGAACCTACCGGCATCATGCACCCGGCGGGACAGAAACAATTTTGTAAACAACATTCACTTTCCAAATATGGTATATGGTGGACACGAGCTTTTTCTAGGTTTACCACAGTGATTTACAAGTCTAAGGAAACTTCTGGGAATATACCGAAAAGAATTGAAAGCAGCCTCAAAGAGACGTTTCTTGTGCTCCTAGGAAAAGCAAAACCATCACCATTACTGTGTAGGCGACACCAGCTGAGGAATTATTCCACCACTGAAGCCAATTTGTAGCAAAGTCATCAGTTGCATTTTTTTCATCCAATTCATGGGATCAATATTAAGCTATCCGAAGTTCATTCTGCCCAAAGTGAGAAACTAGCATATTGTGAATGCTGCTCAGCTAAATTCAGTGAAGTAGTTGAACATTGACGGCCTTTATTTTATTTTTTTCAGTGACAATATTCATATAAAACTAGAAGGGGCCCTGTATAGAGGGACTAACATTCTTAGTAAATTAATAACCCCATGGAGCAGAAATGTACTTGTACCTGGATGTGGTTACTAATTTCATCCAAATAAGCTGTAAAGTTATACCAACTGAATTAAAAATCACAGCTGTCAAGCCCTGGCTGGTGGGGCTCAGTGGACCGAGTGGCGGCCTGTGAACCAAAGGGCTGCCAGTTCGATGTGCGGTCAGGGCACAGGCCTGCGTGGGGTGCCCGGTCCCCTGGTTGGGGGCGTGTGGAGAGGCAATGGGTCTACGTATCTCTCACGGATCGATGTCTCTCTCCCATTCTTTCTCACTCCCTTCCCCTCTCTCTAAAAGTAAGTAAAATAAATATTTTTTTAAATCACAGTTGTCAAAATTTTACAAGTATTTTTTCCTAGAGTAATTGAATTACGAAATTTTTGTGACAAAGCACTGTTAGATACAAAAAATAAATAAAATAAAATAAAACCCTTCCCCATGGCAATAACACGATTTTCCCTCCACCCCTCACCATCGGGAGTTTGGAAGTTTGAGCCTTCACAGACCGACTTCAGTGCCCCAGTCACATTAACAAGTCCTCTGAACTGACACATTTTGTTCAAATTCAGTTTAAAACTTTTAATCAAAATAGCAACGGAGGCATCAAAAACAAAAAGCCAACCAACCAACCACTTTAGCCTTTGAGCCTTTTAGCAAAATACAGTCACTGCAAAGTTGCGCCCGGGAGGCCAATGAAACGTGGCTGCGGAAGCGTCCGGGAGGAAGCAGCGTTGCCCCCCACGGCTCTTTCCACGGTCTCATCCAATAGTCACGACACAGATTAACAAGAGGAAGCCACCGCATTGAATACATCCGCGCGCAGGCTCCGGCGCACGCAGGCTCCGGCGGGCCGAGCTGGGGAGGAGGTAAACAAACTGCCTGCGCCTGGGGGCTTCGGGAGGTCATCGCAGGGCCCCACGAAGAGCCGGCGTTCAGTAGTTACAAGCCTGCCCTGCCTGCCCCGAGACACAGCACGGACGTGTCTCTTGAGCGCTGGAGTCTCAGTCGTCCCGAGCAAGGAAGCAATCCGCATATCGCTGAGGCACATCTTGGGGTGGCTCTCTCTGAACCCCCACATAAGCAATAGGAGAACTTGAAAAATTGGAATGTCCAGAGAACGATATTTGAAATCTGTAATTACACGTTGAACTCTCTTTGCAGTGCCTCAACTTGTACGTAAAACCTCTCGGTGTTAATTGCATAAATTTACATTCCTAATACAAACGTAAGGAAATTGAAGAGGCCCAGTGCTTTGCAGGACCTAAACTTGGTCAAGCTTTCCAGGACCAGGGAGCCCCCGCCCGCCTCTGGGGGCCCGCAGGCGGTTCGGTTCGGCGCAGCAGGCAAGCCACCCCACTGCCTCTGGGCCTTAGTGTCCCCTCAGGGACACTCTCTGGAGCCTCTTCCGGTTTCCACCGCTGTAAAGCTTCGCTCCCGGCATCCCGCGGGGCAGCCTCGGGGAGAGAAAAGGCTCCGCCCCCACCAGCAGCGCCAAGTCGCGAGCGGGGGGCGCAGGCCCGGGCTACCACGCCCGCGCACTCGCGGACGCGCCCCGCCACGGCCGGGCTCCCGTGTTCCCGGGGTCCCCGGGCCCCGGCCCTGGAGCCTCGCGCCCCGGCGGCCCGCTGCGTGCGGACCGGCGGTGGGCGGGGTCGCGGAGAGCTGGGGGGTGGGCGGGGCGGCGGCGCTGGCGGGCGGGCTGAGTGGGGAGGGCTGCGCCCGCGTGCTGCGGCGGCGCTGGGCTTGGCGCTAGTGCAGGCGCCATGGAGGCGGACGCGGCGCCGAGCTCGGAGCGGGGCCCGGGCCCCGAGGAGGGCGCGCGGGCCGTGGCCGCGTTCGCGGCGCTGCACGGCCCGGCGCTGCGCGCGTCGGGGGTCCCCGAGCGGTACTGGGGCCGCCTCCTGCACAAGCTGGAGCACGAGGTGCGGGCCGGGGCGACACGGGGAGGTCCAGGCGTCTGGCTGGGAGCACCCGGGCGCAGAGCGGGCCCTGGGCTCGCCGCGGGTGGACCGCTCTGTACCCTTCTACTGGGAAGGGTGTGGTCTGCGGGCCGGTCCTTGGCCGAGAATCGCTGGGGTTTGGCGGCTGGGAAGCCCGCCTGGGGAAGGCAGGGGGGCCTCCTGCAAGACACGTGCGGATGAGGTTGGGGGGGCGGTGGGGGGAGCTCGCGACGTGCGAACGCGTTGCAGGACTCGGGGAGCCTGTGCCCGACCTGGGCAGGCCTCAGTGAGACGCGCAGGGGTATGTGCCTCTCGGGGAGTTGGGGGTGGTGTGGACAGACGAGGCCAGAGGATCAGGCAAGGGTATGATCAAGAAGAGCCACGAATGCCACGATGACCGACTTAGCCTTTGCCTCCTCGGCAGTTTCAGAGCCGCCTAAAGTGTGGGGCTGAAGAGTGGCCGCCAGGGCCCTGGACCTGTGGCCCCGGGCCTGCCCGCACCTGGGGCTGGGCCAGGGCTGCGGTGGAACCTGTAAGCAAAACGAACCTTGGCTCCTGTTGTGTGCCGTGCGCTGAGCGACTCCTCGGCCTCCGAGCCTCACCGCAGTCCTGTGAGGAGTACGAGTCCGCACCCCCATCACACAGTTGAGGAAACTGAGGCTCAGGAAGAGGAAGCGGCTTCAGATCAGGGAGCTTTCAGCCACTGCCTCCCATTGGGAGAATAGGAGGCCCATGGATTTGTGTGGCTTTAACTGTTTGGGTCACAAAATTCTTTAACGTTCCTTCATTTGACTTAAGCCTGACTTGCCCTCATTTGCAAATTAAAGAAGGCAGTCTGAGGGAGACGGAGCACAAATCTAACGAAAAATGAGAAGGTCTTAGCTGTAGGTTCTCTCCAGTTTTGTGGTTGTGGGGACGGCTCCATGCTGGCTCACCAGTCCCGTGCCTGGCCCTCCACAGCGACTCCCCGTGGGTCCTGGGGTGGGGCGGGGAAGGGAAGGGGGGGCAGCGCTGGTTTGGGGTGGTTTGCTCAGGTCCCAGCCAGTGGGTGCTCCTCCTCACCTGGAGCCAGACTTCCCTTCAAGGGGCTGCCTCCTGGCCTGTGTGCAGGCGATGAGGGGGGCCTCCAGAGCCAGGAAGAAGGTCTGAGCCTGGACAAACCCCTCCCTCTCAGCCAGTTTCTCCATCTGTGAAATCAGGGGTTGGACCAGGTACCTTCCTGCTCAAAACGGGTAGTTGCTATAAAAAAGATACAATGTCAGTGGCAGACAGCACATACCTATCTTTTGTAACTGAATTTCCTTCCCCCAGTGACTTGCCCTCAATCCTCCCCGCATTTCCTGAGCCCTGGCCCCAGGCCTGTGCTCGGTGGGAGGAGACCCCCGCAGTTTGTTTTATGGGGGTAAAAGGTCCTCCCTTGCTGGGCCGAAGGAGCACCGTGTGGGAGCACCCAGCTCCAGCCCAGCCAGCAAGCAGCAAACCCTCCCTTGGGCAAGTCCCTCACCCGGTGGAGTCTGTCTAGAAAGCAGGACTGTCTTGGCAGGGAGGGGGTGGGGGGACATGAGATAAGTTTCAGCCGGTGCCCAGCACATAGTGGGCAGTCCCCAGACTGGTGCCCCTGTGGCCCAGCCGCCGCTGCTCTGCAGCCGGTGTTTTTCCACGGCCCTCCCTTGCCACTCGGAGTTATGGGCAGAGCTGTGAGTCACCACTCTGCCGGACCCACCCTGCAGTCATTGTTCCGAGGGAAACCTGCTGCTGCTGATGCTGCTGCTGCTGCGGACCCAGGTGTGGGGAAGGGCGCACGCCTGTAGCCCGGGCACCGGCCCGCAGGCAGGCATGGGGCTTCTGGTGCCTCACCTTGAAAGGAAGCTTCCCTTGGAAGGAAGGGAGGAGGTGTTCTGAAGTCCCGTTTCAGCCCCACTCCTGTCTGCGTGCACTTCCCAGCCCCGCCGCGAAGGGATTGCGGTCACCCGCCCTCTGAAGCTGGGGAGAGGCCAGCCCTGAGGCAGGCTTCCACCCCCAGGCCCTGTGCTGCGCTCCCCCACTCCCGCCCTCCTGTCGGGCTCGGGGCTCTGGGTTGAAGCCCCGTGAGATGCTTTTCCCATCTCTAAACGGGAGGTGCCTGAGCATTTGCCCTGAGAATGTGCCAGCTAGAGTTCTAGCTCTTTATGTGTGTTAACCATTAACCTTCCAGCCACTCTCTGAGGTGGTCCTAATATGCCAGTTGTACAGATGGGGAAGCTGAGACGCGGTGTGACTCAGTGACTCATTCAAGGTCACAGAGCCTGGCTCTGGAGCACACACGGAGGCCAGCTCGTTCTCACCAGCTGCACGTGGCTGGCAGTTGTCCTTTCCCAGGGAAAGGCAAGCACCAGGGCCCTGAGCTCCTGTCCCATCCTGGCGGGGACCTCAGGAGACAAGCCCCAGGCCCCCAGGCCATGCTTCGTGCAGGCCTGGGCTGGTGGTGGCCACGGCAGGCTTTTGGACAGCTCGCTCCCTCTGGGTTGCCTCAGCTGCCCTGGTGTTGGAGTGGTTCCTTTGGAGAGAGCGTGAAATTGGAGTGAGATCCCTGGCCACCAAGACCTTGACTTCCATTTACTTCCAGTGTGACCAGAGCCACCCCCGCTGCCACTCAGGCCTTGTTTTCCCTGCAGAGCAAGGGCCCAGAGTAGACATGTCGCAGACCGTTTGCAGGCCCCCTCTCGGCACAGGTCCTGCGGGGTAGGCTGGGTCACGGTTCTGGCTGCTCTCTCTGGGAGCCTCAGTTTCCCCACCTGTGAAATGGGTGGTTGGGCAGTAACTAGGCCGTGCCACCCCTGAGGGGTCTCGTCTCGTTTGACCTGGAGGCTGGAAGCGGAAGTCAGGCTGCAGTCAGGGTTCAGGGTTGGGGTATCCTGCCAATACTGCCTGCTGTGGCCCCCAGGTTTTCGACGCGGGAGAGATGTTTGGGATAATGCAAGTGGAAGAAGTGGAGGAGGAGGAGAGTGAGGAGGAGGCCACCCGGGAGGCGCACAAGAAGAAGCCCAACCCAGGCAGTGAGCGCTGCTACAAGGTCATCGTGACCAACGAGAATGGGCTCCAGGCGGCCAACCCCAACAGGTAGGGGTCTGGGCGGGGCACTGAGGGGAAGCAGCAGCTGCAGAAACTTGCGTGCACCCCGCGTGACGAGCACTTGCTCGTGGCTAGTGTGTTTCCCCTGGGCCTCAGGGTTGTGTCCGTCCTGATACCGATGACACTGCCGCATGGGTCGTGTTTCGTGTGGTCCTGACCCAGCCCCCGTGCCGGCCTGCCCAGCGCACAACAGGTGATGAGTTCCGATTTTGCCGATGAGGACACGGGAGGGACCGGCCCAGAGATCGCACAGCTGTGGAGGGTGGGCATCTGCCCCGCGGCAGCCCTACCCATGAGCCCGAGCTTTTCCGAGGACTCTTGGGCCTTCCCAGCTACTCCGGAACCTGGGTCTGGGTGGAGCCGGAGCCTGAGCGCCCTGTTCCCCGGGGGCTTCGTTCCCCGGATGTGAGGTGTGTGAGGGGGCTCTGGATGAGCCCTCAGGGGAGGACGGCGAGGCCCAGAGGTGGGCTGGGCCTTGTCCAGGGCCACAGGGCAGAGCTGAGGCTGGACTGCGGGCTTCCTGCCTCCCAGGGGCCAAGAAGGGCCATCAGCTAGGGCAGGCGCCTCTGCCCAACTTTGTTGGGAACTCGAGGAAGACACTTGGTATCCTCTGAGAGTCATAGGTCCCTGTGTCCAGGGCTCTTCCTGGAAGGTGCTGGCTTCCTTCCCCAGCCCTGGAGGTGGTGGGCGTGGCCACACACATAATTACAGCCTTGGAGCACCTGCGCTCTCCCAGGTGGGTTGCTGTTTCACGCAGAAACTTGCAGGCTTTTCTTCCCGTGAAGGCCAGCGCCACCCGCCTCCAAGTGTGCCCGCTCTGTCCCCACCTGTGTGGCCTGGGGCTGCAGCAGGCCCCGGGGCCACCTCGAGGGGCCACTGCCGCAGCACCTGCGCTGCACGCCACAGCCATTAGGTCTGGGAGGGGATGCGGGGGCTCCTGGGTTTGGAGCCCGCCCTGCCCCCGGGTCTTTCTCCCTCCAGGGCCCTGGGTCTCCCGTCGGCAGGCTGGCCCTCTGCCCTCTCCCCCGCACCTGCGGCGTGGAGCGCCCCTTGGGGTCCCCAGGGGTCTGCTCCCTGCGCTGTGTCACATGGTCATCGACCTGATGCAGGTGGGCAGGAATATATCTTCATGTGTTTCAGGATCTACAAACAGGGAGTGACAGAGTCGTGCCTCAGTGCCCCTGAGCGGGGGTTCTGGGCACCCTTCAGACACCGAGATCGCAGGCGCTCCCGTGGCTTCTGTAAAAGGGCGCAGTACTGCGGGGCCGGGGCGGGGGGCAAAGTAGGGCTGCAGTTGTGAACACACGAAACAATTTATTCTTGCGTCATTATTTATAATTAGTGTATTGTTTTCCGCGAGAACAACGGTAAACCTGCCGTTGCCCCGCCCTGTACTGGCCTGTAATCTACGTGTGTCCCGCCACGGACTCAGGTCATCTCACTCCACTTGGGATACCTACTTACACTACAACGGAAATGTTCTGTGAACAATTGTTACGCGGCACGGAGCAATGACGCAACAGAGTCTAAGAACAGACCCTCCTAGGCCTGACGGCAGAGTGCGCGTGGGCAACCCTGTAACATTTTTCAAATATTTTTGATCTGAAGTTGGTTGAAACCCGTACATACAAGCACAGTGAAATGAATACCGCCCAGCCTGCCACCCAGCCTGAGGCCTGGAGCATTGGCCGTCCCTTTCATTCTAGCCCAGAAACAGGGGTGAGGCCGTTTTGCCCGCCTGCTGGGGCAGGGTCGCTGTCTGGGCGCCGTGGCCCTGTCCTCTGCCACAGCTACCCCACATCGCGTCGTGCGGGGGAGGGCGGCTCCCCTCCCCCTGGGCGTGTGGGCTGCAGGTGCCCCAAGGGTGGGAGCTGAGGCCTCTCAGGGAAAAGGCCTCAGAGCTTTCCAGGAAGTGCCCGCAAGCCCCGGGCGTGCATGAATGAGCTCTGTGTGGCCGCTCCTTTGCACACATGCCTGCTGCTGGCCACCCCGCGTGGCCAGCCTCTCTCTGGCTGAGCTCCTGCCGTGGGTCAGAGCCCCGTGGAGGTCACTCGCTGTTGAGGGGTCGCTGTGATCACAGCACACGAGGACTTGGTGTTCAGTCGGCATGTTGTGGTTCTGCCTCGTTGGATGCTGCATCAGCCGGGCAGTGGGACGTAGGGTCCCTGGTGCTCTGTGTTAGGAACTGGAAGCGGGAGAGGACCGTGCCCATGGCCACCCAATGCGTGGCTGGCAGAGCCTGGACCCCCCCCCCAGGACCACTGGTGCTGGGGAGCCCGAGTCCCGGGTTGGGTGCCGGTCTCAGCCGCAGCCCCAAGCCGCCGCCCCCTCCCCGTCCGCCGCCGCTTCCCTGCCTGCTGCGCCCGTGCGGCGGCCTCACACCCCTGTGGCCTGTGCCTGCAGCATCTTCCTCATCGACCACGCCTGGACCTGCCGCGTGGCGCATGCCCGCCAGCAGCTGCACCAGGTGCCTGGCCTGCTGCACCGCATGGCCAACCTGATGGGCGTCGAGTTCCACGGGGAGCTGCCCAGCGCTGAGGCTGTGGACCAGGTGCTGGAGGAGATGTGGAAGTTCAACCAGACCTACCAGCTGTCCCACGGGGTGAGTGGCGGACGTAGGCCTTCACTGCCCGGTGCGGTCGGGGCGGGGGCGGCCAACCGAGGGCCCTCGCCCCACCAGTGAGCCAGCTCACCCCCTTCCAGCGCCCCTTGAAGCCTCCCGTCCTGGCATCTTTGTCTTGGACCTCACCCTCTGCCTGGGACCAGCCAGTGCCGGGGACGAGGCGTCTGCTTGGGTGCCCCTGGGCCTGTCACCTGCCCTCCTAAAAGGCTCCGTGGTCCCCCCTACCCTCAGGAGAGGAGCGGAGTCCTGGCAGCAGGCGTCCTCGGGCTCTCGTCATGCCGCCTACCCTCCCCACACACCCTCAGACGGGCCCCTCCCCACGTTTAGGTTGGAAAACCCAAGTTGTGTCTCATGACCTCAGCCTAGATGTCCCCCCAGCCAAAATGCAGGTCCTTCCCCGTCCCCCCACCCCCTGCTGTACACACGGGACCGCACATCCACGTGGCTGCTGGGCTAAGTGCCTGGTGTCCGGGCGCCTGTAGCACACAGCCGATCGCCCTGACGCCTGCGGGCCTGTGTCCTGGTCTCCCACGGCAGGGCCACTGTCCCAGGTGCCGGGGCCAAGGGGCCTGGGGGTTTGCATGGTAGCTGCCCCAGGCTCAGCGCGTCGGGTGGGGGGCGCTGGGTCCGTGGGCGGGTGGACGAGGGCCGTGTGCGCTCTGCCCGCAGACGGCCGAGGAGAAGGTGCCGGTGTGGTACATCATGGACGAGTTCGGCTCGCGCATCCAGCACTCGGACGTGCCCAGCTTCGCCACCGCCCCCTTCTTCTACATGCCCCAGCGGGTCGCCTACACGCTGCTGTGGCCCCTGAGGGACCTGGACACAGGCGGTAAGTCAGGCGTCTGCCCCCGCCAGAGGCCAGGCCGCATCTCCTGCCGCCCCCTGATGGGCACGTATGTGTTGGTGCAGAGGAGGTGACCCGGGACTTCGCCTATGGAGAGGCAGACCCTCTGATCCGGAGGTGCAGGCTCCTGCCATGGGCCCCCGCCGACATGCTGGGCCTCAGCTCCCGCACGCCCGAGCCGCCCGAGGCGCACTACCAGGTGGGACCCCGCGCCCCTCTCCCTCCCACATCGGGCCTGTTTGCCTGGTGGCTTCTGGAATGTTCTCCATTCAGTCACCAGATATTAGCAAACCTCTGAAGGACAAAGACTTCCTGATCTTGAGGCTGTTTGGTAAAGGCACATGTGTTAAAATGCCTTTTTTTCTTGGGTTGCCCTCAACTGTCCAAGAAGGGGCGGTAAGAGGCCAAACACTGCGAGAAAGCGCCCTGGCTGTTCTGCGCCCTGGGCTGCCTGTGTTAGTCGGTTATCGCCGCATGACAAATCACTCCAGCTTCAGAGAGCAAACGGCTACCGTCTGGTGCCGTTTCTGTGGGGTGGGGTGGGAGAGCGGCCCTCGGGAGGCAGTCAGGCTCTCGGGCCGGGCGGGGCCGTGTCCTCGAGGCCCGATGCAGCTGAGGACCTGCGTTCCCACCAGGTCAGGTGGTGCTGGCTGGAGGCAGGCGGCTTCGGGGCCTGTCCACGGGCTGCTGGAGGGCCCTCCGAGAGCGTGGCTGGCGGCTCAGAGCCCACATCCCCAGAGCAGCGAGGAGGAAGCCGCGGGCCCTTGATCAAGTCACGCGGTGTTCTTCCACCTTTTATTGATTAGAAGCAACTCTGCCCACACACTGGGGAGATGAATTAAGCTCTTTTAAAGGGGTGTCCAAGTTGGTGGGCATGGCCTAAACCTCCTCACTGCTCATGGAACAGCCCTTGGGGGCCCCCTGAGGACCAGCAGCCCCTCGAGGGCAGGCGGGGCCCCTCAGCCGCCTGTGGTTTGGAGGCAGCCTTGAGAAGAATGAGAACAATGTTTACATTGTTCTTTTGATGCAACACCAGGCTGTTCAGCACCTGAGGGGCCTCAAGCCCCAGAACCTGGGGTGGGCGTGGTCAGAGGGCTCTGACAAAAGGCGCCCTGTGAGGTCTGGGCGTGCCCCGGGGTCCCAGCCCTGGTCTGCCGGGGTGAGGCGGTGCCTGTTCCCTGGCTTCCTTTCTCAGAAGCCTATTTCTGCTGCCCGTGTCTTCCCTTCCAGGCCATTTTGGAGGAAAACAAGGAGAAGCTGCCAGTGGCCATCGATCCAGTGGCATATCCCTGTGACCACATCTTCAAGTGCGTAGCCCCCTCTCAGCTTGCAGGGAGCCTTCTCACAGCCACTTTGCATGCTCACGCACGCTCTCACGCGTGCATACCTCACTTCCCACAGCTCCCACAACAGCGCCTGGCACAGGGCAGCACTCAGCAGGTCTGCTCTGTCTGGTGATGCCACTGTGGCTGAGATGCCAGAGGTGGCATTCTTAGGACCACAGAGAGAATGCTGCAAGAAGTAAGGGGTGAGCAGGGCCCGGAGGGACGGAGTTTAAGCACACCCTTGGCAGACAGGAATAGGACGTGAGAATTTGGGGCAGGCGGGGGCCGGCCTGAAGCTGGTTCCTACCACAGCCCTGTCCTGCGGCACAGGGTGTTGCGTCCCCGAGCCCTCCATGTGGGACTGCTCTGCGTGCCTGGGCTCTCAGTGTGCATGTGCCTCATCCTGGAAGGAAAACAGCCAGGCCCGTGTGCGCGGGCCCCTCCGGGAGGCCGGGAGCCTGTGCTGAGTGACCTTCTGGGCACCCAGGAAGGGCACCAGGGCTGCTGTGGGTAGGGGACTGTGCCAGCGTCTGCCAGTGGGGCCGGCAGGTTACATACAGCCAAACAGGCAAGCCCAGCTGTGCCCCCTCCCCCGCCCCCAAAAGCAGATGCTGTGCTCTACAGGTGAGGGGGTGGAGGTGCGGAGCTCCCCGCCCCATCCCCCGCCAGGTGCAGAGCTGGCTGGGAGGTGGCCCGCTCAGGCCAGGCAGCCTGGCCACTGCCTCCAGCGAGAGCCCTCCTCTGGATGCCCAGCCTGTTCCAGCCGGAAAGGGCAATGCCCCCCTCTGCCCTGCCCAGCGCCCCGCCACCGCCTCAGGGTCAGAGGCCTCCCCGAGGCCCCCCCGGATCATGCCCTGTGCTCCAGCGCTGCCCGAGCAGCCCAGCTCCTCACCCCGTCCCTCCCCTGGAACTCCCCCCAGGCTGGGCCCCCACCTGCCTCCACACTCAACCCACTGCTTCCAGGTCGCGGCCACCCCCGCCCCCCAGCAGGCAGGCTCCCAGGCCCTGTCCGCACCTCTGCCAGGGCCACATGGGCTCAGCTCGGCGGGCGCCAGCCCCAGCGCCGAGCGAGGCCTCCGTGGGGCACTTGTCTTTGCCTCATGCTCGCTCACCCGCCCACGGGCACCTGGGGTACCTCCTCCCTCCTCGGGTTGAGTGCGTGGTGTGTCCCTGAGAGACGAGTGGTGCTGTGGTGCCGCTTGTCCCCTCTGTTTCCGCTGGGAGGAGAGAGCTCGGGTTTGTGCAACACTCAGTTGTCCTGTTGCATTTTAATGACACGTGGGCCCACGTTACAGGCGGGGGCCCAGGGGCGGTCCCGCCTGGCTGGCCCACGGCAGCCCACCTCTCCCTGCAGGGTCTACACGGACGTGCAGCAGGTGCTCAGCCACCTCACCCACCCCCGCTTCACCTTCACCCAGAGCGAGGCGGACGCCGACATCCTCTACAACTTCTCCCACTTCAAGGACTATAGGTGAGGCCCCTCCCAGCCGGGCGCGGGCCCCCGGCCCCCGAGCCCCTCGCCGCAGCCCCCTGAGCCTGTCCCGCTGCTCGGCCGCAGGAGGCTCAGCCAGGAGAGGCCGCACGTGCTGCTGAACCAGTTCCCCTGTGAGAACCTGCTGACGGTGAAGGACTGCCTGGCCTCCATCGCGCGCCGGGCGGGGGGCCCCGAGGGCCCGGCCTGGCTGCCCCGCACCTTCAACCTGCACACCGAGCTGCCCCAGTTTGTCAGCTACTTCCAGCAGCGGGAGAGGCGGTAAGCGCCCGCCCCCCTGCCCCCCCACGGAGCGCAGCCCCCTTGGCTCCAGCAGGCGCCACCCTCCCTCCCAGAGACCCAGCCTCTGACCGCCCCTGGGGGAGGCTGGGTGTCCCTCTGCCGCCATGGTCCTGGGGCGGCGCAGCCTGGGAGGGAGCCCCGGGCCCAGGCCAGCCTGCCCGTCTGCTCCCAGGGGCGAGGACAACCACTGGATCTGCAAGCCCTGGAACCTGGCGCGCAGCCTGGACACCCACATCACCAGGAGCCTCCACAGCGTCATCCGGCACCGCGAGAGCAGCCCCAAGGTGGGCCCCGGCCACGTGCGGTGGGCGGCACTGGGCGCACAGGCTGGCCACGGGGGGCGGGTAGGGGGCTCTGGCGTTGAGGCCTATGCAGTGGGTCCCGGCGTGGGCGACGACAGGTCACTCAGCTCATAGGAGTCTCTGAAGCCCCCACTGCTCCGCCGGCAGAGGGGCCTGACCGTCCGGGAGAGCAGGGAGCTCGATCAGAGCCATCCTGGGTGTGTGGGACCTCAGAGTCCCCACGCGGTGCACCGCGGGGGACCGCACGGCAGGAGGGAGACAGCCGGGCCAGGACCGGAGGCACCGCAGAGCCTGTGCCGGGGAGTTCGAGGCACAAGACCGCATGCCTGGGCAGAGGCCGAGGGGAGCATGCCTCGGGACGTCGCCGGAGGTTTCCCGCTGTGCCGCGGGGAGCCGGTGGATTTAGGGCTGAGAACGAGTTCCATTTCCAAAACTTGTGGGATCTTTTCCCCCATCGAAGTAAAAGGGAAGATGAAGGAATCTTCCGAGGCTAGGTGGGGGTTTGAAAACGCAGAGGGGGAAGAGAAGCACGGGCTGCAGGCCCCTCCCCGCCTCCGGGGCAGGGGCCGCAGTGGGAGGGCGCCCGTCCCTCCGAGCGGGAGCCTGCAGCCGGGGAGGCCGGGCGCTCTGTCCTGGCCCAGGTCAGGGGAGAGCCTCCCGTGAGCCTGCATCTGTGCCCTCCAGGTTGTGTCCAAGTACATTGAAAGTCCTGTCTTGTTCCTTCGAGAAGACGTGGGGAGGGTCAAGTTCGACATCCGCTACATTGTGCTGCTGCGGTCGGTGAAGCCCCTGAGGTTGTTCGTGTATGACGTGTTCTGGCTGCGCTTCTCCAACCGGTAACTGAAGAGACTGGGCGGGCCGGGGGGCGTGGGCAAGCGGCGGGGCCCCTCTTGGACGGATCAGACACCTGCGCTGGAGCACCATCACCGCGCACCCTGCAGGGGACCCGCCAAGCCCCCCTCAGCCACCGTGAGCGGTCCTTGTAAAATAGGCTCCGACGTGAGGGGCCATGGGGTCCGGTGCCCTGTCTGAGGGGTCTGCCTGCTTGTCTTGTAGACCCTTCGCTCTCAACGACCTGGACGACTACGAGAAACATTTCACTGTCATGAACTACGACCCAGAAGTGGTGCTGAAGCAGGTAGGGGCCTGGCGGGGCCTGGGGAGCGGGTGCCAGGTGTGTGTTGATTCTTTTTTTTTTTTTTTTTTTTTTTAAGGTTTTTTTAGACAGAGGGGAAGGGAGGGAGAAAGAAAGGAGGAGAAATATCAATGTGTGAAAGATAACATCTATCTGTTGCCCAACCTGCAATCCAGGCATGTGCCCTGTCTGGGAATCGAACTGGCGACCTTTCGGTGTTCAGCAGGCTGACACCCAATGCACTGAGCCACGCCAGCCAGGGCACACGTCCTGATTCTTTGTAGCAAGAGTTCACCCCTGCACAAGCCAAATGGCTGCTCTGTACTTCAGGGTTTTGTGTAAACAGTGTCCTGTTGAACAAACCCTTCCGCATCTTTCCTCTTCTGCTGAGCACCCTGCTTTCAGATTGTCACTATCCTAAGTGTCGCTGCAGGTCATTCTTGGGTCGCTCTGTCTCTCTCTCACTCACAGACCTTGAGATCATTTCTGGGTTTTCACTGCTCCGTGAGCTTCCTGCACAGGGCGCGCGGGGGCGCCCAGCTGCGCTGCGTGTGCGACGTCCTCCGGGCGGGTGCCCACATGGACGCCCCAGCAGGGGCTGCTGCTCTCGTCCCTCCTCCCGGCCTGAGCTGCTGGTCCCTGGGACCCCGAGCCCTCACCAGGCCCCAGGACAGTGGTGAACGTTGTCTCTGGGGGACAGAGTGTCTTCTTGTTGTATTGTGAACGTGTCATCCTGAGGGTCCCGTTTCTTCTGAAGCCCCCGCAGGTGGGGACACATGGCCAGGGGTCATGAATGCTGAGTCTCTGTGGGGAGCCCAGCCTGGTGCTTCCTTGCACTGAGGGCCGGCCGGCCCAGGTGTGTTTTGGGTGCAGCGCAGCCCAGCCTGAGCACACGCCGCCACCCTCAGGCCCTGGGAGCTGGGAGCCAGGAGCTCAGCCAGGGTCCTGCGGGCGTGGGTCCCCGGGCTGCCTCCCCTGCAGTGTCCCAACTCCAGCGCAGTGACGCGTTGGCCCCCCCTCGCAGCCTGCCGAGCCCTCGGCGTACCTTGTCTCATTGGAGGCCCCCAGCAGCCCTGCAAAATTGGCTGGGCAGGGAGCGTTGTCCCATTTTATAGATAAAGACACTGAAGCGCCAAGAAGTAAACTCGCTTGTCCAGAGTCACTCCCAGCCTCCTGCCTCCCGGGGTGGGGCAGGCGCTGACCTGTGGTGGTCCCTGTCTCTGTCGCAGGTGCACTATGACGAGTTCATCCCCGAGTTTGAGAAGCAGTACCCAGAATTTCCCTGGAAGAGTGTCCAGGTAAGCCCTGAGCACAGCTGGAGGGCTGAGGGGCCACGGCCCCTGCTGTGGGCGGGTGCGGGGCGTGGGGGCCTCCTCTGGGAGGTCCTGCTCCTCCGCCAAGGCTGGCGAAGGAGGCGGTGTGGGGCGTGGAGGGCTGGAGAGGCACCCTCGGGACAGCCAGTCGGCTGCAGGCCCTGCCCGCCCCGGGAACTGGAAACTCAGGAGACAACGGGGACTCAGCTGGAGACGCAGGCCGGCCTAGAGGGAGCCCTTGGGTGCTCCGCGCACCTCGGTGCAGGGGGAAGTCGAGGCAGGAGGTGGAGGCAGGCGGGTGCCGGGAGTAGGGGGCACAGGTGTCGGGCAGAGGGGGCTACGGCCAGGCCTGGAGACTCAAGGGGCATCAGAGGAGGTGACTCAGGCCGTGTGGGGGCTGGGGCTCCAGGAGGGGCAGCAAGCCCTCATCGAGAGGCCAGCCACTCTGGGGAGCTGGTGCCGACACCGGAGCCACGCAGGCCCTGACCCGGCCCCCGGCCCCCAGGCCGAGATCTTCCAGGCCTTCACGGAGCTGCTCCACGCGGCATGTGCGAAGCCACCGCCCCTGGGCCTCTGCGACTACCCCTCGTCCCGGGCCATGTACGCCATCGACCTCATGCTGAAGTGGGACAGCCGTCCAGATGGTGAGGGGGATCCTGTGACCCAGACACCCCCCAGTCACCCAAAGCCGATTGTCCAGCACCCCTGCCCGTTGGGGGACGGAGAGGGCGTCGCTGGTCTGTGCTGCCCGGGTCGTCCTCTGCCCCCAGTTGGCCAGGAGGTGTGGGGGAGGGCGGCTGGGCCCGGGGGAGGGGCCGACCCCCTGCTGGGCCTGCAGCTCCCCTTCCCCTTTGAGTCGACCAGCTGCCGACCCAGAGCCTTTCCCTGGAGGAGCACCGGGTAGGGCCCCACCTGCCTCCCAGGAGTGAGGTGCCTGTGCTTTGTGCCCTCAGGGAAGCGAGTGATGCAGCCACAGATCCTGGAGGTGAACTTCAACCCGGACTGTGAGCGAGCCTGCCGGTACCACCCGACCTTCTTCAATGACGTCTTCAGCACCTTGTACCTGGATGAGCCCAGTGACTGCCATGTCACCTGCCTGGTGTAGGTGCTCGCTGGCCCTCCTGCTTTTTCTTGAGGCGGATTCCAGCCTCAGACCCCTGAGCCGCTTCTGCAAAGCCCCCCTCCCCCCTTGGGCACAGGCGGGCCATGTCCCGGCTTCACACCGGGGCATGGCCAGGAGCGGGGCCGCCACACTCCCCTCTGCCCCGCCCGTGTGGCAGCGGGTCCTCGAGGCTCGGCCGGGGCTTGACCGCCGCGCGCTTGGTTTCTGGACCGCCATGTCTCCCAGGGTGCTAACGCCAGAGTGGTTCTGGGGAGCGCGGCAGGGGGTCCTCTGGGAGCCCCGACGTGCACGGGGCCCGGCTGGCTCTTGTCCAGGGGTCGCTCGGGCACCACGGCTCCCCCAGAGCGAGGGTCAGGCTCCCACGCTCCTCCCCAAGGGCCCTGTGTGACGGGCGTCCCCAGAGCACATCGGGGAACCTGCTTGCCAGACCCAGCCTCGTCACCTGTCCCCACCCCAGCTCAGCCAGAGCCTTCACCAGCAAACCGGGGAGCGCAGGGCGGGAAGCCGCCGCCTTTTGCTGCTGATGCCTTGCCAATTAGCAAGGGCCAGCCTGCCCTGGTCCCTCTGGCCCCAGGGTCCCCGGCACCGCCATGGTTCCGCCCTGAGTTTGGGTGGCGCTTTGTCGAGGGGACCGGCGTGGGCAGCAGAGCGCCAAGCTGTGGACGGCTTCGGAAGCTGGTTCCACAGAGGACTTCACGTTGGTCAGACACCGTCTTCTACCGGGCTCTAGAGTCAAAATGCTGGATCACTGTTGCTCTTTCATTTATGGGAAGAAAATACACAATTCTCGTTGTTAATGTGGTTTCTGAGACTTGGAGTCGGAAGGCCAGCGTACTGCGCAGCACCGTGCGCCAGGGCCCGGCTCCCAGCGGCTCCCGGCAGCGGGAGGCTGCCCGCTGAGTTTGCTGTGTCTGTGTCAAGGGTGGAGCGCTTGTTTCCACCTGAAGCCGAGAGCATTCCCTGTAGCAAAACTGGACCAGATTGTGCCTCCCATCTCTGTGTGGCTGTGTCTGTCTGTCCATCCTCTCTGTTGACCACAATAAACCTCAGCCCTTCCCTCCAGCCAAGCAGAGAGGTAGCAGGGGGACACCTTGTCTCAGCTGCTGGCGTTCTGTCCCCTTCTCAACTGGATTTGTACCACAATAAAGTATGCTTTCCGTACTTGGGCCTCCCTGTCTCTGTGGGAGACCAAACAGTCAAAACATAAGAAACAGATGGTGTCCTGTCTGGGTGGCTCAGCTGGTTAGAGCATCGTCCTGATACACCAAGGTTGTAGGTTCAATCCCTGATAGGGCGCGTACAGGAAGCAATCAATGAATGTATAAATGAGTGGAAGGAAAAATCAATGTTCCTCTCAAATAATAAATTTAAAAAATTGGAAACCCAGGGACAAAGCCAAAGAGATGGCAGGGGGGGGGGGGGGAAATGGAGACAAAATGTATTTGAATGATTTAAAAAAAAAAAACAAAACTGGGAAAACAAAAGCAGATGGTGCTCAGGGCTTGCGGTCCCCATTCTGGAGGCTGGGGTGTCCCGAGATCAAGGGACCAGCAGATTCGGTGTCTGGCGAGGGTCCACTTCCTGATTTGTGTGCGGTCACCTCGCCATGTCCTCATGGGCAGAAGGGGTGAAGGTGCTCTTTGGGGCCTCTTACTAGGGCACTAATCCCAGTCCTGAGGGCCCCACCCTTAGGACCTCGTCACCCCCGAAGGTCCCACCCCTGATGCTGCCACGTTGGGCTTAGGGTTTCAGCGCCTGAATTTGGGGGGACACTCAGATCAAACCACAGCAGTCCCCAAACCCAAAACTAGGTTTCCCAGTGCTGGTCTCACGAGAGTAGGCAGCGGTGGGGCAGCCGGGGGCGGAGGCCCACCCCCGCATCCCGACCGACGCCCAGGAGCCTCAGTCCCTGGGAGTGAGCCCTGAATGGGCTGCAACACTTACACTGGGGGCCTCAGGGCCTGGACAGCTCTCCGCCTGTGTCCTTATTCTGGGTTTAGGGGACAATCGGAGGCCCTAACTGCTCAAGGGACGGCCAGAGGGTCTGGCGACCTGGTGCAGAAGAGGTGGATGGGCGCCGCCGGCCGGCACAGGGACGCCCCCTGGAGGTTCGGACGTGAACACGAAGGCAGAGGCCCTCCCACAGCCAGGCAGCCGGGCCCCAGGCAGGCTCTCACGGGGAACTGCCCGACAAGTGGCCTCCCCGGGGCGGCCTGCCCGTGGCCCAGGATGGAGCTCGGAGCTCGCGCTGGGTTATTCACCCCGCTGCCACGGGCGGTCCTTGCGCGCCCAGTTCACCCGGAACCTGACTGCCCAGGACACTCCTAGCGAGGGCACGGTCAGTGGGGTCAGGGGACCCCGGGTCCCTGGGTTATAAACACGCTGTTCCCCCATTCTAGAGCTCTTGCACCTCTGACCGGCATGGATCAGGCAACCCCGGGAAGGCCATTGTGCCGGGAGACCAGGCTGCTCCCTGCCATGGGGACTGTCCTGCCGCTCTGCGTGCACTTTCCTGGTGCTCACCTTCCCCCGTGGCACCTGCTCTGTGTTAAGAATTCGTGAAGAGCCAGCCCGGCTGGGGCAGCTCAGTGGGATGGGTGCTGGTGGGGGCACAGGCCTGGGTTGTGGGCCAGATCCCCAGTTGGGGACATGCAAGAGGCAACCGATCAATCGCACATCAATGTTTCTCTCCCTCTCTTTCTCCTTTCCTTCCTCTCTCTCTAAAAATAAATAATAAAATCTTTTCTAAAAATTAAAAAAAAAATTCATGAAAAGCCAGAATCTGTAAGTGTTGGGCCTGGGGAAGCGGCAGCCGCGGTAGCAGGGCCGATGCACCACCGTTTGCAGGGCAGCGCGGAGGAGCCCAAAAGGTGACGTTTCAGGGGCCACGTCCTCAGGGATGAACTGGGACCGCACGAACGCGCCCCACAGGGAGGCTCTGTCGTGGACAGGCAGGACGTGGGATGGTCTCGGTGCAGGGGAGGCAGGGCTCCCTTCCACCTGCCGAGTCCAGGGCAGCCGGACAGAAGGTGACCATGCTTGGCCAGCCCCTAAGTGTCACGTTGCCGTGCCGACGACCCACCAGCTGAGCCATCTGGACTGTGTGGGTGGCCTGCTCTTGCAGTCAGGTGGCCAGTCAGGTGAAGAGGGAGGCAGGTGCTCCAATTCAAGGCTTCACCTGCGAGAGGTGCCTCCAGGAGAGAGTGCAGCCCAGAGGACCTGATTAATCTGTGAGGCGTGGGGTTTCCCATTAAACCAACGTGGAAATCGTCGGCACCCTCAAGTCCCTAGTGCATGGTAGCAGCTCAGGAGAGGAGAGAGCCCTGGCTGGGTGGCTCGGCTGGAGCATCATCTCATGCACCAAAAGGTTGCGGGTGGAATCTCCAGGCAGGGCACAGACCTAGGTTGTGGGCGTCCTCTCCGGTCAGGGTGAGCACGGGAGTCAACCAATTGATATTCCTCTCCCATCGTTTCTCTCCCTCTCTTTCCCTTTCCCTTCCTCTCTAAAATCAATATAAACATCCTCAGGTGAGGATTTAAAGAGAGGGACCAAAGGAATGAAGACCAGGGAAAGCATCACGAGACAGCCAGCAAAAACCGAAACAACACTAAATGCCTCCTCCTCTTGACCATTTTTCTTGGTATTTCTGTGGCTACGCGTGTTTTGTGGCCAGAAGGATGCATGTGAAGTACTGTTAGAGGAACAAACCCACAGGTGTATGGAATGGACAAAAAATGGTCGCATGAGCATCACGGGAAATATCCCAGAAGCCTCAGGTGCACCTGAGTGCTGAGCACGGCGCCCGCCAGACACACGTGTGCCCGTGGCGCCCCTGCTACCATGGAGATCGCGAGAACCTGTGTGGGGAGCTGCCCGGGGGCTCAGCCAGGTGCTCACAGCTCAAAGCGGCTGGATTCCCGCACAGCGTGACCCTGGTGGGCATCAAGTTCCAGGTGAGCGGAGGCTGAGCGGGCGGAGGCACAGCGCCCGAGTCAGCTGCTCAGGTGGCAGCCAGCGGTCTCTGCGCACGTCCTCCCTGAGCCCTTGGTAAGCTGGGGTCGTGCCTGGAGGTGAAGCCAGGGGAGGACGGAGGGGGCAGGGCCGGGGCAGAGGCAGCAAACCTCCCGCTGCCGAAACGGCTGTGAAAGGTCTAAAATGTGAAAGGTCTAAAATGTGAAAGGTTTGTTGATTTGAATTCACTTAACAACCAGGAACAAAACAGGCAACAAAAGGCCCAGCCGGCGCAACCAGCCGTGATGCCAGGAGGCTGGGCCGCAGAACCAGGACGCAGGAGACCAGGCGCCATTCCAGCCGCCTGTGGGCGAGACCTCGGCCCGGGCCCTCCCACTCCCAACAGCTGCCTGGAGAGGCTGTGGGTCACCCTGTTTGAAGTCGGGGGTGACACCTCCGACCCTGAGCTGGCCTCGGCCGGCCAGGGGCCGCTGTGGGCTCGGAGTGGGGAAAGGCCCTTACGGACTCAGGTGTCCCCCCCGCCCATTAGGCGTCCGCGGGGCAGCCCCAGGTGGGGTGAAGCCGGCGTGCGTCCTGGCGGCCCACCAGCCTGTCAGTCGGGGTCCCCAGCCTTGTGCAAAGCCCCATTCTGACTGAGGCCGACTGGGTGGGCCTGGGCGGCCTGCACTGAGGGCCCGAGCTGGGCCTGCTGGGGGTCAGCGAAGCAAAGGCCGGGCCTGGTCTGCATCAGCCGGGCAGCTGCACGGCCACATGGGCTCCGGGCCCGACCCGGGCCGCTCCGCCCCGCGCAGGCCACCTCGCCTTTAGAGGGTCTGGGGAGGGTCTCCGGAAGCGTGCAGGAGCCCTGACCAGGACCAGCCTCGTCTGGATGACACAGCCCCCCAGACGGATCCAACAGGACGAGCCTCTGTCCCCCACCAAGACCGGGGTCACCCCCCAGACAAACGCCAAGGTAGGTTAAAAGCTTTATTTGGTTTATAAAATTCCATGTGCCAAGACCGTGCCCCGAGCAGCTCAGGGTGCGAGACGCTGCTCCTGGGGCGCGGGCTCAGCCGGCAGCAGCTCCACAGCCGGCGGCGGCCCTCTGGGCTGAGACCCAGTCAGACGCACAGGCTGGGCGGCCACAACAGCGTGAGGGCCACCGCCACCAGCAGGGCCTGCCTGGCAGCAGCCACAGTCCTCGGAGGGTGGGCACCTCATTCCGTAAGCCTTCGGCCCCCACGCCGGCCGTAGTTGTCCTGCCAGACGCAATAGTTGAGCGCGGCTGCAAAGGCCAGCCAGGCCAGGTACGGGTAGAGCAGTCGGGCGGCCGAAGGGCTCACCCTGCGCCAGGCCACAGCGGTGGCTGCTGCCAGCCCGCCCGTCACCAGCAGGTCCACCAGGGCCTGTGGAGACATGGGGGTCAGGGGAGGACAGGGAGGCCTGCGGCTCAAGGCACCCACGAGGGTCCCTGCCCCAGGGGCCCACCCCCCTGCTGCCCTAGAGCCATCACTCCATTCCACCCCTAAGTGATTCGGCCTCTCCCCAGTTCTCTGCCTCAGTCTCCCCATATAGAAAATGGGAACAGTTGCCCTGCCTGACTCATGCCACGTGAGGGGTGCCCCGCTGTCAGGTGCTATGTGGGTCTTCCTACCTAGTGGCCCCTGAACCCAAGCCAGCAGCCCCGAGCCCTGAGAGGCTCCTTCACTGAAGAGCAGCTGCAGAGGCGCCACAGGGGGGCGCTGTTCCCCAAAGAGCTCCTGAGGAGACGCGGACCACAAACTGCCTGCCACCCTGCTCCTGCCTTCAGAGCCTGACCCCGTCTGGGATGCGACACCTATGTCCCCCAAGGGAGGCCCACCCTCCATGGGCCACCTCCAGGGACCAGGGAGACACTCACCCAGCCCATCTGTCGGGTGCCAAAGAAGATGGGGGGCCACGCCCAGTTCAGGGTCAGCTGCCCGGCATACAAGCCCAGGGGAACCACAGCCTCCTCCGAGAAGCCCCCCAGCTCTTTCCAGACCATGTAGGAGCCGTATCTGAAACAGAGGCCACCTGTCAGGGCGCCAGGGGTCTCCCTGCCAGGCAGGGAGCCGGGCTCACTCCCAGGATGTGGGGACGGCTCAGGCACGCCCTGCCACCCACAGCCGCGTGAGCCGTTGGGGGGGGGGGGCGGTGGCCCGCCTGACCTCTCTGGGCCCCCGCTCCTCCCACGGTTGCCGAGGGGAACCACGCTGGCGCACTCGCGGGGCGTAGGGCGGTGCCTGGCCCAGGGGCGCTGGGTAAGCGTGGACCATTGTCCTCCTTATTGGTGCTGTGACAGAGGGAGCACACGAGGCTCCCACCCTAGTCCAAGCACCGCACAGAACGGTGGGGCATTTGGGCTGGGCCTCCAGGATGAGCAGGAGTCTGCTGGGGGCATCTACACGGACATGCCAAGGCTCCGAGGCAGGTGGGAGCCCGAGGCAGCCTGCAGGGCTGCAGACGGGGCCCGGGGGCACCGGAGAGGTGAAGCTGAAGAGGCAGACAGGGACCTGGTCACGGCAGCTCTTCCGGCTCCCAGTGCTGCACCACCACCGCCACCGCCACTCACAGTGGCTGATGCCCTTCGGCACTCACACGCCCCAGGCTCTGCAGCTCTTCCCAAGCGTTCACTTGTTTCCTCCTCATGAAAGAGCTCTGAGATGGGCAAATGTATCACCCCCATTTTACAGGTGGGAAACTGAGGCACAGGGAGGTGAAATGTCTAAGATCTCTCTTTTTTAAATATTTTATTTATTTTTAGACAGGGGAAGGGAGGGAGAAAGAAACAAACATCAACGTGTGGTTGCCTCTCACAGGTCCCCTCCCGGGAACGTGGCCCACACCCAGGCATGTGTCCTGGCTGGGGAATTGAACCAGTGAGCCTTTGGTTCACAGGCTGGCACTCAATCCACTGAGAGATACCCGCCAGGTCGAAGATCTCTTAAAGGGCAATCAATCAGCAAGTCAAGTCAGGATCTGAACCCCAGTGACTAGGACCAGAGCCAGGGGTTTGCCCTTATCAGGACCTACAGGTGCCTCCACAGGGGTCCAGGAAAGAGGGGTACGGACCACCCCTGAGCTTCATCAGGACCTTGATGGCAGGGGAGGCCAAGGGGCGGGGCGTGGAGGTCTGCAGGCCTGAGCAAGCTGAAGCACAAGCGAGGCATCTGGGCCAGGGCTGGAGAGGAGAAAGCAGGACAGGGAAGTGCTGGCAGCCTAACCGGGAAGGAGGTGGGGCCCGGGTGGCCCACCCGTGTCAGGGACTGTCTTACTCCCACCAGAACCCTGGGCACTCAACCTGGCCTCTGCTACCTAGGGCGCCTAGCGTCTGCAACCCTACCCTGCACTGGGCTGGCTTAGAACCAGGATGCAGGGAACATTCCAGAAGATGAGCTAGAAGCCGACCTCACCTCCTAAGTGTGGTTCCCACTGAAGCCACCAGGGGGCGCCCCACACCCACACTCAGCACTTCCTTTTACCACAGCAGTTCGCAGGGTCTAGTCCAGGGGCTCCTGCAGGGGCCTGGCACTCTAGCCCTGCGTCCAGGGGGAGGTCCCTCGTCAAAAGGAGGCGGGGCCATGCCCTGACTTGTGTGGCTCGGTTGGGCTATTTCCCACAAGGTGAAAGGTCACTGGTTCAATTCCCAGTCAGGGCGCATGCCTGGGTCGTGGTCCCTAGTTTGGGGGCAATTGATCAATGTGTCTCTCTCTCGCCCTCCCTTCCCCTCTCTCTAAAAATAAATATATTTTTTCTTAAAGAAAGGTGGGGTCATGAAAATTACCCGAGACACCCTGGCACCAAACGGGCGCTCAACAAATGGAAGCTATGATGATTGCTGATGTTGTCACTGCCATTGATCTTGGGAGCGTCCACGCCACCCACGTGTGAACTTTGCACACCGAGCCAGTCTTGCCCCGGAGTTGTGAAAACAGCCAGGATGCCAGTGTGGGGTTGCGCCATCGGGCCCGCCCCTGCCAGCAGGCCCGGCAGGGGAAAGTTCGGTGCCGCAATCAGCCGGTTCCACGGCTCTCCCTGCCCTCGCTTGGCAAATGAGGCCCAGACGCGGTGCGGCTGCCCAAGGAGCACCAGGCAGTTAAAACCCCGCAGGAGATGCCCTGCCTCGGGCCTGGGCCCCTGTAAAGGGGAGGGTGGCCCTGCCTGCCGGCCTTGGCGGGTGGCCGGGACCACTTACCCCATGGCCGAGTAGAGCGTGCCCCAGATGGGGCCCAGCGCCCAGCGGGGCGGGTGCCACGAGGGCTTCTGCAGGCTGGCATACCAGCGGAGGCCCTCCCCACGGACGTAGTAGGAGCCCACGAAGGCCCCCACACTGGGGGCCAGTGTGAAGCCCACGGCCGGCAGCCAGGGCGGGGCCATCGCTGCTGCGACTGCTGTTCGGGAAGCTCTGAAAGAGAAGGCAGGGCTGGGGTGAGAGGCCAGGCGCTCCAGGGCCGAGGCCTCGCCGAGCATTTCCCGAGGACCTACCGTGCGCAGACCCGGGGTCGGGGGGAGATCTGTTACCAGCCCCTCATCCATCACCAGAAGGACAGAAGGCTGGGCCGCAGCCCCCGCCACCCCAGCCCCGGGGCTCCAGTGAGCACGTTCCCGCCCAATCTCACGCCCGGCACCCAGAAGGCCTCCGGCGGCAGGAACCCTTCGGCTCCCCCTCAGCTTCTGCCCCAGCTGCCAGGGTCCTGGGCTCTCGCCCTCAGCCTGCACCTTGGGTCCCCTGGCAAGGCAGCCCGCGCTCTGCCACCTCACTCAGGCCAGCCTGGGTCCCCTTCAGCAAGCAGGCTTCCCAGCCCTTCGTCCCCAGGCCAACTGCCAGTGTGAGGGGGACTGGGGACAGGCGCTGGGAGGCCTGCGTGAGCCCATACCCTGCACTTTATGTTCCAGTACTTCCCGTTCATTTGTCATTCGCTCATTCCTGAGGCAATCGGGAGCAGACAGAGCTTGGCTTGGGTCCTGGCTCCCCGCTGACTCACTGTGACCTCAGGCAAGTCATGCAGCACTCTGGGCCCGCCTCAGTCTGTGCCTCTGCAGAGTGCGACATCAGCCTGGCCACCCTGGGCCCAGTCCGGTGTGGTGACTGTCTCTGTACACAGGTGATTCACACCGCCCCGCAGGCCCAGCCTAAAGTCACCTTCCCGTGCACCAGAGACGGAGAGCAGCCCACCGTGTGCCACACAGCACTCGGGGGCCACGCTTTGTCTGGGTCGAGAGCCCGCTCGCGCCTTGACACCCAGGGCCACTGAGGTGTGAGTGGGAAGGTGCAGGAGGCAGCAAGTCCCCTCGGCAGCTCCAAGCGGCTGGCAGGGCTCAGGGCAAGGAAGGCCTGGGAGCTGCCACGCCAGGGCTGGGGACGCCGGCAGCGGGCCTCTCGGTTATGCTTGCTGGCCGCGCCCCCTTGCCCAGCAGCCCCTCGCGGAGGACCTACCAGGTGCCCAGCAGTGAGCCCCGCTCCTGGCAGGCTGGGATGCTCACTGGGGCTGAGGGAATGTGCGGACTCTGTGACATCTCTGTAAGTCTAAAACTAGCACAACACACAGCTCAGGAAGGGAAGCGCCACTGGCGGGCGCATCGCCCGGATTCGCCAAGGTGGCAGGTATGATCCTCGGTCGGGGCACATACAGGGATCAACCAACGAACGCGTCGGTGAGTGGGATAACAAATCGATGTCTCTCTCTCTGCCTTCCCCTCTCTCTCTAAAATCAATAAATTTAAAGAAAAGAAAACTGTAAAAAGGATCCTGGTTTGGGCAGTAACTTGCACAGCGCTCCGTGTTTGTTACTCCACCAGCCCCCCAGGGTCCCCCCCCCGCACCCCCCCCGCGCCTCCGCTTCTTCCCTGTCACTCTGCTCTAAGAGCACATTGGCCCCTGTCCATCCAGCTTTTCCTGGGTGAAATTCACAAAATGTGTATATTAACCTCTTTTTTTTTATCCTCACAGGAGGACATTTTTTCGTTGCTTTCAAAGAGGAAGGGGGCAAGAGAGACAGAAAGAGAAAGATCAATGTGAGAGAAAGGCCGACTGGCCACTCTGCAGGCTCCTGAGCAGGGACAAAACCGAGGCCTTTCAGTGCCCAGGACGGGTCTCCAACCAGCGGAGCCACGCTGGTCAGGGCTGGAATGAACCATTTTAAAGTGCACAATTCCGAGGCATTCAGTACACTCCACTGCCGGGCAACTGCCATCGACCTCAAGCTCTAAGTTCATCATCCCAAAAAAGCCCCCGCACCCCTCACAGTCCCTCCTCCCTCCTCCAGCTCCTGGGAACCGCCAGCCGCTTCCAGCCTCTCCGCACGGACCTTTCCTGCATGTTGCATGCGCTCGGAACCCTACGGCAACGGGCTGTTAGGGCCTGGCTTCTCTGACTGAGCACGTTCCGAGGCTCACCCACGTTGCAGCCTGTGTCTGCATGCCCCACAGTTTTGTGGGCGAGGCTGTTCATGTCACCCTGTCACATACCCACCCCTGGCCTCAGAGATCCCCGCAGAGGACTCGCCCCACGTGCCAGCGGACAGGGCCCCAGAGCCACCAGCCAGTCCCGCCCCACACCCCCAGCACTGAGCGGAGGAGGGTGTGAGCCGGGGCTCCTGCCCCCCAGGCTGCGCCCGGGAGGGCCTGGCTGCGTCCATGTGCCGCGGGGCCGAGGCCGGGCCGGGGCCAGAACGCAGGGAGGCGGCTGCTGCACGTGGAGACAGTCGGGCAGGGAGTTTCCTGGGCCCCTGGGGCACGGCTTGGCCCCTGAATCACCCCACCGGGGGGTCCACCAAGCTGAGTGATGCGGGGGCCAGGCAGGCCGGAGGGAGATCCCCGCCAGCAGGGGCCCCAGGGAGGGCCGGAGGCTCCCGCAGCCAGAACGGGGCTCGGGGCTCAGGCAGAAGGGCGAAGCCACCCACCCTTAGTTCTGCCTCCGTTAGAAGGTGTCTGAGAACCCAGACCTCAGCTTGGCTTCCAACTTGCTTGGCGACCCCAGGCCAAAGCACCTCTCTGGGCCTCAGTTTCCCCTTATAGCAAGTGGGTATAACCTGCCCTACCTGCTTCATGGGGTCATGGGGAGGCTCAAGTGAGGACCCCCATGTCAGGGGACACTCGCCCCATTTCCCCTGTGGGGCAGGCCCAAGGCTGAGAAGCTTCCGCTGGTCAGTCACTGGACACTCAGGTGACAATGCTTCCCAGAAGGGACGGCTCCCAGCCTGGGGCCACTCACGGGGATGCCTCCAAAACAGGCCAAGAACGGGGCACAGAAGGGGGCTCAGGACCAGGGGTCAGAGAAGGTTCTAGGCCTCTGGGGATGACCGGCTGGCATGGGGCGGGTGGAGGTCCTCACCTCGCCATTCTCCACGGCAGCCGCAGAGGAGGGGACCAACCGGGGCGGCCCCTCCCGTCGGAGCCCTGAGCCACACGGCCCTCTCGGCCTCCATGGCGGACTCACGACTATGCCCCCGGTCCAGAAGAGGACACCGAGGCACGGGGAACCACAGAACCTTCTGGGTCTGTGCACCTCTAAGGCCCACAACTCCACCCCCACCCCCACCCCCTGAGCTGGGAGCCTGCCTCGGCTCTGGGCCACACGCCCACTCACAGCTGTGTCCCCTCCCCTCCCTTGGCCTCCTCCCTCCTCCCAGCATGGTGCCGAAGGCCTGCCCCGCCCCACCTCAACTGACCAGTGCCGGAGGTTCTCTCAGAGCCAACAGCCTCACTCTTTCCAGCCCTAAGGCCAACGGCCCAGCCCCTACGGAGCATCAGGGCAGCAGCCACAGGATCTGAACCTCCCTGTCCCCAGACTGGGACCCAGGACCTCCCGTCCTGTGATGCTTCATTCCCAGCCCTACACCTCACCTCCCAGGCCACTGTGTCCCCATCTGTTAAGTGGGGCTGAGCCAGCGGGTCTCTGGGGGATCCTCCGGTTCTCTGTGGCCTCCCTCCAGGTGACCCTCCCTAGAGAAGGTGACAAAGCTGCCCAGAAATGGCACACAGGATTTTGCCCTTTCTCTGACCCTCCCCCCGAGCTCTACCCAACCCTCCCGGCCTCATCCCTCCCTGGACACCACCACAGTTCCAGGGACTTGTTCGTTCGTTCGTTTGTTTTTAAGGACTCACAGCTAATCCTCCTCGTTATAACGTCTGCGAAGCCTTTCCACTATGAAAGGGCCCCACGTGCCAGCCACCCGGCCTGGGCGGACCGGCAGCCCAGTGCGCTGGTAACAGGAAGGGCTGGGCTGGGCTGGGGCCAGCGTGATAAGGGGGACCTTGCTTAATGGAGCATGACGACTTTTGACACACAGAGAGCACATCCAGGCCTGGCTTGCACCATGACAAATAAGTAAAAGAAAATACAAATTAATAAAACCCAGATTCGAAAGTAAAATAATGAAAAGGCAAACGTGTCCGCGGGAGGAAGTAGGCTCCCTCTGAGTCAGCCCAAGCCCTGGCCCCACCTGAGCCAGCTGCTGGGAGGCTGGGGGTCAGGCCCCACCACTTCAAACCTCCGCTCTGCGCTGTAGCTCTGAGCTTGAACAGGGGCTCCTGGGTGAGCTCGTCTTCCACAGAGTAAAGGGGTCCCTGATCCCCTCCCTACGAGGCTCCCTCTGCAGGCTGAGGAAGAGGCTGCCTGCCCCAGCCTCCCCTCAGCCCCTCTCCCCATCTGTGGACAAGCGTCCATCGCCCGGTCCCCTGCTGCCCAGTGGGGGCCCCACTCCACCCCACAGAGACACGGTGCCCTCAGCCCACATCCTGGTTGCTCAGCTTTTTGGTCCCGGGCCTGCTTTCTGCCAGCGCCCCAGACGGCTGCTCCTCGTCCGCAGTCGCCTCCTCTGACATCCCCTCCTTGCCTGTGACCCTTTTGGAATAGCCTCGGCCCCTTGTCCCTAGGGAAGCTCAGGTCCTGCCCCCTCCTGCCGTCCATCTTCGAGCTGGTGACTGGTAACAGGTACCAACACGCTTTGACGGCCAGCGGGAGAGGCTCCCAGCCCACAAGCGGCCACCAGCGTGTGCCGGGCGCACTCCTGTGCTCAGTGGGGTGTTCGCAGCTGGAGGCCCCACTACCCTGCTCACCTCGGCTCCTCTGGGCTTGTATCCCTCTAAGGCAGGTGGGTAGAGGGGCCGGGCAGGTCACACGCCAGGCCCACGTGCAGGCTACAGCTCACCTGAGCCCAGGAAGGGGAACTAGAGACGAGGGTGTAAGGCCCCTTGAGGTCTTACCTGGCTTTGGGCAACTAACCTCCCCTCTCTGGCCTGGGTCTCCTCTCCCAGAAATGAGGTGTTGTGTCAAGTGGCTCAGGAGACCGAGGCCCTTGCCACTCCTGCCCGCTCCCGTCCCGCGCCCCAGGCTTGCTCACCACAGGAGTGGGCGGGGCAAGCCTGTCTGCCCCTCCCCGCCGCTCCGCTTCCCGCGGGACCAGAGGCGGGCAGGGCTGGGCCGGACGGGGCCGAGGTGGGGCGGGGCTGCCCACGTGTCCTACCCCCACCCCGCTCGACCCCACGGTCCCTTCATCTCCCGCCCAGATCCACCAGCTCCCGCGGGGTCGGGGCCGCCCGCCGCTCTCGCCGTCTGACCCGGCGGCCGAGCTCCCATCGCAGCCTCGCGGCCGCCTCCCGGGTCCCTGCTCCGGGGCCCCGGCCTTCCGCCTCCAGCCTCAGTTTCCCCCTCGGACCGCGCGCCAGCGGATGAGTGCTGTGGGGGGTTGCACGCTCGCCGGGCCCTTTTGCTCGGGGGCCCCCCCGGCGCCTGGTCCCTACTCACCAGCGACGAGGACTCGCTGCGGGAAGAGCACTGCGCGGCGGGAGGCGTCAGCTAGATCCTGGGCGCGGCCCGCCCCGGCCGCGAGGCCCCGCCTGGCCCCGGCCCCGCCCGGCTTGGCGGGGCGCCCGGGCCAACGCCCACTGGGTTGCCCGCGGACGCGGTGCTCTCCCCTTTCGGCCGTGGCCGGGTCGCCAGCCTCCCCCCGCCAGGAGCCAGTCTCTCGGCCGCTCCTCCTCCTCCCCACGGGTCCGCGCCGCGACCCAGGCCGGTCGCTTTTCTGGAGCCTCGTTTTTCCCAGCCGTAAATGGGTCAACAGTGCTCACGTTCTGAGAGGGGAGCTGCGTCGCCTGAAGGCAAAGCCTGAACACCCTCCCACACAGCAGCCCGGCCCACCCGCCGGAGGGGCGCCTTCTCCTTCAGCTGCTGCCCCAGGGCCGCAGGCAGCCGGCACTCTTGGTCCTGGCGCAGCCACTCATTGGCTTGTTCTGCCTCCACCTCCGCACCTGTAAGAGGGACACACCATCGTGGGGCTGAGGACGACCCGCGGCAATGCAGGCAGGGTGCCTCGCAGACACTTGGCGCTCAGTGAATGGAGGCTGCGCTCATCACAGCCCAGAGGTGGACCTCCAGTTTGCCAGGGGTCACGGCGATGGGACAGGCTTGTCCAGCCCCTGGTCTTGGCGCGCCTCCCTTCCCCCTCTACAGGCTGCTTTATTCCTGAAGCCCAGGGCCTGTCCCAGCCGCCTGGGGCTGACTTGGCCTGGCAGGGCCCCGGGCCTGCAGGAGCCACAACTGCCCATGCTGGTCCCCAGGGGCCCGGGTGAGCCCCTCTCCCCAGGCTCAGCAGCGGGGCGCACCTGGGGCTGCGGTCTGACCTTCCCAGGCTATTCCGCTGACCTTCCGCTGGCATTCTTGCCTGCGGGGGCCCCTTCCACCTTTGGCTGCATTGGTGTAATGACAAGTATAGTGCAGTCCAGCCACCATTTTGTTCTGACTGTAAACGTAATTAGCAGTAGCTGGTGTGGCTCAGCGGCTTGAGCACCAGCCTGCGAACCGGAAGGTCACTGGTTCAATTCCCAGTAGGAACATGTGCCTGGGTTTCGGGCCAGGTCAGGCACCCACACATTGATGTTTCTCTTCCTCTCTTTCTCCCTCCTGTCCCCTGTGTCTAAAATAAATAAATAAAATCTTTTCAAAAAAAGAAAGACAAAGTATTTGCCTGGGTCCCTCCTGGAGTGACGGCCCCAGGCCCTGTGCCTCTGTTGCCGGTCTGGCCCCGCCTCCCCCAGGCTGCCGGCCCTCATCCTCCTCCAGGGCAGAGGTGCCCCTGGCTTGGCCAAGTGGCACAGCCTCCTCCCCCAGAAGACCCGCGGGGAGGAAGCAACCTGCCTTTCCTCCGGCCTCACCCCTATTGCATGCAGGGCACCCTGGGAGGCAGAGATTGCTATCCCCAAATACTCGCCACTGTACCAGGGCCCAAGGGAGGGGCTGAGCACCTGCCCACAGGCCCTGCCCTCAGAGAGGTCTCACCCTCTCACAGGTGAGCGCCTGCAGCCCCGAGGGGTGGTGCTGCCTGAGGGACTCGCACCGCACACCCGGACACAGGTGTGGACGCCCCATCCCGCTGTGCCTGCCCACCTCCCACGGTCCTGCCTCCCTCCCCTCCAATCCCTCGATCCCACCTGAGCCTGGACAGCAGCGATTGCCCCTCCTCTGGGCAACAGCCAAGGCCCCTAGCTGGTCCCTAGCTCCCTTCCAGGCCCTTCCTCTGCTCTGAGCTCGCCAGGGCTCCCAGTGCCCTAGGAGCCTGTCCAAGCCTTGTGCCTGGCCCTCAAGGCCCCGCCCAGCTGGCATCCAGCTGGCTGCCCCACCCTCTGCCGCCTCTGTGCCTTCACACTTGCTGTTCCCCTTGCCTAGAGAACCATTCCCTCCCTCCCTGGGCGTCTCCACGTGTCCAAGTCTGACTGCTCTCCAGCGCCACCAGGAGGCTTTCCCAGAACCCCAGCGCCATGCAACCTCCACTCTAGTGGGCTGTGACCTCTGAATTCCACAGCACTGAACATGGAAGCCTCTCTTGGATGTTTGTCATGTGCCAACCTCAAGGGACGTGTACTATATCGAGCACCTGAGGGGCCCAGCCCTGGGGTGAATCCTGGAGGATACAGTACAAGCAAACCCAGCCCCTGACTTCAGTCTGTCCAGGGAGGAGGCAGGGCAAACACCCTCCCAACCCCCACAGAACAGACCCCACCTCACATGCTCAGAGAGGTGACGGGGCAGGCCACGCCTGGCTGGAGACAGTGGGCATGAGGCCAGACCAGGCCGAACCGGACCGACCTCAGCCTCCCCGCGCCCTGGCGGTCGTGGGCAAGGTTGGGGCTGCCGTGGGGCTGCGGCCGGGCACTAAGCAAGAAATGGTCAGCGACGTGGTTTGTCCTGACTTCTTCCTTCTGAGCTCATGCACCTGTGTTCAGAACTCGGGCATCCGGGCGGCCACTGTGAGATGGAACAAGTGCCTTCAGCTGCGGCAGGCGGCAGGCGGCGGAGGGGAGAACAGGACCCCGTCAGCCGGCCACCAAGCGAGCCAAGTGTGGCCACGACTCTGGGCCTGGCTGCCCAGGGTTCTGTTAAACAGGCAGTACAGTGGCGGCTGGCATCTTGGCATCCAGTCCCGGGGGTCGTGCCACTCCCGGTGGGGCTGCTCGCGTGCCTGTGCACACGTCACCCTGGGCCCCTGTTCGCCGCCCCCTGGCCAATGCCCTCGACCCTTGCTGGCTGGCTCCTCTTTTCTGGGCTGGCACCTCTATGCCTTCCTTGGTCCCCCGCGTGTGAGAGGAGCCCGTCCTCCAGGATCTCCGGAGAGAGGCTGCGTAGGAGGTAGCGTTTTGAAGTCTTGCAGTCTCTGCCAGGGTTGGCGGATGCTTGGCTGAGTAAGAACTCAAAGTAGGGCCTCTCTGTCCCTCGGCATCGTGAAGACATGACCTCGCTGCTGCCACAGTGCTGATGGCGAGGCGGAGCTATTCTGTGTTTTGAACCTTTCTGTGTAACCTATTTTGTTCTTCCTGGGAATTTTAAGATTTTTGTTTTCAGAGCCCTGAAACTTCACCCTGAAACTCCTCAGTGTGGGTCTAATTCCACCCATCGTGCCAGCACTCAAGGCCCTTTCATACAGGAAGCTCATAGTCTTTATTTTCCAGAAATAAAAAAAATAAAAAGCTTGCTGATTTCCTTCCCTCCATCTTCTCACTTCTCTTTCTGGAACTGCTGTGACTCAATATCCTGCACCTCCTGGGCTGGCCTCAAACTTCCTTTTCTCTCCTCCTCCTCCTCCTCCTCATGGTTGCCTTTTTTGCTTTACCTTCTGTGAGGATCCCTCAACTTTCTCTTCCTTGCCTTCACTTGAGTTTTTCAGTTCTGCTATTTTTCATGTCCAGGGATTATGTTCTGCTTCCTGAATGTGTTTTATAAATACATACATACACACACATATATACATATATATATTTATATATATATATATATATGGCCTTCTGTTCCTTTTTCATGGATGCAGTGTCTTCTCAACTATCAATGACAGTTTTCTTTAGACTCTAAATCCTGTGTGGTTTTGTTTTCTGTTCGTAAGAGGACTTCCTTGGATGTCTGCTCACGATTAGAAAAAAAGGAGGTCCTGGCTGGTGTGGCTCAGTGGATTGAGCGCTGGCCTGTGAACCACAGGGTCGCTGGTTCATTTCCCAGTCAGAGCACACACCTGGGTTGTGCGCCAGTTCCCCAGTAGGGGGCACATGAGAGGCAACCACACATTGATGTTTCCCTCCCTCTCTTCCTTCCCCTCTCTAAAAATAAATAAAATCTCTAAAAAAAAAAAAGAAAAAAGAAAAATAAGTCTGTGGATGGTATTTGTTGGTCTAGCTTCACTGTAAGTTGGACTTGGTGGGCCATTTCTCTGGGAACTTCTCGAAGTCAATATCTTTAGGATTTCCTTCTCCGACTGCTCAGATTCCTCAAGGTCCTCCAGTCCGTGGCCTGGAGCGGAGGGGTCTGGCTGCAGGTTTCTGGGAGCTCAGTGGGGGAGCTCACTGGAGAACATCTCTGCGTTCACCATTCAGTATCCACCTGATTCAGCAGAACACCCACGTTCACTGCTGTCCCTGGCATGCCCAGCTCTTTCCAGAATTAACCCCAGATGTTTGCTAGAGTGGGGGGAGGGCACCACGCAGTGGCTAGAAAGAGGGAGGGGGGACCAAAGATCTAATTGTTCCTCAGAGATACCTTCAAATAGTTCTCTTTTCTTTAGCCTCCTTTCACCCTTAGACCTAGAACAGCTAGTGCTAACGAAACTTTTGAGGATCCTGTTGTATGAATAAGGATTGGTTCTCAGCTCCACTGCTGGAAGGGATGTGGCTGTCTAGGGTCTGCTAGGTCGGGAAATACCGGTCAGTCTACCTGCTTTCCAGCTTCCAGAGATTCTGTTGCTGGGGCCCCCTTTCCTGTTCTCCCTGTCCTGGTGGATTTATGTCTTTCAAAGTTCACTTTACTGCAGTTTTATGGGCTTCTGGAGGCAGTGTGTGCTCTATTCATGTCTCATCCAGAAACTCTCCTCCATATTTTTTATGACTAAAGCATTGCATAGATTGGCCGTAATTCATTTAACAAGCCTCCTCTACTTGGGCACGCAGCTTATTCCCACTTTTTCCTTGTCAAAAGCAAGGCTGCCATGATGTCCTGAGAGTTCGTTCTCTGTCCCTTTAATTCTTTTCTTAGGACAAGCTCACTGAGGATTTGCTGATGCCATTTTACTTTGATCTTCCTCATGAGGTGTGCAGTGTGTGTGTGTGTGTGTGTGTGTGTGTGTGCGCGCGCGCGCGCGCATTTCGCCTGGGCTTCTTAGAAGAGGCTGACAGGAAATGAGAGAAGCAGAGGGGGTGCGGTTAGGAGCAAGGTCAAAAATTAGACTCTCCCTGACCCAGCCTCACGCCACTGCTCAGAAGCTGGAGAACCCCAATTTCCATTCGCCTTCTGTCACTAACCACCTGTCACTCAATCTTAGAGCCTTCGGTTTCTCACCCATAAGTTGAGGATAATAATAGTACCAATGCATCATAGTGTTGCTGTAAGAAATTCAATAAGCTAATGTCGGAAAAATATCCAGGGCTTTGTTCAATGGAGCAAATATTTATTGGGTGTTTATTATTTGCTGTGCACCGTGCCTTGCTTGCAGGAAACGTTATAAAAAAGAGCTGCTACCTTGCTTACCGCCCGGCGTAGCTGGGAGAATCAAATAAGTATTAAGTCAAGGAATGTGGAAGCGTTTCGGGCACTTTCCACGTGCCAGATAGAAAGGGGGAATATTGCATTGCGTTGCGTTGTTTAGTCAATAAATATTTTTGAGGGCTTATTGTGGTGTGATGTCGTGTTTTTGTCTTCCCCGTGGTCAAGTACGCGCATGGGTCCCTCTAGAGCCCCTGCACGCAGCAGTGAAGTCTCGGAGCTGGGGCGGAACCAGTTACCGCGGAACCTTTCTTTCCGCCCCGTGTGCCCCGGCCCTCCCGGAAGGAAATGCGTCAAGGACCGCGCCATGCCGCCGCGGTCGGATCTCGGTCGCCCCGGTAACGCGCGTGGGTCCGGTTCCTCACCATGAGCGTCCTGGTCACGCGGGTTCTGAGGGCCCGGGGCTGGGGCGCGGGGTGCTGTCGCGGCGCCTCGGAATTCCGGCTGCCTCCGCCGGGCGCCGTGAACGTGGCGGAGCTGCTGCGAGATGCGACAACAGCGGAGAAGGGGCCGCGGGAGGCGGCGGCGCGGCGGCCGCCCGGCCAGTGCTCGGTGCTGCTCTTCCCGGGCCAGGGCAGCCAGGTGGTGGGCATGGGCCGTGGTCTACTCCGCTACCCTCGCGTCCGCGAGCTCTACGCCGCCGCCCGCCGCGTGCTAGGCTACGATCTGCTGGAGCTGAGCCTGCACGGGCCGCAGGAGGACCTCGACCGCACCGTGTACTGCCAGCCCGCGATCTTCGTGGCTTCGCTGGCCGCCGTGGAGAAACTGAATCACCTGCAGCCCGCGGTGAGGCCCGAGCTCTCACAGCCAGGCCGGAGCGCCCCCACGTGGGGCACCTCGGGCTGATTCAGAGTTCTCATTCGGGGCCAGGCACTGTTCTAGGCGCAGGAGATACAGCCATAGGCAAAAAAAAAAACAAACCCCCACAAAGATCCCTGCCTCAGAGGGCTTGTGTGTGAGCGGAGGGAGACAGATAAAGACGACTAAATGCACTATGTAAATTGCATATATGTTAACGGTGATAAATGTTATATTGTAGAAAGGAAGATAGAGCAGGGAAAAGGACCGAGGAGTCAAGGGCTGGGTTGCAATTGTAAATGATCCTTAAAAATTTAATTAATTAGTAAATGATTTTGGAAGGATTGAACATCATCCTTAATGATCATTAAGAAAATATCTGAGAATGTCACTTCATTTGAAGGTGTGAATTGACTATTATTTAATATCAAGACAGTAAATGTTAAGCTAGTGCTTTAAACTCTTTACTCCACTTCCTCCCCACAACAACCTTGTGAAATACTGTTATTTCGTGGATGAGGAAAGGCGACTCAGAGACACTAAAGGAATCCGCTGAGTGTTCTGTTGAGTCTTGATAATAACATTCACTGAGTGCTTACCCTGGGCCAGGCCTGTGGTAGAGCCCCTGCTCCTTCCTCCTTTCACAGGTGAGACGACAGGCTGGGAGAGCTTCGGGAGAAATCCCAAGCCAAGAATCAAATCCAACTTCCTGTGACTTTGAATGCCATGCAGCACTTTGAACTTCTATGCCTAGCGCCGTCCGGCCCCCTCCAGCCTGGGAGGTGGCTCCAGGGCTCAGGCAGGGGACCGAGGGAACTGGGGGGAGTCAGAGCTGTCCCTCGGGGTCAGCCAGCAGGCTTTCCCTTGCTAGGGAAGGTCCTCAATAGGAAAGGGTCCGCGACTGCATGTCCGCTCCTGTGTATCGTCTTCCGGCTGGAGCACCCGGCCAGCCCAACCTGTCTCGCTGGGCCACCACCAGCTCTCAAGTGCAAAGCCCCGGACTGAGCTCCCAACAGCGGGGCCTCACATTCTGTGTCTGTCGCCACAGGTCATTGAGAACTGTGTTGCTGCTGCTGGGTTCAGTGTGGGAGAATTTGCAGCCCTGGTGTTTGCCGGAGCCATGGAATTTTCTGAAGGTACACAGAAAGGGGTTTGGTTTTGTGCAGGGGTGTCGTCTTGCTGGCCTCGGTAGGCATAAGGGACACTGCCAAAAATAGCTCTGGACCCACGCAGGTGATAGAGAAGGAGTGTGTGGATGAGGATGACCCTGGAACCTGAGGGCCAGACCTCCCCTTGAGCCTCTTTCAAGCCCGAAGGGTTCAGCAGGGACATCCTTTCTTTTTGTAATCTCAGGAAATCTGCCTGTTTGCGGTCCTTCCCACTGTTCTGTGCGTTCTTGGTCCAGTCACATGCCTTCAGTGCCTCTCCCATGGTTGGTAGCAGCTCAGTAGATACTCTTTGAATGAAGAAGAGTAAATGAGTGTTTGACCTTGAGCCATAGCAGCTTCACTTAAGACTTGCATATAGTTAAAAGTTAAACATGTTTGCTTATTGTTGCCCACTGTGGCCTGGGTGCGTGGCTCGGGGCATGCTGAGTGCAGACAGGACCCTGAGCGAGGGGCTGTAGCGAAGGACGTGCTTAGGCATTTCTCCAAAGAAGATACACAGATGGCCAGGAAGCACATGAACAGATGAGCAACATCACTAATCGTTAGGGAAATGCAAATCAAAAACCACAGTGGGATCACACTTCACCCCCACTAGGATGGCTTTAATTTAGAACAAGAATAACAGAAAGGAAAATAATAAGTGTTGGCAAGGATGTAGAAAAATAGGAACCTGACACATTGCTGGAAGAATGTCAAATGGTGCAACCATCGTGGAGAAATTTGGTGGTTCTTCAAAAAGCCAAACAGAATTACCACATGAGCCAGTAAGTTGCACTCAGAGGTCTATACTTAGGAAACATATGAAAACATATGTCCATGCAGAAAAACTCGTACATGAATGTTCGTAACAACCAAAAGGCGGGAACAGAGCAGATGTCCACCATCAGATGAACGGATAAGCTACTCGTGTGTCTGCGGTGGGATGTTACTCAGGAATGGAAAGGAATGAAGTACTGACACGCTACAACAGGGGTGAACCTCAAAAAGGTACTCACTAACGAGCTAGGCACAAAGGTCACCTACTGTGTGATCCCTTTTGTGTGAAATGTCCAGGATACGCAAAGCCGTAGTGACAACAGGTGATTGGTTACTGGGAATGGAGGGAAGGGGAGACGGAGTGATCACACTTAGCAGGCGTGCGGTGTTTTATGGGACGGTGGAAAGTTTTGAAATTAGAGCTGGTGATTGCATAGCACTATGAATACAACAAATAACCACCATCATACACTTGAAACTGGTTATATATGTATTTATGTATACCTTAAAGATTTTACTCATTTTTAGAGAGAGGGGAGGGGAGGGGGAAAGAGAGGGAGAGAAACATCGATCGGTCACCTCTCCTATGCGCCCTGACCGGAACTGAACCTGCAACCCAGCCCTGTGCCCTGACCCAGAGTGGAACCGGCGACCTTTCCCCTCGTTGGGGGGTGCCCAACCAACTGAGCCACACGGGTCAGGGCAGATACTGGTTACATTTTCACCTCAGTGATTTTTTTTTTTAAATATACCACTATTAAGGAAATGAAAAAAGTTTCATATTGCCACATGATAATAAAACTCTTTTACACGTAGTTGTATGTGTAAGTTGCAGACCGACAGCATGTGCACTCTGCATTCAGTATGTTCACTTGACGTCTTGCGTAGTCATTCACCGAGCGCCGGCATGCGAGGCTCCCCACGTTCTCTCCACACACCCGTGTGTTCTCCTTTCCACCAGAGGCGCTTATGTATTCGCCACACAGCAAGGGGGCTGAGTTCAGTACAAATACGTATCAGTACGGAGTGAGTGAGGGTGTGTGAGAGAGACAGGTGCAGGATTTGCCCCTCAGACCCCTGTTGTCCCATCGAACCCAGGACGGGCCCCCTAACCTCTCCTTGGTCTCGTCACCCCCCGCCCAGCCAGGGAGCAGACCGAGGAGCGGAGAACGGACGTCCACTAGTTACATCCTCACGTCACGGTCCCGGGGGCTGCCTGCCTGGGCCGAGCCCTGCCCTCTCACCTTGCGCTTGAGCCATGCGGGACGGGGAGCCCTGTGCTCAGTTCATCGGCCTGGGGCCGGCCGGTTCTCCAGCCCTACGCGAGGGCAGTGAGGCTTGATTTATAATGGTGACGTAGCTGAAATTCGTGTCACTGTTAGTGCACCATTCCAAATACCTCATGGCTCTTGATTCTCCCCTTCAACATTTGAATAATTAATGAATGATACTTCCCACTTTTCACAACTGTCCAGGCAGATTATTTACTATTATTTTACTAACCAAAAATTTGACCTGGGAGGAGATCATGACTCACCCAAAGCAACATAGGCCAAAAGTCTGTTCCTTTTACCCTCCACCAGGGCTTCTCAGCAGCGGCACCGCTGACATTTTGGACCAGATAATTCTGTCTTGGGGGCACTTTGTGTGTTGAGTGGCATCCCTGGCCTCTACCCACCAACTGCTAGTAGCAGCCCCCGCCCCGTCCAGTTGTGACAGTCAAAAAGCGTCTCCAGACGCTGCCCTGGGAGCAGAATCACCTAGTCGAAACCTACACCGAGCCAGCTTTAAGGCAGGGCCCGGGTGTCAGCGTACGCGGTGCCGAGGACGGCACCCGCTGGGAGTGGCGGCGGTAGGTGCAGACACAGGACGACGGGCATGCAGCCTGGTGGTCATGCCAGTGTCGGTGTCACGGCTCGCAGCGTGGGGCCGGTGCTTTGTCCCGCAGGGCTGGGCTCCCTCCTCCGTCACACGCCCTGATTTCCCCAAACGCGCTTCTCTCCGGATAGGCCTGTACGCAGTGAAGATCCGCGCGGAGGCGATGCAGGAGGCCTCCGAAGCCGTCCCCAGCGGGATGCTGTCCGTCCTCGGCCGGCCGCAGTCCAAGTTTGCCTTTGCCTGTTCGGAAGCCCGGGAGCACTGCAAGACGCTGGGTATAGAGAACCCTGTGTGCGAGGTGGCCAACTACCTCTTTCCGGACTGCAGGGTGATTTCGGGACACCTGGAGGTGGGTGTTGGCGGAACAGCCTTCGCAGGCCCTGGCCCCGTGCAGACGGTTGGAATCCCTCCTGCCTGGGGGCCCCAGCGGTGTGCTGGGGCTCTGCCCAGCCATGGCCTTTGGGGAGCACGCGAGGGCCCAGGAGTGCGGCGCAGCGGGCGCCACGGAGGGAGGCTGGAGGCTGGGACCCTGTCCCCACTTCGCCACCCGTGGAAGGGGACCGCCTCGGGCAAATCGCCCAGCCCACCTGAAGCGTAAAGGGCTGGGCCAGTGGGTCTCCAGGACCTTCCTGCAGAACAGCCTGGGCTCTCGCAGCCTCTGACGCGGTTGCTTCGTTATGGAGAGGAGAGCCATTTCCTTCTGGGCTACTCCGCCCTGCCCTGCTTGTCCTTCCATGTCTGTGTCTGTCCTGAGTTCGCTTTCATTCCTTCTGGGCTTCCCTCCATTCCCCACGTCCCCAGGCAGTTCTCGGGCAGCTCCCGTGTGACAGGCGCTGAGCGCACACGTGACCGATAAGCCAGCGTCCCGCCATCAAAGGAAGGCGGCTGTGACCCGAGGGTGCCAGGGGGAGGCTGCATCCCCAGCAGAGAGGCTGGCGGGCCCGGCAGGGACTGTCCCGGGTCCCTGGTCGGGCAGGCCGAGTGCAGGCAGGACCCTGAGTGGGGCTGTGGGCGCAGGGCCAGCGCTACGTCTCGCCTGGTCCTCCAGGCCAGCACTGCGCTCTGCGGAGCGAGTCTGCTTCCCGCTTCACACCGGAGGAAGCGGAGGAAGAGGGACGGGCAGGTGCCTGGAGACGAGGGGGCAGAATTGGACTGGCGTCGGCCGCATTCTGCAACCTCTTCCTCCACTTGACTGCGCTCAGCCCACCTTCCTCTCTAAGGCCTGCCAGCATGCCAGGCGTCCTCATGCGTCTCCTCTGAATCAGCGGGAGCCGACAGGCCCCAATTGGGACCGTTCCAAGACGATGAGATCAGTCACAGTGGCCCCCCAGGTCATCACGGAGCTGGCAGCTCGTTCCCATGAACAGACTTGGAATGAAGCCTGGAAGTGGGCAGGGAGGGGCCCCGCCCAGGCAGGCTTCACCCCCGCTGGCTCCCGGACAGGTGGGCATCGGCCCCACGATGGCTCCCAGGTTCCCAGGTGTGGCCTTTCAGTGCCGTTGGAAGTGCCACAGCAAAGAGCTCGGGGAGGGCCGGAGTCCTCAACAGATTTAAAAAACCCCGCAGCCTCTGTGAGACCAGGGCCCGAGCTGAGGGCCACCAGAGAGGAGCTCGTGGGGTCTGAGGCAGTGACTCGAACAGGCCTAGGATGGGCCAGTCCGGAGACGGCACGGGAAGCGCCCGGAGAACCACCGCAACGCTGCGGGAAGTGCACCGAGGAGCCGTCCACGCAGATGCTGGGGGTGACCCGACCGTCCCGGTGGTGGGGGCCCGGCTCGGCGCCCAGGAGGCCGCTGTTCGGAGGCTCCCAGGGCATGGCCCTCAGTGCAGTGGGGGCGGAGGGCGGGGGCCCTGGGTATGAGGTAGGCTCGGTTCCGCGGCAGGGACAGGGCGCAGACCCCTGAGGCGTCCCCCCTAGCATGCTTCCCACCAGTGAGGGCCCGTTCCAGGCAAGGTTTGCGGTGCTGGGCTCTGACCTACGTTGCTTCTGCCCCTGGGCTCGCGCTGCGGGGACAGCGTCTGTGTGGGACAAGCTCGCAGCACAGCAGAGTGGTGGGAGGGGCCGTGAGTTGCACCGGCTGTGCTGGGACAGGCGGGAGCGCCCCTGCGGGGAGGGCCCGGGGGACGGTGCCCCCCAAAGCAGCAATTCCTCTTATCCTGTGGGGGCACAGATTGGCTACTCCGTTACAGCTTTTCCCAGTGGACATGGATGGGCTTGGTATCAAGATAATCGCTAACCCGTACCCAGCGCCTACATGCCAAGTGCAGCTCCCCTCACCGCAACCCTGTAGCTGTGGCCGGTACCCCGTCCTGTAGAGGTGCGAGGGGTAAAGTAAAGTTGCCCAAGGTCACGCAGCTGCTGGGACCTCTTTAGGGTTCACCTGAAGTCATCCCGGGGCAGCTGGCCCAGCCTCAGAGCAGGCGGTGGAGGGCTGTCCTCGGAGCAGAGGGTCTCAAGAATATCTGCTATTTATTTCACTTTTTAAAAGCTTTTATTTTTAGAGAGGGAGGTAGGAAGGGAGAGGGGCATCAAGGTGCGGTTGCCTCTCACACACCCCCTACTGGGGACCGGGCCTGCAACCCAAGCATGTGCCCTGACTGGGAATGGAACCGGCGACCGTATGGTTTGCGGGCTGGCACTCAGTCCACTGAGCCACACCAGCCAGGGCAAATACCTATTGTTTTTAAGATATTTGCAAATTACGTTATTTGCACAGTTCCTGGCTTGGGCCTGTTGGCCCGGAGGTCAGGGGAAGGCTTGGCTTCAGGAAGAGGGAGCGCTCTTCTCCACGGAGAAACCCCAGATGAGGGGGTCCTGGCAGAAGGCCCTTGTGGTAGGAAATGAGCTTGGGGTCTCCTGCACGTTGATGTTGAAAGTTCAGTAGCAACATGGAAACCGGCGTATTGAAGATTGTGGGGAGAGCAGTTATGATTGTGAAAGGCAAAAGACCTCCACAATCTGAAGAGAAACCTCAGTATTGGGAGCAGTTATGATAGAAAACGAGCCCCTATTCGATCGTGCTCCGTTTATCAGACACCGCCACATACCTACCTGATCATTTCCCAGCAGCCTAGGGAAGTGGATGAAATCATGCTTGCTTTATGGGTGGGGAAAAAAAGCTCACAGAGGCCGAGCAATTTGCCTGGGTCACCGGACTAGCGAGTGACAGTGCTGGGGTGGGACCCCGGTCCTGTGTTTCGGGCCTCAGGTCTCTCCCAGCCACACGGGGGTCGCCTGCGGGGGCGCCGTGCGAACGGCCAGATTCCCGGGGCACTGACGACAAGGACTTTAGCTGCAATGAGGAGTGAGCCGAGGCCACGGTGCACGAGGAGCCGTGTGGGAGGGGCTGGCTGCACACAGGCCTTGCTGGTTCCCGCGGCGACCGCCTCTCAGGGTCTCACCCTGAGATTTGCTCAGCTCAGCCTGCCTCTCCTCCTTCCAGGCTCTGCAGTTTCTCCAGAAGAACTCCTCCAAGTATCACTTCAGACGCACCAAGATGCTGCCGGTCAGCGGCGCGTTCCACACCCGCCTCATGGAGCCAGCCCTGGAGCCCCTGACACAGGTGTTGAAGGCCATCGACATCAGGAAGCCCCTGGTGTCAGTGCACTCCAACGTCCGTGGGGACAGGCACATGCACCCGCAGCACATCCGGAAGCTGCTGGCCCAGCAGGTGGTCTCCCCGGTGAAGTGGGAGCAGACGATGCACGCCTTGTACGAGAGGAAGAAGGGCACAGAGTTCCCCCAGACTTTTGAGGTGGGGCCTGGGAAGCAGCTAGGGGCCATCCTGAGGAGCTGTAACCTGCAGGCCTGGAAGTCGTACAGCAACGTGGAGGTGCTGGAAGCTGGCGAGCCCCCCGATCAGGACTCATAGGGTCCCCCGATGAGCAAGGGGCAGGGTGGGGGGCTGTCTCTGCCCTTCCCATCCAGCCTCCCCCCACCCCCGCCCCGCGTGATTGGGACTGTTTGCAGAGAGCTTTGAATGCTGCATAAAGCCGTAGAAGTACTTCCTTATACAAGAGAATACATTTCTTTTTTTTTTTTTTTTTTTTTAAATATTATTTTCAGAGATTGGGGAAGGGAGAGAACCATCCATCGGTTGCCTTTGGTTGCCTCTTCTATGTTCCCTGACCGGGACCGGGACCTGCGACCCGGGCCTGTGCCCTGACCAGGACTCACCCTGGCGACCTCTCCCTCGGGGGGTGACGGCCACCTGAGCCACACGGCTCAAGGCACCATTTCTCGTCCTTGAACCATGTTTGGGTGCCGGGGAAAGGGAGCGGCAGTGCCGGCACGCGAGGCAGCTGCTGGCTCTCGCGCTGTCTCCGCCGGCCGGCCCCGGCGACGCCTCTAACGTGGCCTGAGCCGGCCTGGCCGGCAGGAGCATCCCAAGGACTAAACAGGCGTGGCCTGTTGCCTTGTCACACTGTGTGGCAGGTGCTGTGGGCACACTGGCATGGCCACAAGGTAAGCCAGCGATGGGGGTGCTCCACTGTCCCTGTCACCACCCACAAGCAGAATCTCCGCTCCTTTGTCACTGAACCCAAAGGGCTTTAGGACCCAGCTGGCCGTGGCAGCCCTTCCACCCAGGCCCGAGGGATAGTGTTGATGGGGGGCTGCCTGTGCCAGGGAGTGGGTGGCCTCTGCCCTGGAGGAAGAGTGTCCTTTGGCGAAGCAGGAGGGGGGCAGGAAGGGCCGATGAGGGCCCGCTTCCTCCCCTACCCGCATCACCCTGGCAGCGAGGACCGAGTGCCTGCCGGCTGCCTGTGCCCAGGCCTGGCACAGGGCTTACGCTCCGCCCGACCCACCCCGGGAGCAAGGCACGGGCACCCCGCAAATGCAGCTCCTGCACTGATGCTAAAGGCGAATAATTCCACGCTTCTCAGGGGTCTTTTCATTGTTCGGTGACGGTGGCAAACCTTGCTGGGAGCGAAGCCTCCGCGTGCCTGTAAAACATCGTTGACGAAGTGCAGGCGCCTGCAGTTGCACAAGGCTCCTCAGCAGGACCCCTGCTGGCCTGCGGGCGGCGCCGGCCTTCCCCGCGGGGCACCCCGCCTGTGGGCGGCCATCCTGGCTCCTGGCCAGCGCGCATCAGCAGCACTTGGAACTTTGTTGTAGAAATTCTCAGACGTCAGCCAGTTCTGTTTGAACCCCCTCCGCCAGTGCTTTGGGCAACAGGTGGTCTCGGGAGACCCGGCTCCTGGGCGGGGGCTGTGCCGCGGGTGGAATGGTGTCTCAGGTCCCGAGGACGTCCGGTGGCGGAGCTGGCGCGGCAGGCCTGCCCCCATGAGTCTGGGACAGTGCGTTCGGCCCACGCAGCTCTGAGCCTCGGGAGAGGGCAGCAGAGGACAGCGGTGCAGTGCGGGGCTCCACCCTAAAGGTGCAGATGGACAGGCGGTTGCCTCCAGCACTGAGCCCAGGGCCGGGTGGGCGGGCCCTGCCCAGCCCCTGCGACTCAGACCCTGGAGGAGAGACCAGAGAGAGGCACAGGGAGCCACCAAGGAGCCTATGTCCTGTCCCCTTGGGGAAATGCCCTCTGACACCACGTTTGTGGCAGGGAGCCGCTCCATCCTGGGGCCCCAGGTTGGTGGAGAACCCGACTCCCTGGACCTGTGCACGCTTCCGCCCAGCGGGAACAGGTCCCCACCTGCTTCAGGAGCCCCTGTCTTGCCCTATCTTCAGAAATCCAGACCAGACGAGGGACCTTGTTCCACAGCCGCTGAAAAAAAGATGATGGGGCCCCTCCAGCCCCACAGCCTTGTCACCTGCTCTGGGAAGGCGCTTCGCTGCCCCCAGCAGCCTCCGCCTCAGGTCCCCGGGGTGCAGGGGTCCCGCCCACCCTGCCTCAGTGCCCCACGGCCTGGGCAGAGCTCTGCGAGGGGATGGGGAGTGCTGTGCGGGAATTCTTCAGGAACGGGGAGGCTCCTGGGCGACCCACGTCACCTTGCCGCCTTCCTGGGAGGGACAGGCCTCTGGTCCTTCCTTTTGGGGGTTGAAGTGTGATTTCTCCTATCGCTATGGACTCAGATTGAAGCTGCTTTTAACCTCTGAGAGCAGAGCACCTTCTTGCAACGTGTGGAACCCCGTGCCCCCCGCCCGGCCCTCTCCCACTGCGCCTGGCCACAGCCCCACGGGGAGCACGGGCGGGGAGGCCCTGGGGGCCAGAGGAAGTGATCCCTAATGACAGGCGTCAGGCAGCAAGGCACAATGCGGGAGGAAGCCCGTTCCACGGGGCTCCACCAGCACCTGCAGGTGCAGGGATGGGGCTGGAGGCTGGGACCGGCAGGTGGCCAGGAGCATGCCCGCCCCCTCCCGCCCCCTCCCCTCCCCTCCCGTCCCCTCCCCTCCCCCATCATCCCCTCCAAGGGGCAAGATGGAGCCTGGACTGAAAACCCCCAGAGAGGACCAGAGACGGATAGAAACCAACAGTTTATTGGGCTCTCCTCACCCCTCAGAAATCTACTCCAGCAGATTCTCTTAGCTGTGGGCGTTGCAGACAGGGAGGTGTGGCCAGCACTCCCCCCACCGCCTGCTACAGGACCCGCCCGGGACAGGAAGGCTCCTTCCGGGGACAGCCACAGCGGAGTGGGCTGGGGCCCGGAGAGCGGGGAACCGTAAAGGCCCCAGAGGGCGTAATTCATTTCTCTTACAAAAAAAAGTATGAAACCTCAGGAGTGACCCAGCACTCAGAATTTAAATATTAAAAAAAAAAAAGATCCTAAGAAAGTTAAAAAGACAACAAAACCAACAAGGCCACCTCCAGGGTGGTGGTCTGGGGGCGGGGCCAGCCCCGCCCGGCGCCGCCCGCAGCGCCTCACTGGAGAAGGTGGAGGCCCCAGTCCAGCAGCAACGCCAGCAGCAGCAGCAAGGACAGCTTGCGCCCGAGGCTGGGGCCGGGGCTGGGGGACACCTGTCGGTAGAGGTGGAGAGAGGTGAGGGCCGGCAGCTGGAAGGGGCTGCTCGCCCTGCCTCGGGCGCCGCCCGGTGGGGCCAGCGGGAGGGGATGCAGCAGCCCCTCACGCAGACCTGGAGGGGTTGGGGCCAAGGGTCCAGGAGGGTGGTGAGGGAGGCAGGAGGGGCGGGAGAGGGGGAGCCCCTGAGGACAGGCAGGAGGGGGTCAGGCCACCCCGGCTGTCATCTGCGGGGAACTGGATGAGGGGTGAGGTGGTGGGAGGGGTGGGGAGCGGCCGGGAAAGCCGCTCAGGACCAGAGGCACCTGCCCCTGGCAGGGGGATGCGGAACCAGAAGCGTCTGCCAGAGGAAGGCGCCCCGGCAGAGGGACAAGCGTGGGCACGGGCGTGGAGCAGGCAAGGCACAGGCGGACTCGCACAGCCAATAAACCCAGCCCAGGGGCCTTGGGGACCAGGCAGGAGAAACAGGAGAAGCAGGCAAGACAAGCAACAGGGAGCGGCGGGGACCGCGACAACCAGAGGGCACGCTCTGCGGAGCGCCGCACACTATCAAGGCTTACCCTGTCCCTGAGGGTCAGGAGGCTCCAGAACCTTCTGTTCCCCCTGAGATTAGTGAGACCACCCATGAAACTTCTAAGAACGCCCCTCAGGCCTGTCTGGTTGTAAGTGAAGGCCAAGCTGTAAGACAAATGGGAGAAGGAGCAGGCCATTACCACGCGAGCCGGGCAGAGATGGCCTTTATTCTCGGCTGTGGGAGGGGTGGGCCTGTCCCCCGCTCCCCAGCCTCCTACTGCCCCTCTCGCCCCTCTCCTGGGTGGCTCCACAATGACGGCCGCTCCCTGCGGGCTGTTTCTGGCCCTAAAGTCATCTGACTTCCCGTGTCCTCCCCCACGTGCCCTCACAGTCTGGAGCTGGCCCCGTGGAAAACGCTCCTCTGTCCACAGGCCCGAAGAGGCAGGCCCAGGGCAGCAGGTCCTCCCTACCCCCGCCCAGGAGCTGTTTGGATAGAGGCCCGGGCTCCCCAAAAGAAGGCTGCCTCCCTGGAGACCCAGAGGCCGCGTCAGCTTTGGTCCCGGCCTTGGGGAAAGCTTCCACGCCCCCACCGCAAGACCTCAGTTCTGTGAGGTCTGAGAACCCGGCTGCCCGGGAGGACGCGTGGACACTGGCATCGGAGCTCACGCAGCACACCCTGTCGTTTGCATCAAGGCCCTTCGGCCTGACGAGGGAAGCGGGGGGGCGGGGGGTGCTCAGGCCCCGCCGCCGCCGGAGCCAAGGCAGGGAGAACCAGGAGCAGCAGGCCGGCTCCCGGGGTGGGCGACGCCGGCGGGGGCTGGTCACCTGTACACGGCCATCCAGGGCACCTGGGCGACGCGGGGCAGCATCCATCTCAGCTCCAACTCGTCCCCAATGAAGGCCAGCCGCATGGCCATCTCGTGAGGGATGTCGCTGCGAGGAGGGTGCGGGGGTTAGGGGCGGGCCGGGCCGGTGACTGGCACATCCAGACCCACCCAGCCGACCGGGCCACATGGGGGGCTCTGAGGCTGGCTTCCCCCAGGGGTCTCAGCTCGCCCTCCTCCCTGTGGGGAGGAGCTCTGGGACCTGTTCCCTGGCCCCCAGTCCTGAAACCACCTGTGTGGGTCATCTCCCCTTTGAGAAAGGAGGGGCTCCTCATGCCCCGTCGGGGCCCCCCACGCTCACTGAATGGGGTCCCTCACGGAAACGGAGGCGTCCACGCCTACCCAGTCTTCGAGTCTGACATCTCCCCTCCCCCCTCGGGCACCCAGCCGGTTTCGGGCCAGTTTCAGCCCGGGCTCAGGGTTTGCCTGCACATTCCATCCTGGTGACTAGGCAGCTGCCTGGGAATCCCCCGGCTCAGAGTGCGCCCGCTGGGCCGGCGACTCCCCTTCCCCGCCTCCAGGGCCCATGCTCTCTCTACTCCAGGAGCATGGGGGGGCGGGCTGGGGGCTCCCCGTCAGGGAGGTGGGCTGAGGTCCCCACCTGTATGCCGATACCCTGTGGGACCTCAGGAAAACAGTGTCCCAGGCTGAATGTCCCCTGTTGTCATCTACAAACGGAGCAGGGTGGAGGAAAAATGCACACTTTGGGTCCCTCCAGCCCTAAAATGCCAACCAGCCCCCACGCCCACGTCCGGGACCTCACGACTAAGAATCTGAGGCCTAAGGCAGCAGGGAGCGCCCAGAACTGGGAGCGATCCTGGGAGCATCCCCGCTCCGCTGCCTGACAGCCGGGCCAGCGGCTGGGTCTCCCTCCAGCAGCCAGGTCTCCGGTGGCCTCAGGCAACTTCGGATCCACTGCTTAAGAGATCGTGGTCCTGGGGGCCAGGAGGCACTCGGTCCCCCTCGGTCCAGTCTGCAAGCTCAAGCCATTTCGATGGCAGGGCAAGGTCTGTCCTGGGACTGTGGACATGGGACAGGCTCTAAGGCGCCCTCGGTGAGCTGGTACCCCAGCAAAGCTTCCCGCCCAGGGCACCTGCCCTGCTGACCACACCTGGGGAGTTTCCACTCTCAAGTGCTGCCAGGAACCCTCAGGCCGGCTCTCCTTGCCACGCCCACTGAAGGTCACTGGCCAGGAAAGGGGGTGAGCGGGGTCCTGGGACCTACCCAAGGGGCTCAGGGCCGAAGTGGAGGAGACTGGTCGTGTCGGGACCCGCCGCAGTTTGCAGGCCGTGCTCCTGAAGGAAGGTGCACAGAATGAGGTTCCTGGAGAGGGGTCCCGCTTGAGACATTTCTTCCCTGGGGGAGAAAGACACACACAGGCTGACCCCGGAACTCTGCGACTCGGCGTTTGGCTGGGCCATCCCACCTCTACCCCAGGCCACTTCCTGTGCTAGAGCCCCCACCAGCCCCGACCCAGCCGCCCCCGGCAGGGATCCTGCCGCACCTGGCTGGGCGCTGCTTTGTCCTCCGTGTACATTTCTGAAGTCGGGGATCTGGAGATGATTCCTAAGGGCTCCTGCCTTTTCCCTTTGTGCAACAGTAAAAATCTAAGAAAGGCTCTCACACTGGCCCCTCAGGAGGCCAGTTGGCACACTAAGAAATCCAGGTGTGAAAAAAATAAAACAAAAAATAAAAATATTTTTTAAAAACACCCAGGTGTCTGTTGCCAAAATAGTGGCTCAAGGCTGGCTCCGCCCGGAGAGCTATTCCTCGACACCGCCTGCTTTCACCGTCCGCTGCATCCCTCGGGCAGAGAAAGCAAATAAGCCAAACGAGGACGCGTAACGCACAGTCCCAGGTCACCGCGGGGCCCTGCTAAATCCCAGGCTTTGCTCCTAAGCAGACACGCACATCACACACACAGTTGCAACAAGAGGATCACTCCGGACACTGGGTTACTGTCCCCTTCCTTCTCTGCCTTGGCAAGTCTGCCACGCACCTGCCCTCCCCCTGCTCACAGGACTAGTTTTCGTTGGGGCCGCTCCGAGCCCCTGTTCATCCGAGCCGACTCTGGCGCACGCTCCCGTTCCTCACGTGCCCAGCATGCCTTGCCGCTAGCGGCGGGCATGCAACCCAGTCCTGACATCTCAGAAATCTGATGTGGGGGTTCAAAGGGGCACAGCACACACAGCCTGGGCGGCTCTTCTCTCTCCTTGCTGCCCTCAACACAGAAGCGAAGGATCGAACTGCAGCAGCCATTTTGTGGCACTGAGGTGTGGAATACAAAGAACAACATGCTAAGAATACCGAGCAGAGGGGCAGAGTGGTGGCTCTCTGATGGCATTTGTTGAAATAGAATACAAGCCAGTGACTGTCGAATGTATCAGAAAAATAAAACCCCATTTGTTCAAATCACCCTTCACTGGCTTCGCTGTTGCTTGCAGCCAAAGGTCTGCCTGTTACAACTGTGAATTCCCACATCGACAGACAGATGTTTCCATCATCACTGACGATGGCCTGACCTGCTTGACCATAGTTCACCACACACTGCGCCACGCAGCCTTAGGTCTGGAATTGAATGATGAAGGATCTGTCTCTGGAACCAAAGCGTCTGAGTTCAAATCCCAGCTCTGCCACTTAGCTTAGAGCACTGCCATTTCTCACCTGTAAGGTCGCAGAAGCCCCTCACTTGGTTGCGGAGGGCAGGATAAGGATCTCCTGCAAGGACTTCAAGCAGAGGCTGCGACCCTCAGGGAGTAGGCGCCAACCATTATAACCTTGTGTTTACTTATTATTTTCTCACAGTAACGTCCTGGATTTTTCTTTTTAATTTTTTTAAATCTTTATCTGAGGACATTTCTTTCGGTGCTTTTAAAGATTTAGTTAGTTAGTTAGTTAGTTAGTTATGTTTAGAGAGAGGAGAAGGAAGGGAGAAAAAGAGGGAGAGAAACATCGATGTTTGGTTGCCTCTTGAGTACAACCCCCAGTGGGGACCTGGCCCCCAACCCCGGCATGTGTCCTGACTAGGAATCGAACTGGCGACTCTTTTGTTCATAGACCAGTGCTCAGTCCACTGAGCCACACCAGGCAGGGCGCTTTCATTGCTTTTAGAGAGAGAAGAAGGGAGAGAGAGAAAAACATCAATTGGTTGTCTCCTGTATGAGCTCAGCCCAGGGATCAGACCCGCAATCCAGGCATGTGCCCTGACCAGGAATCGAACTGGGGACCTTTCGGTTACGGGACAACACTCCAACTCACTGAGCCACACTGGCCAGGGCTGTCCTGGGTTTTTAAAAATGTCTAACCCTACCCACTTGCCTGCACTGAACAAAGAAGGAGCAGAGCTCCAGGTCTCCCTCCAGGCTGCCCACGGGCACCCTGTGGAGCCGCTGAGGCTGGGCGTGAGCGCCCGGGCCACCCGCTTCAGCATGACAGGATGGTGGAGGTGGAGGCGGGGCGGGGCTCCAGGGAACAGAAAGAAGCTGTGGATCCCCAGGTGTCCCAGGCAGGAGTCTAGACAGGTCAGTCTCAACAATGCACCCCAAACGCATGCAAAGAGGTGGACAAGTCCTGACGTCATCAGAGGCGCAGACAGGTATGAGGGGTCTGGGGCACTCTGGCCTCTGAGAAGGAAACCGCATAAGGACGGCATTGTTCTAGAGGAGTAAATGCCCAGAACTTGTCTCCAAGAGAGATGGCTGTCCGCCTTTCCTGAGAGGGAAATGGCAGCCTTACATCTGCCCCAGATGAAAGCCCCGGGAGAAATCAGACGGGTAAACACAGCCACAATGGCCGCAAAGAGCCCGAGGCCTGACATATGCCACCCGCACCTGTCGGGACAAGCACCTTCCCCCTGAAGGGAGCTGGCAGGTCAGACCCGGTGGGTGGGTGAGGGGCGGGTGGCCCCCAGCACCCGCGCCCAAGGCGGGGGACGGGTGCTGCCACCTGCTGAGGCACCTGCAGGCAAAGTGTTAAAAGCAAGCAGGCCCAAGACCCAGGGACCCGCCCAAACCATCAGGGAAGGTCACGGTGACATTTCTAGGAGCCCTAAAATGCTGTCAGCAATTTAAATACCCAGCACAGGAGCCATTCTGGGTGTATAACCTTCACACATTAGTGCCAGGGGGCAGGGAGGGTGCTTGGCGGCAGGGAATCGAGCTCTGACGACAATGCCCAGTTGTCCGTGACAAGCGACTACTATTTGTTTGTAGCCATTTCTGGGACAGAGTTGACTTTCGCCCCTTAGCCTTTCAGGGGCAGGGGAGGACAGGCTGCTTGACAGACGCACGCCGTGGCCCCTGGCAGCCGGGGGGCGCTCCCCTCCAGCCACAGCCTCGCCACTCGCCTCGGCCACGGCCACGGCGCGGGTTTGAATCGAGAAAGGAGCACGTGGGGGCGGAGGAGGTGACTTCAGCTAAACAGAGGAAACTGTAAGTGAATCTTGGCGAGTCAGAAGCCTCCGAGAGCAGCAAGGACACACCATTCAAACCAGCAGGAGAAAATCGGACCGTTTTAATAAAAGATGGAAGCTTTTCAGCAGATACAAACACCAGCACAGGGAACCATCTGCTGGAACTACCAAGGGTTTTGAGATTGTCAGATCCAAGATCAACACACAAAATACGACTGTATCCCTACAGGGCAACCGGGAAATATTAGCAGATGAGAAATGCGTCTTTACAGAAATGCAAGCTTTTTGTCAGGAATGAATCTCGTAAAGCACGCTTAAAATCTCTGGAGGAAAACGTATGGCTCCGTGAAAGACCCGCATAAATGGAGAGACGACTCCCCGCCTAGGCTGCAAGCAGAGTGTGCACGTGTGCCCTTGAGCCTGTGTTAAGAACTTGCGACCAGGAGCAGTGGCCCCCTGGCCCCAGGGGGCTGGGTGTCTATGAAAATGACCATTTCCCTGGGAAAGCAGCGCCAGCCCTCGTTTGCATCTGCCTCCCAGTTCCCTCCTCCCTCCAGCCCACGGAGGGCTGCTCTCTACCTGGGGCTGCTGTGTGCTCCCCTCGCTGTCCCCATGGGCCAGGGGCCTCAAGGGGACTTCACTGGGCCTGCGCCCTCAGAGCCTCACCTTGTCCCAGCATCCCCGGCCCCCCAGCAGATGGTCCCCGAATCCTCTGGCAGCCAACGGGGAGGCACCAGCCCACCTGTCCTACAGGGGCAGGTGCCTGACCAGGGACAGTGACCACTGGCAGCTTGGCCAGGCTGAGGTTGAGGCCTGAGTGTATCTGACCGTGTGCAGGGTGGGTAAGTGGGGGGTGGTCTCCCCCAGTGGCCTGTTTGGGGACAAGGCCTGAGTCTGTACCTCCCTGTGGGTCCCCACGCCCTGCTGGCCTGGGACAGCCGGCGAGTTCCTCCCGTCCCCAGATGCACACCGAAGACTCTCCGCAAGGCAGGGGAATCTCCGCTGACACCCTAACCTGAGCAGCCGCTTGCAGGCCGATCGCGGTCCAGGCGCCGTTCCCTTATCTGTTAAATGGCAATGATGGCCCCAAGCCCACGGGGTCCCTTGTCCAGGCAAGAAGCAGCACAACCGGGCGTAAACCTGGACGGTGTCTGAGCACCTACTATTGCCACAGCCTGACTTAAGCCCTGGGTATGGACTCTCGTTAAACCAGCCAGGCCTGGGCTGGCCCAGGGCTCCAGAGCCGAGCGAGGGAACTCAGAGCGCGGCTGGGAACTGGGGGCCGGGTCCCCGCAGCGGCCTCCCAGCCGCCCCAGCACCCTGGCCAGTCGCCTCCTGCCTGGCCGCGCTCCAGCCGCCTTCCTTTCTTGCCTCTCGTCTCCAGCTGGGCTCTCTCCAATATGATTCCTAGAGAGCAGCCTCCGATCCAACCCCGCCACAGCCCCGCTCGGCTCCTGGTCCCCACGGGAGTCGGGCCACACGGCTGTCAGGACCCTCCCGCAGGGCCCGTCGCTGCCACACCCACACCGCAGGCTGCTGTGCTGCGCCCCGCGCGTCACGCCTCTGCCTGGGCAGCACCGCCGGCTACCACCCGCCTCCGTTGCTTGGCTCACTCCTCTCCATCCCTACGGACCTCGGCTCTAGCATCGTCTTCCCAGATCCTAGAGTCTGGTCGGGGGCCCGAGGGGCCCTGCAGGCCCTGCCTGTGCTCCCTTCTGCCTCCGGCCAACCACGCGGGCCGTCGCGGGTTCTGCATCTGTGGCTTCGAGCCCGGACTCAGAGCCAGGCTGCCGGGCATCCTGCCGGTCTGGTCCCCTCACTGAAACTAGTAGCACCTACCTCACAGGGCCGTGGCGAGGACACACTGACCGAATCCGTGTTGACGTGCCAGACTCAGAGGGAGGAGGTAACGAAACAGCAGCTGCCTTTACTATCTCCGGTTCGC